GGTTAGATTCCTGTCATCATTCCCTTAATTTTCCTTCCCTCTCCTGTTTTGCCAGTTTTCAGAAATCTGAAGCACTTCGGCACTTTCAAAATTCGGCACTTCGGAAATTTGGCAATTCGGAAGCATCCGAATGTCCAAATTTGCGAAATTCATCCGAATTTACATTCGGACCGAAACGAATTGCACATGTCTAATTGTCCCTGGACATTGCCATTATGGAATTACCTATTGTTCTTCCACTCAGACTTGTTTATTGAAGATGGATCATCAATTACGTTGAAGCAACAAAATCTTGGAACTATCCCTGTGCTTGGTGAAAACTTTTATCTTTTAAACTTTCCTAAGGCTACTGATGGCCCATGTCCTTTACAGATTGTAAGGTAGAATCTGATATATACAGTGAAATAAACACAAAATACAGCAACGATTAAAGAGATAATATGGGTTAAACATCTATATTGAATGCACTTGAACAGGGCAGCAAAAGTAAAAGAAATATGCATGCAATAGATTTTCAATTTTTTAAAATAAAATTTCTAAATCTTTTCTGCAGGTTCCGCAGCTAAGCTGAGCCACTCTCTTTTGCTTCAACACCAACTTCCTTGTTCATGTTTGACAATGTCCAATTAGATGCTTCTCATAGTATTGTGGAGACAGCATTGTGGATACAGTTGACACATATGGAAGCTTTTGAGACTAGATCTTAGAAAAACATTATAGCATAACTATATAGCAACAAAATAACAGCATAATGAAATTTACCATTTCACATAGTCCACACACTTCTATATTCATTATATGTAGTTTATATGTGTGTGTATGTATGTATGTGTATATATATATATTTCCATATGCTCACATGCAAGAGTTCTACATTATATCTTTAGGTTCTGGGTCAACAATGTACAATAGGGCAAAATTTTCATCCAGCGAGGTGTTGAATGAGAGAAGACAGAATCGACAATGACAAACTGCTTAGTCCTCTCTGGATTTGAAAAGTAATTTAGATTAAGGATAAATCTGCAATCATATCCTTTAGGGAATGATATGGCTTCTTGTGTTACTCCAGCTGTTAAAGACCTGCCATAATTATCAGACGTAGACTGGAGATGATGGGTGTTGAAGAACAGCTGGACTGGAGAAGGTTGTGTAAGGTTCTGTATGTCAATCGAAACTTTAAATTTGTAAAAGTGTAACTGGGGGTCCAGAAAATAATCTTCTGACATATCTAAGTCTGCTGGTTTGTTTGTTAAAACATTTGTGACTGCTGATAAATTAATAACTATTTTTAAATAAAATTTCTCAGTCTCCTAAAGTGATTTGATTTTTGTTGTCAGTGTTAACACTTGGTAAGATAATGTTCCATGAAGGAAACTCTTACTGTAGGTACTCAATTCGCATGGAGGCTATTAACATATTACTTAATACAGAATGCAAGAGTAATTTTCACAAAATGTGAAGTGTTTTGTGTTTCTAATACAGATTTAGAATCCATATCAGGGATTGTTCCCAGGATGCTGTTTTCTGGTGCACAAAACTCAACTCAGATGGCATAGCAGATAAGAGTCACAAGACCCTCCAAGAGACAAAAAAAGATGGTTTAAAATGTAGTGCTATGTATTTAAAGCACACAAGTCTGCAATATTTGAGCCAATCATTTTAAGGCTCTAAAAATGTTCACATTTTGAGGATCTCATATATTCTTTTGTGGATTATTTTGATGTGTTTATTTGCTGCACTATTTAAAAAAACAAAACATGTTTGTCTCCATTAGTGATCTTTTTTTTTAATTTGGTGCAAGTTACTTACTTTATTTGTAATTTATTTTTTATTGCATTATTTAGTGTGAGTTAACCCCTTAAGGACGGAGCCAAATGTACACATTGTGAACGAAACAAAATGTAAACAAAACCTGGCATTTGCGCTACATGTCTGTCCAACCGTAATTCACCTCTTTCATAGTAAATGCACCCACCCTTATTATATATCATTTTATTCAGGGGAAACAGGGCTTTCATTTAATATCAAATATTTAGCTATGAAACATAATTTAATATGAAAAAAATGGGAGAAAATACGTTTTTTTTGGATTTTTTTAGTTCTACATGACATTTTAACTGTCAATGTCATAATACTGTTTGCTTTTACTGCAATAAAATACACATATTTGTATTCAGCAAAGTCTCACATGTAAGACAGTACCCCCTATGTACAGGTTTTATGGCGTTTTGGGAAGTTACAGGGTCAAATATAGCACGTTACATTTGAAATTGAAATTCGCCAGATTGGTTACGTTGCCTTTGAGACTGTATAGTAGCCCGGGAATGAAATTTACACCCATAATGGCATACCATTTGCAATAGTAGACAACCCAAGGTATTGCAAATGGGGTATGTCCAGTCTTTTTTAGTAGCCATTTGGTCACAAACACTGGCCAAAGTTAGCGTTAGTATTTGTTTGTGTGTGAAAAATGCAAAAACGCCAATTTTGGCCAGTGTTTGTGACTAAGTGGCTACTAAAAAAGACTGGACATACCCCAATACCTTGGGTTGTCTACTATTGCAAATGGTATGCCATCATAGGGGTAATTTTCATTCTTGGGCTACCATAGGGTCTCAAAGGCAACGTAACCAATCGAATTTTAATGTGAAAAAAAATGAAACACAAGCCTTATATTTGACGCTGTAACTTTTGAAAACACCATAAAACCTGTACATGAGGGGTACTGTTGTACTCGGGAGACTTCGCTGAACACAAATATTTGTGTTTCAAAACAGTAAAAAGTATCACAGCAATAATATTGTCCATGTAATGCTGTTTGTGCGTGAAAAATGCAAAAAACGTAACTTTTACTGGCGATATCATCGTTGTAATACATTTTACTGTTTTGAAACACTAATATTTGTGTTCAGCGAAGTCTCCCGAGTAGAACAGTACCCCCCATGTACAGGTTTTATGGTGTCTTGGAAAGTTATAGGGTTAAATATAGTGCTAGCAAATTAAATTCCCTTTACTTTCGGCATGGGTTGTCAGGCAGGTCCCGCTAATTGTAATTAATTAAGATACCTAATTATGTAAAAATATTACATAAATATATATGTAGAATTAATATATGTATATATATACGTATGTGTATATATATGTATATATCTATATAATTTTTTTTAAATATTTTTATTTATATATAGGTATATATATAGTGATATATATGTATATATTTATGTATATAGATATATATATTATTTCGTTCTACGTGTATTTTGATATATATATATATATATTAATTTCACAAAACAGTTAGAACGAAATAACACACCTCTATATATTTTTTAATTATTTATTTTTAATTATTTTTTTAATTTTATTTTTTAACGTATTTACATTTTTATTTTTTATATTATATATAAATATATATATAACAATAATTATATATATATTTAATCAGTATCAGTCTACGTGTGATTTGATATTAATAGATATATATAATTATATATATATTAATAGTAAAATACACCTAGACGGTGTACGTGTGTGTATGTATATGTGTATATATATATATACTTAGATCATATATATATAATATATATATGATCTAAGTATATATATATTTTTTTTACACTAATAAATTTTATTTTCATTTTATTTTCAGCCAGCAGGGGGACCACCTGTCATTACAGGCAGCCCCCCTGCTGGCAATGCAGGAGGCAGCCTACCCGGCCATGTGATTGTGGGGTCCTCGCTAGGACCCCACTCTCACATGGCCGGGGAGCACCGGAGGAGAAGGATCTGCCGGCGACCGGGTAAGTTAACAAAAACCGGAGGGCGTACAATTACGCCCGGCGGCGTTTAGAGCCGCCTATAATAGGGCGTAATTGTACGTCCTCCGGTTTTAAGGGGTTAAAGAGAACCCACACGAGTGTTGTAGCAGCTTATATTTACTAACATTCTTTCACATTATCTGTAAACTGTGATATCAAAGTTTGGCCTTACATCCATTACTTTTTAAGATAATGGTCTCTTTTAAAGGGACCCAGACCACTTCTGCTCATTGAAGGTAATTATTGCAGTGTTTTATAAACCAACATTAGGTTAGTAACACCTTCTGCACCACAGGGGAGTCTTAAAAAGTTTGTTTTCCTGGCAGTTTCCCTTTAATGATGGATAATCTTGAAACCTCAGGTATTCATGAACTACCTTTCCTATGACGCTTAGCCAGTTTATATGCTGGTTGAGCATTGTTGCAAATTACATACTCAAACATTTGGAGTGCCATGGGTCACTATCACTGGTTTTATTTAATACAAAGTTTATCACCAGTTTTCATAGAATTCTAGCATCTGCTGAGTTAGGAGCGTCGGACATTTTCAGAATATCCCATAATCCTCCATGTCTTTCATACCATGTATTCATTCACGTTGACATATAAAAATGTCGGTGCTCCAGGTTGCAGCTGTTAAATGCAACTTTAAGTCCATTTCCAGATGGTTCTATATGATTGCACTAACATATCCATTGATCACAAGACAGTAGAACATTTAGGTTTTAGCCCCTTCCTAACATACTATGCTGCGGATTGAAAAAAAACAATTTTAATTTTTTTTGAAGGTTGGGGATTCTGACTGTGAATTTAGCTGACCCAATTATGTCTTCTTTATAAGATGTCACAAACCCAGGTATTTCAACAGACTGAAATGAACTATGGCAGAAACTTCAGAAATGTTTACTTTTTCCGTTTTTTTTCCTTTTATCCAAACACTTTGCAATGTTTTAATTTAGTATTTCTGCAGCAATTTCCTTGCAAATCGATGCGTCTAATGTCGATCAGTCTATTTGGCCACATGTTACTATACTCTGATTAGTAAAAATTCAATCATGAAGAGCCTGACTTTTCATTGTTTGAAACACTCTGCAAGGTCTTACGTGAAAAATCAACCCTTTTTATACTTGCTTGGGCATAGATACAAACGCACAAATAAATGAATTCACCATAAACACAGCAGCTTGGTTTGCAAATTTTTAATTGGTTGTTAAAATACTACAACACTACACTGAAGGCAAAGCATTTAAGGCACAAGTCGGAATGCCAATATGGGAAACGCACCCTCTTCCAGATTTCCACTTTGTGGTTTCTGGATATTGGGGTCTTCCCATCATTTGTAGCTCTATGTATGGTTACCCATTAACATTTTAATTCAATCTATACATAAAAATGTTTACAAGGTCAGCAGAAAAAAAAAATAAGAAAATACACAGGAAATTTGCCTAGTATTTACAGGCTAGAATCATTTAAAGAATAAACTAATAGGCCTTGTTTAGATCATAACATAACAGAGTACAAATTAACTAATTACTCTACTACAATATAGACGAGTTTCTTTTAGTACAGCATAATGTCTCCCTGTTCCACCAAACTTGGAATATTATCTCTGCACAAAACAAACAATAGTCACAGTTTGCCCTTTTGGTTACATTACAAGTTTGAATCAAACTTTGATTCTGCATACCAGATTCCTGTTGTAAACACATATGGAATAATGGTATGTTTTATTAAAGGGACACCTCATGAAGAAAGAATGAATGGTAAAACAGTTGAGTTTAGCATTGTAGAAAATGTATCAATAACGTCTTACCTACATATGTTGCTTTATCTGCAGTTATGTATTTATTGCCTATGTCCTAACCTGTTTATGAAACTAGTGTCTTCCCAAAAACTACCGCTTGATATGACCTATGATGGCTTTGCTTCCAATGCAATTCTACACCTAATGCACACCTCAACCGAGATATTGAAAATTAGATCATGGCTTTCTATTGTTTGTAGAGAGATAATATTTAGCCAGTTTATCTATAATCTATTTTACAATTATATAGTCAGTGCCTAACGTTTAGTAGGATAGTAATATTTCATGATCATATATTCCTGTAACATAAAACACAGTTGTACTTTTCATTTTCTGTAAACTTAGAGAATTGTATTTTTGGATGATGTGTACTGTACCTTTGTGTATGTTGTAGAGGTATAATATATCTACATTTTATCTAAAAAGGACACTTTAAGCACCAAAAAAACCCCCCAGTTTTCTTAACATCTGTAAAGAAGTTGGTATAAAGACCCGGCCCCTTTTCTCAGAAAATGTAAAACATTGCTGTTTCCGAGAAATGGCAATGCTTACATTTGGTTGAGAACATGCCTCAATTGGCTGTCAGAATGACAGTCCCAATAAAAGGTCTTCACGTTTGGTGACATCACATGCAGCATGAAAATGCCAAATGTGGCTAACGCTTCTCATTTAAATATTTACTTTTAATTTCAGGGCATTCCTTTAAGTATAACCTTAAACTATACTGTATCCCCTACCATGTTTATTTCTGAGTTGCACTGTAGCAGTCTAACGAATATATTTAGGCAACTTGACTACTATTTGTATCATTGTTATTTCTTAATATAAATCGCTAATTATTAGGCAGGTACTTATTTAAGGAAGGAAAAGGTTATTTGTGTATTAGATTTTTATATTTCACAAGTTTTAATTCATCTTTGTTATGTTGGAATTCTCTAAGGTCCTAGCCGTGGAGATGTTGTATAGTGTTACTTTAAATAACAGCACACAAGATACATCAGCTGATGTCTAAATGAAAATTCAAAAATTCTAGAATTCTCCAAGGTCCTAGCCGTGGAGATGTTGTATAGTGTTACTTTAAATAACAGCACACAAGCTACATCAGCTGTTGTCTAAATGCAAATAATTTTTTTTAAAGGTGTAGTCCATATTTTAAAACCATTCATTAAATGAGTGTGCTCAGCCAATGCATGGTTATAAGATATAAATTAAATTCATGCTGCTAATACTTCCTTATTTTCCAGAGACTGGATTGCAGCATGCCTAAACTGCCCCCTTAACCATCATTTAGCAGATACCATAGGTTTACCACTGTTCTTATCGGAGCTTTTGCTGGAAAGACTAATGTTAAAAGAAATTAAACCTACAAAATGGTCAACATTTGTAAATAACAACTTGTTTTGAATTAATTTCAAATAAATCTCTATATAAAAAAAGAAGCAAAACTCTCATTTGTACTTCTCAGACTTGGTTAAAAAGTTACCAGTTGATACAGAGGTAGCATTTCAATGTAGAATATTTAACGTAGACTATAGAGGTGCATAGTATAGTATAAACAACTGCACAAAGTAGGTCAGTTATTAACTAAACCTCCTTAGAATTATTAAATGCACCTCTTAATTTTAATCTTGGCTTTTTAGTAAAATAAATCAATCAAAAATCCTTTTTCATTATATTTACATGTAAACACTGCTTAAATTGGTGTGACCACTGTGGCATATAGGGACTAATGTGTACATAACTCTATTCTCAAGTTCACTTGAAATTCTGAGCTTTTTATACCTACGTAAGCCTGCGGAAATGACTTGATTTTGAACATCTAGATATATAGATCTGACGATGTAACAAATGCCATTGTCTGTAAATTTCCATATGTACATTAAAATATCTTTTACGCGTCAAACCAGGTTTTAAACCTGATCAGTATAAATGCCATGCAGTTTATAGGGTTCTCAAGGTTGATAAGTAGAGATGTTGCGAACCGTCCGCGAACTTCTCGCGAACGGTCGGCGAACTACGGTCAGCTGACACGTCCCGGCCAATCTCCAGCAGACCCTCCTACTTCCTGGACAGCATCCAGAAGTTCGCGGACGGTTCGCGACATCTCTATTGATAAGGTTATCAATAGTGTCCTCTGACTGAAACAGCGATTTATATGTATGTACATTCATCACACTATAGGCCCAATGTACTACACTATTATTCAATATAGTAGTGTACATTATGTTTAGTGTATCTAATATATAGCAAAAACTAATTATTTGTGAGATTTAGTCCTATACTTTGAAATGTCAGAAACATTACCATTTTGATTTAGACCAGTTAAGTTTAAAAAAACAAAAACAAAAAAGAGCAATTTTACCAACTAATGACTAAATACATTTCTTTAAGGCATTAGAAACCAAGCAACTCATGTGATTCTTATCTCCTATGTACTACAGACTAATCATATCAATAAAGATTGAGAATTTTTAAAAAAACAAAACAACAAAAACAAGCTTGCTGCTTACATACAGTGCGCAATTTCCCTTTTTAAGAGTTAAAGACATTTCTGTAAAATATAAAATACACTTGATCATACGCAAGTATATTAATGTAATGTTTACCCTTTGAGGCAAGGGTGCTCTGTGATTAAAAAACAAAAACAAAAAAAACACCTCAAGCACTTTTTTCAAGTGCAGAAGTTAAAACTATGATTATGAAATTAACAGAATTGTCAAAATATTGTTTTGATAGCACAAAGCTAACCTGCTATATTATTTTTATCCATTAAAGTACTATGCATTAACAACACAATAAAAATACATTGTTTACATATATGTGTAAAGGTTTTTTGTTTTGTTTTTTAGACATTATGTACCAACCTTTTATATAATACTTTTATGTAGATAATATGTTCATCTTGATGGTATATGGTTACATATTTTATACAGACATAAGCATTGTCACAAACAAACATCTTCCATAAATATTTCCTATAGGATACATCCTTAACTCGTAAAAGAAATATGAAAACAATTCACTTTCATTAGTGTTTGGAAAGCAGGAATATGGCCCTTAAAAAAAAAAAAAAAATAATAATAATAATAATACTTAAGAACTTTAAAAACCGTTTAAGAAAAATGAAACATCAAAGATGAACATTTACTAATAAACCAGAAGGCCTCAAAATATATACAGAATACGACATTATTGCAAAATGTTCTTCTACCAAACTTTCCAAATAATGACAACTTCACTGTCTCTACTTCCAAATAAAATGTAACATCTAAAAGATTCCCCATCCCCAAAATACACAAATAGTATTAAAAAAAAAAAAGAAACGCTATGTCAAGTAAAACTCGTTATAAATAATTATCTGCAAGCAAAATGGTTCTAGACTGAAAATATGGGTAAACAATAATTATACGATTGTCCCTTTATAAGATCATCCAATATACATAGATTGGTGTGCAATGGAGAACATGTCCTTCTAAAACATAGCAAGATGACAGGCACAGATTAAGGCTTAAGCTACAGTGACTCAATTGTGATATGAATATACTCAAATAATTTGCCCTCCAGTAGCTCCCTTAAACTTTGCTATATAAATAAACAACAATACTTTCACACAACACACACTCACACAGACAGTAGAAAATGACACATTCCAAACTGCCAAGGCATGGTGGATAAATTGTCCTTAGTGGCCACAAACAACGCATGTTTTAAAGCAAAGACTTAAGCTTATTTTTTAAAATCATATTCATTAGCAGATAGTTCTTTCTGTACAAAAGACAGCAGATTTTTAAAAACTTTGCTAGTTGAAATTGTAATCCCACCACCACCACCATATTGTGATGCTTGTGAGATAAAGCCAGGAGAACATTAAAAGGTGTGTCTGAAGTTACTTTAACCTAAACCCTAGATCAGAGACAGATCTTCTCAATTAAAAATACTCTTTCATAAGGTATTTTTTAAATTCATATATTGTGTAGTCTGCTGCTTTGTTTTCAAACCAAATCAAATTCCAACAGTACCCAAAGGGGGTAAAAGGGGTCAAATAAGCATCTTAACTCAAGTCAACACCATCTCAAACTCAAAATTGAGCAAAGAAAAAAACTAACCTCCATCAACCTCTCCTTTTGACCTGCTATTTCCTTCACATTCCATTCCAGTACTTAACAATTCAGCTTTAAGGTAGTGAGTTACCTTTAAAACCTCTTACACTGTATGTCTAGCTATTTGTGTGTGTATACTGAAAATGATCAGCATTAAAAGGTAAACAATGTTTTATATTTTGTTTTTGTTTAAATACCAATATTAACCCTGAAGTCACAGTCAGTTATATAGATTATATGTTGGATTCACTACAGTATTTAAAAGCTAGTATTTTTTGTTTTGTTTTTTTACTTCCCTACAAGTGTCAATGCTAAACAAATTAAAGGGACACTATAGGTACCCAGACCACTTAATCTCACCTAGACCACTCAGAGTAAAACACTGCTATTGGAATCAGATAATCTCATAGAGACCATCTGATTAGTGCAGTGAGTAATTTTGACCCACATTTGCACTAGCCTCCCAATGCTTTTCTGTGTGAAAGCATTGGATTGGCTGAGATCATCGATCTTCATTATCTCAGCCAAGTAGGTGGGTGTAGTGGCACGGAGATAGATGATCTGGGGGAGAAAAGGTGAGTACATTTTTTTTTTTTTTTTAGGTAAGTTGGTGTGCTCCCCAGCAATATTGTATTTTAATTGTTTGTATATGACCAGTGCCTGATGTTTATCACTAATAAGAACAAAAAAAAAATTTTTTAACCCAAAGTTATTTTGTATTATTTAACTTTTCTTAAGAGACTTAACGTAACTTATATAACATTTATATACATTTTATTGTTTTGATGGTAGGTTCATAAGCCTGCAATGGATGTGTCTATTAAAATAGACAATTAGGGACACTTTAAGAACAATTTATCTTATTAGACCGATTTCTAAACACATTTATTGTAGTTTTACGGTGAGTATTATTGCTGTGGAGCTCTGTTATACACTTAGACACACCAACAATATAGAGCTCGCAGAAAACAGGGACATTAAGATAGAAAAGACAGACAGAAGGATGTGGGTCCAAAGTAGGTACTGTCACTCCTAAATTGGGACACTTGGAAGGTATGTAACAATATTGTAAACAGAAAAACCAACTGGAAAATCTTTAACATGCTGTCCATAAAGTTATATTTATATAAATTGAATACAGGTGGTCCCGATTTAGCACCCTACCTGTTTTATGACGGCCGTCATGGGGATTCCCTGCCCTGGTGCGCAAGTCTATGTTCGGGGAAACTTCCCTGAACATAGACAAACGCATGAGTGCAGGGAATCCCTCTAATCTATGTTCGGGTAAATTTCCCCAAACGTAGATTAGAGGGGTTCCCTGCTCTGGTGCGTTCGTTTATGTTCGGGAAATTTCCCCGAACATAGATGAACGCACCAGAGCAGGGATTCCCTTAACTCCTCACTTACCGACCAATTCGTTCTGCAACCCGGTCATAGGAACGGAACCCGGTCGGTAGGTGAGGAATGTCTGTACATATGTGTGTGTGTATGTATACATATATATGTCTTTTGTCAGTAACTTGTGTCTAGTGTTAATGACACTGTTAAACTGTAATTACTCCAGTATAGGAACATTTGAAAACCCTGAAAGGGCTAACAATGATAGCATGATAATGTGAACCTATTACTGCATATAAACATTCCCTTCTATAAACATGTAAGATCAGCTCAGTAAGCTAAACCTAGTGCATAGAACTGAAAATCATTCCACTGCTATGCACCAATATCTCCGAGATACTGTTCAGTCCAACTAATGCACCACAGTAACCTTTTACATTGTATCCTACACATTTTACATGCGAACACGTTTCATCAATAACTCCTTTGTCACTTTCATCAATAACACCTACATGACTGCTTACCAGTAAATAATATATTCTTACCACTGCCCTTTGATCACATATGAACATTCCAACTTTCAACACAGCAGAAAATCCTTGGGCATGCACGAGCACAAGAATTCCTTTCACCACTTAAAAACCTGTACAGGTGATAATTTTTAACGTCCTGTGAGGCTAACTAAAATCTGTATTAACGGCATTCTCAGTTGAACAGCTAGTTCTTTATGTATTGTAAAGGTCTAAAGCAGCTCAACCGCAGTAGCCACATGAAAAGACCTGACAGGCGTATTAAGCAAACTGTGAGATGTTTTAAAATCACCTAGGAATCCCAAGTTTAATGAGTTACTCTGAGCACCATAACCACTTCATTGATTTGAAATGGTGATGGTGCCTAGAGTCTGTATGTGCAGCGTTTCGCACATACAGAGACTAATCCCTTATCTGCCGGAGCTGTATCTCTGTCTCAAAGGTCCAGGCTGGCTAATGTCAATTCTGTGCATTTTTTTTTTTTATTGGACTAACCCTTTAAGGCCAATATAGCTGAGATGGAAATATGGGTTGGTTGAAGAACTGTTCCAGTCCAACTACTCTTGCCTAAAATTTGCAATTGCTCGATGAAATCCCGATCGTTCATAGTTTAATGAATAACCCTGCAATAAAGACTAGAAGCAGAGTGAAACGCTGGAGAAATTTCACTTTCACTTTGAAAGATAAACACATATCGGAAGAATGCAATTTACAAACTGAGAAATAAGTGCAACCGAAAAACACAGTTCACCAGAAATATTTCTGATCTAAGAACAAGAATTTAGGTGTCTTAGTGCAGAATGAGGCAAGCACATGACGCAGATGATTAATCCCATTGTTACTTTGGTTACTGTTCTCTGAATTATTAATATCATTTTTGCCAGTAACCAACAGCTTTTAGAAATAATAAAAAAAAATGCCATGTCCAGTAGTGTGAATGTGACTGGTATGTTAAAGCAACAATCCAAGCACCATACACAATACAGCAAGCTGTAGTGATTATGGTCAAAGGAATGCCCTTGCGTCTGCGCATTCTAAGGGTTCCGAACATTTTATAACAGTTCGACTCCTTACAATGGCAGGGGTTCCAGAGCTCCCCAGGCACCATAACCACTACAGTAAACCTGTAGTGTGTATGCAGCTTAGAGTGTTCCTTTAATTGCGAGGACAAAGAAGAATTAAGGCAATGGGCAATGACCCAGAGCATACTGATTCTAGAAGGCATTTTAGTGGTATTTGTCAGGATACATAGCTTTACTGAGAGTTCAGTAAGTTTTGATGTCCTTAAATCTGAGCGAATGGGCAGATTCTATGGGTCATAGAGGTGGAAGCTGACTCAGGACATCTAAACATTTTTAATGTCATCCTTTGCTGCTAGTAGATAATATTTAAATTCATGCAAAGGTGGCTGGCTGTATTAAGGTTACCTTTAGCTCCTGGCATCTATTACAAAATTGTGGAATACCATACTTGGCAAGTTGCTATAGAGCATGCAGAGTATAATTAACCAACCATAAACTTAGACAACTTATGCTGTATTTGTCATTTGGCCTCATTTGCTGCATTGAAACTCGGCCTCTACAAATACCCCTTTTAATGTTGAGAAGGGTCATATGGTTTGCTTTGTTTATCGAAAAGTATTCATATAGGAGATATTGTACTTTAAGTTTTACCACCTTTAATCTAACTAACTACTAAACGTAGAGTAAACAATATAGCACACTGTTAGAGACGAAGGCACATGCACACGCACACACAAACAGACAGGCAATCCTAAAACGACAGACATATATTCCAGAAGTGGCTTCTAAAACATATATTATAAATAGTTATTCTTGCAAAACTCTAGCTCAAAGACTTGGGACAATTTTCATCCATGGATGACCCCATATTCACAGTTAAAAAAAATTGTGTGCTTTTGGCTGAAAAATCATTTTCAGAACGCAACATGGAACACTGCTTCTATTAAACACCACATGGCCATTATTTGTTGTGTTATGCATATTGTTTTATCGTTTCATGCACAGGCCAATTTTTCTTTTTACTTATTTTTTTTTTTAACACTTTTTTTTCTGAAAAATTTCAACGCTCTGGAGTTGTCAACTATATTATGAACTTTTCCATCAGCACAAAATAGGCATTCTATGTAAACAAATTCCCATTGCCTCCCTAAAAATGGAGGCAGGTTTTACATTTTCTGTAACTAAAGGTTGCCATTCGCTTCCAGATTTGATTTTATAAATCATTTTATTATTTTATTGTTTTGGGATTTCACAAACCAGATTTACTCAAGGATTGTTTGGTTTTTACTTATTGGCCTAAAAAGACTTTTGAATAGTTTAGTATACGATATATAGAAGGAAAATTTGTTAAACTTTCAATTCTCCTTCCCACAACAAGCTGCACAATGGCAAACACATGTTGGCAGTAGTTGATAGGGTATCTTACTTGTTGTTCCAGAGCATTTTTCTTATAAATGTAGCTGGAAAATGATCTGTGATTTTAAGTCCAAAAACAAAAACTCCAAACAAAAAATACTGTTTGAGTGGTAACTTTTTTTAAAGATATTTAGATGACAATGTGTAAATCATTGCTCATTAGAAATGAATCACCAAAAGCTGTTTCTATGCTTTTTCTGCATCAGAAGTGATTCTCCTGCAAGGGCCCTACTTTTACAATCCCAAACATGAAAAATCTGGAGTTAGATAGCAACCATGCTAACTCTGTTTAAACACACTCTCTAATACTTTCCATAAATACATTTTGTACACTTACACAGGAAGAATGTTACATTCTAATATTCAAAAAGGTATATTATTTTATACGCAAGTCAACATGTTTCTCTTTATGTTTCCGTTCTCTTTTGCGCCTGCTTGATTGCTGGTGATGCTTGGCTGGTTTACTGGACACGACGGCAGTAGTATCCCAAGACCTTACACTTCTCACAAAGATGCTGTGGATGTTCTTTACTCTGATCAGACACATCAAGGCCATCTGGTTTTTCTAAAGGTCTCTGTTGGGAAAAAAAGAAAAGAAAATATAAGTGTTAATAACAAATCATGACTTCATACATTATTTTCTATAGCGTGATACCACATTCCACTATGTTGCATATTGAGACATTTATTTAATCAGAAAATATATCTTCCACAAAGGAGGTTACAGATTGGCTAGGTCTTTAAAAAAAAAAAAAAAGTAAAACCAAAAACCATTTTCAATATTCATACAGGCAGCACACAACTCAAAGTGACACAAATGTATATATATAAAAAAATCTTCAAAATATTATCAGATGCTTTTAACGTAGTCCTAACCATCTTACATCTTTGGTGAAAAAAACAAATTTCTATTGCTCTCGATACAGATTAGAGGAAGGATCTATAATAAATTATATTTGTGTTGGACAACCATTTTTCAGGTGGTATATAGTCTGTGCTATATTTATCTAAACAGCCATTTCATCACTGTAAAAAAATCACATTGTTCCTTGAACATAAATTGCATCTAAACTCCATTTTAATAGGACATTACCACCAACATTTTTGGTTTATATTTTAAACAATTCTAATGTTTCTAAAAGCGTTTTGTCTGTTCTACTTTGTATAATAATGTATATAGCAAAAGCTAGTGTTGCTAAATAAGATTTGGGCCAAAACCAGGGATGAAGGTAACAATTGATCAGCACGTTGTTGTACAGCTAGTAGACTGTTCAGGCTCAACTTATGCCTTATGGAAATCATTAAACGTGGGTGAACTAGGATGTGTTCAGGGAGTGACTTGTGAGGGTTTCCTGCTGTTGTGCCATCTATTTGTACAAGTCCAAAAATGAAGAATCATTTCTGTGCCAAAGACAGGCTTATAAATTAATTAAAATAAAAATGACAAAAATAAACTTTTGTTTAACTATCTCTTTGTTTTAAAGTTATATTAGCTGGTTAAACAAGACTTTCTTTTTACAGAGTAAAATCTGCTCAAATCAAAACTACATTTGAAATTCTAAAAAGGGAGACATATTTTAAAACGTTCTCTTTTTATTTTTGCTTAGTATTCTAATACATATTGTTTGTATTAAACCTGTTACTTGGTTGGTTGCTACCTCCCACCCTTCCTTTTGTGTTTTTATACCTCATCTCTTCTAGAATGTAAGCTTTTTCAAGCCAGGTCCTCATCAACCTATTGTTTCTGTAACCATTTGTAATAGTCTCATCTATTGTTAAATTTCCCGCTTTATAATATTGTAAAACGCTTCAGAATATCTTGGAGCTATATAATGCTGCTGATGATGATGATGATAATAATAATAATAAAAAAGACAGAAACATGCTCATCATGCTTAACATATGTGACTGTTTTGCACTAAGCTTTTCCTGTTCTGTTATTCACAAAGAAAAAAAACAGGAAAAAAAAACGAACAATCTACAATTCATCCAATATCCGTTCAACTTTCATTTTCGCCACTGATTCAGAACTACAGTGCCTTGCATAACTAGTCATTACCTAACATGTTGTTGTGCTACAATGTGTAACTAGAAATTATTTCATAGGGATTTTTGCCATTTAATTTTCACAACAAACCTAACATTTTGAACGCGCAAACTCATTTTAATTGTTACACTAAAGATAAGTAAACAAAAACAACACAACCACAAAAAATTATAGCCTTTAGCTGCCATATCGATTGATGTACAGAGTCCACCTGTGTTCATTTTAAATGCCTCGATTTTATAAGCTTTCCAATAAATTATTTAATACTGTTAGAAAAACCTTCCAAATTATTTATCTACAGAGGTCACCATTAAAGGTCATTTCAAAGGGCTATTGGCCCAGCCAAGACAGTTGGGAGAGTGTGAAAGTGAAAGGGTTAATGACACCAGACCCCTGGTTACCTGTTGCTAGTCCCAGCAACCACTACATTAACCCCTGCAATCCCTTCTACACTAACACCCTAGTACACACTTTACTGCTACCACCAAGACTTTATATGCAGCGTCTTAGGTTACCCTATACACAGATGATTATAGTATCACAACCTTACTTTACTGATCAGACATATATAATTAACCCTTTTGGTAATGTGTTTACCTGAGTTTTCCTCAGAAGAGTGAGCTCATAGAGAACAAAGACACAAGCTGATTAAGTAAACATTTAATCTGACAAAAAGGATTCACAGTGCTGAGTACAAAAATACAGAAATAAATGACATACAGAAACACAGATAACAAACACAGAAAAACAATATCAGTGTTAATGTATTCACTTTTATTTACTGAGTGTCAGGAAGCACAGAGGGCCGCTGGGTAGGGGTGTTGCTGATTGGCTAGAGCGGTCAGCTGGCACTCTAAGCCAAGCAGTAGCTCCCCATTCATAAAAAAATAAAACATTTTTATGAACCGGGAACTAGCGATTGGCTTAGAGCGTCAACTGACCACTCTAGCCAATCAGCGGCACCCATGCCTGACGTCAATCTGCACTTCCTGACACTCCGTTTCAGAAGCTGAATACCACTGAGCAACCTGGAGATCTGGAGCTGGAGGAAGCCTTTGGGCTTAAACCATTTTGAGAGCAGTTTAACCCCTTAAAGGAAAGAGAGCACACAGGGGCTTCCTGGCATCATAGCATTTTCATTTAGATGAAGTTGTTATGGTGACCAGAATATTCATTTTATTTGCTTAAAGGAACACCATAGTTGTGAAAATGCTATTCACCCTGGGTTTATGTGATAATGACTATGTCCCTTCCCTTTCATGACACTGTTAAAAAAGGTACCAAGTATGGATGTCATTATAATTATGCCCACCCCCCTGGAAAAATTCCACGGACGCCCACGTCTACATGTAATAAATAGTACTGCCATATTTATCTTCCTTACTAAACACACCTTCTCTTCTTGCCAGTCTACTATATTTTATTCCTTCAAGATCTATTTCAAATTTAAGGTGATCTCCAAGCGCCGATCGCTTTACCTGGTGCTGAATTCAAGGTGAGTAAAACCTTCTTTTTTATTTCAGGTTTTAATACACATAGAGAGGGGGACCTTCCCCATAATGCTTAGTAGGGCATGTTATACCAGAAAGGTCTCCCCAATCAGTAGGATTATAGTAACTCATTAACCATCAGGCTTATCTCCAGCTCTTTCACCTTATAAATAAAGATCAGAAGGAAATATGCAAGTGAGAACGTGCTATGTATGAAGAATTTACCCCATATCTGTAATGCATACTTAGGCTAAATTACTCTAGGGTGTTTGTTTCAAAAGAATTCTGTAGCATGGATGGTCTTGAGGGAAGGATGGGTTCTGGACTCTTGGTTTCTTCCAATATTCTATTTTCTATATTTCTTTTATTACCGTAAGTTAGCTTGTTCATTTTTAACTATTTCTCTTTTTGTTTTACTTATTTATTTATTTTATTTTGTAGTTATTTACTTTTGCTTGTTTATGGCAATGTGACCTAGAACTAGAGGATAACTCGGAGAACAAGCAATCTGTCAAAGATAAGCCTTGCCTTGACATAACACCTATTCTGAACGGTCTGATAAGGTAAAAGACCATGGGTTTAAAGGTCTAAAGGTCAGTCTGTAAAAGTCTGCTTATGTACTTGTTACTGGGTTACTAATAACGAGGGTCACTCACTGTGAAGTACATGAGATGCAGTTTGGAAAGCATATATGGTTAATAAAAATTCATTCTCTTCTAGTTTTTGTTTGTTTTAAAAGAAATGTTTTTAGTATCCAAACATGTAAATTGCATGAATTACTTTTATATTGATTATAATAAGAAAGAACTATTGCATCTGAAAGACATACAACGGTTTTGTTTTTTTTAACATTCAAGACTCTGTCAACCTCCCATCTCCAAAAACCCACTGAGTATTTCATAGATACAAAGCATTTCTGAAATACTCACAGTGACTATGTTAGAATTTCACTGAAATTCTAACCCAGCCAAAAGATAAAGATGCACTCAAAAGAGAGAGACTACTTTGCCCTCTGATTGACAATAGATCGAGTTACTGCCACCAGCCTTTGTCAAGTTCCACAACTATCAATATTAACAGCTGTGGGGAAATACATTGTCTCTGATTGTAAGACAATAACTATGGAGGCTATTAAGAGATCCACTATAGACATCACTGTTGTACTCTCGCACATGCGCAAATTATAGCAGTGACATAGGAGGGCGGATGAAGCATCAGGAGCTGAAGAAAGCACTGCACCCCTGAGCCACTGCACACCAAGCAGTGATTTCACAATCCAGAGTCTTCACAAATTAAGAATTTGTTTCTCCTCAACTGACATTAGCAATTGAAAGTGTTACTCAAATAGTATTGAAGGATTAAGTGGAAGGTGTGTGTTTATAAAAGCATGGTTTTGTTACAATGTGTATCCTCTTGATCAGGGGCTCCCAACCCAGTCCTCACATACCCCCTAACAGTCCAGGATTTAGGGACTACCACTTTAGACACAACAGGGTAATCACATAATAATATGTGAGTATGTAATGGAAATCCAGGGGTGTCAGTCCCAGCTTGGGGCCTCTGACCCAACATATGACATGTTTCCTTCTCCGACCCAAGAGAACCCAAGGGATCTATAACTACCCACATTGCTACCAGCCTAGCAGTACTTGTAAATACAGTAGTACAGTAGTAAGTAGCCTAGTAACAACCAACAGTAAAACACTTAAGGATTGAAAAAGGAATATTTCATATTATGGAGAGAACAGGGCCCCATATACACCTGGAAGGGAGTGGTTGACCTAAGAGGTTAAGTCAAGGATGCAATGCAACTTCAGGATGGGGAGTGGAAGATCCTCGTCTAACACTAGATTCCAGGTAAGTTTTAACCTAATTTTTATTGGTTTTTTTTGGTAACAATTAATTGGAAGCCCTACCAAATAGTGCCAAATAGGATACTATAAAGAAAAAAACATTTAACTGACAGATACTCTCCCAACTCTGAAATTGGGACTATTGAGAGGGCTAAGAACATTATTTTAAAAACAAACAAAAAGTACAATAAACACCTGATTTTCTACCAAGAATATAGTCATCATAATATCAACACCAAGTTTCCTTTAATTGAATCAAAAGAACCAGAGTTAGATGAGTTGAGCCACTCGACTAAGTCTGTATTGCCTTTGACCTACCTGTTTGTGAGGGTATACGTTGATGTGACACTTTATGCATTCTTGACCCATATTAGCCCAAGAATTTCCACTCATCCATTTTCTTTTGCACTTTGGGCACTTGTATTCCCCGAAACATCGCTTCTTCCCTTGGTATGGGGTTAGTCCTTCACCCTTTGGACGAGCCTGTTTGTCAAAAGATACACATTTATGATTAGCATTTAGGAATATATCGTAATGTATCGTAATTCACTAGAAGCCCAATTTCAAAGGTTGCACTGTGATGTTAATAAAACAAAACTAGTAGACCTCTCTTATATGAGTGCCCTAGCTCTAAAAATATTTTTTCCAGGCCTATATACTTAATATTTTTCTCCTGTTTTGTGCACCCTATGGAAATTATATATAACATATATAAATATTTATTTTATTTCAGTTTCCATTTTCCAAACACTCTAATATATTTTAGTTTTGTGTGCTACATAAACAATGGAGTGTTCAACCTCTTTTATTCAAGAGAGGCTAAACAGCAAATGTCACATTTAACCCACTGACTACTGTACATAGCATTCCATGTCTCCGTGAGTGTTGAGTGACTTGATTTAACATGGATAATAAAATAGCATACCATTGTTTTTCATTTTTCCTTTGTGGCTCGTTTACAGTGCATATTCTCAGGTCCGTTATGCCAAATATGTTAGGGGTTTGGTAGATATCCAAAAATGGAAGATATTTGGTAATATAAAGTTATTAATTTTTCTTGCGGTGTCATGTTAAAATTCTAAGAAACATAACATTAATAAATGAATCCAGGATTGACAATTTTCCTTCTACAAGAACCAGAGTAATCGATAGTAGTTAAAGGTTTATGTCCTGAAATAGAGTGAAAACAACAGGCTTTGCATATTTTGCATTGATTTATTCACTACAATTTACTTCTTCTAAAGCCATCATATTATTTTTTAGGCGTCATATGTTGTCCCATTGATGGGTGGTAATTGGCTATTTATTGCATGTACCATGTGAAGTTGGATTCTGCACAATTATCATAAGTTCTAACTATAAAAATATGTCAGAGAAGGGAAATGTCATAAAAGAGGGGGATGGAGTAAAAGCATAGTAATGTTTGTAACAGAAAAACCTAAACATTATTAATAAGTTAGAGGTTGTGATAGTACCAGCTCGAGTTTACGCTTAGTTTTAGGCACAAAGTTAGATGTGTCTCAATTCCAACTGATTTCTATATGGGACAGAGGATATTCAAGAATCAAAATGAGTTCCGCAAAATAGATTAATTAAAATTAATTTTCTCAGTCTCACCGCTCTGCATGAAGGCGCTGAATGTTCCCCAAAGAGATGCATTGGCTGCTGGGGAAAGCATTGGATTGGCTGAAATCATCAGGATTGATGATCTCCACCATGGCGAGGTGGAGCAACGATTGGCCAGCAGCGACATGAACGGCGTGGAATAGGAGAAAAGGTGAGTAAAATAAAGATTTTATTCCGATCGGAGGGGGGCCAGTCACCTAAGCTTCCATTCAGGTCGATAGTCTCAGGAATGTTTGTATTCCTGAAACTATAGTGTTTCTTTAATATTGTCATTAAAGACACTGTGCATTTCACAAAAGGTTCAAATGTAAAAGATTTGCATATTATGAATTCTGCAGGCACAGGAGATATTTCTTATTATTTATGGTCTTCCCCCACCTCGTTATCAATCTGTTATTGTTTTATTATGAGTTCCTGTGTGATGCCCATATGATTTGATTATTTGTATTAGATTGAGTCTGTCACCATAGGTTGAACCCCTTAAGGACCGTGGACGTATGAGGTACGTCCAACAAAAAACTGCTAATTTGAGTGCTGGAAGCGATCGTGATCACTTCCAGCCGCTCTATGGGTATTGTACGATGTGAAGGCATCGTACAATATCCCCCCTCACTGCCAGGCACCCGAGTGATCACTCCCCCTTGCAGCTGATCACTTCTGGTTTGCCGCAAGTGGCACCTGGCAGTGTAGAGCAGAGCATTGGAAGCCATCAGGCAGGGGTTGAGGCACTCAGGAAAACTTAAAAAAATTAACCCCTACCCTCCTTCCCTCTCCTCCCCATGTACTTACCTATCACCGCCGTTCCCCCGCCGGCAATCTGTCATATTCTGTAATTTAGGACCCCCAGGTCTAAAAGAGTGGTTACATGGCCGCAATAGGTGTCCACAGTGCTGCCAGCAGGGGGACTGCCTGAACTGACATGCAGTCCCCTGCTGGTGAAAAAAGTAAAAAATAAATAAAAATAAAGGTAATACATTTAAAAAAAATAAAAATAATATATATATGTGTTTGTACATTATATGTATATATATATTTATATCAAAATACACTTAGAATGAAATTATATATATCTATGTATATCCCCTTAATGACTCCAACGTTTCGGCAGCCAACTGCTGCCTTTATCAGTTTCAGTTACCCTTGATAAAGGCAGCAGTTGGTTGCCGAAACGTTGGCGGTCTTGTGCCTCGTGCTTCTGTCCTAGGGCTGTGTGGAGCTTTGTTGGTATTGTTCTATTTGCTATTGTATTTGCCCTTGCTACTGTCATTTTGTTTTCTGATTTTTGTATTATTTGTGAGGTACTATTTATGTACATAATAAATTAAATTTTTTTACTCGTAAGTGATTATAGTGTGCATTCTGTAGTTCATGGATGTTTAGATACCTTGAACACCCGAGGGAGTGTTTATATGGTTTGCACCTAGCTTTTTTATGTGTTTTGTCTCTCCATGTGCTTCTTATTTTTTAATTTCTTAATCATATTTTGGAATTTTTGTAATAGTAAATTATGATATGATGAAAATAATGGTATCTTTAGAAAGACCATTTAATGGCGAGAAATACGGTATATAATATGTGTGGGTACAGTAAATGAATAAGAGGAAAATAACAGCTAACCATAAACACAGCAGAAATGTAAAAACAGCCCTGGTCCAAAACGGTAAGAAAATTTAAAAGTGGTCTGGTCACTAGGGTTAATGGAATGCGATTACGGGCTAGTCCTGAGAGAAAATAAAGCTTTGTGTGTTAGTTCCATTGGGAACTGGGTGTCCTGGTTGGTTTTTTTAGGGATCCCAGTAAGAGAGTCTTTGGACCTTTTGGCTGGCTGATTTGGTGTCTGATTCTCGGGACAAGGTAAATAAGCTAGATTTGAGTGCCACAAGTGCCTTTCTAAAGTCAGTAGCTGGTCACAGTGTAGGCAGAGGCTAATGATACCTGGCTGGGAGAGAAGCTGAAGAGGCAGATGGGAAAATACCTCCCTGGAAGGAGAGTGGTGTAGCTTGGTCTAGGATGGAAGAAATTCTCAGCGAACGCAGGATCCCTGATAGCAACCATGAAGCAGATTTGGCGGAGCTACTCATTAAGAGTACAGGAGTTCCACCACAATTTCGTTTTGGTTTAGGATCATTCTTCCAGGACAATCAATGAAACGAATACAAGCTCTAAACATCAGTTGATAGTCAAATGCAGATCAGTGAAATAACAGACCCCAAAATAACTTTACAAATTCTAAGTATAGTCTGTAGAATAATACTTTTTTTTCTTTTCGAAAACTTACATAGGTCAGTGGTATGCTGTTCACCTGTTGAATGACTGTTTTGTGGATGACATGTGACATTGCATAACACTAGCGCTATTAACAAAACATGGATTTAATGCACTGCCAGATGTCTCTCCAAGTGGACTGTAAATAAACAGAATTGTAAAATTACGCTTGGATAGTTGTAAATAATTTGAATCTTAACGTTTTAAATGATCATGTGGCACTTTAAAAGTGTGGTCTATACCCTTTTGAACTAAATATTTGTTTCTTTATAATAGTCTTATTTTACTCAATCAAAAATAACATGTACATGATACTAACTACTTAAAACTACTTCAAGTCTTAAAGTCCGGAAGCTCTAGGCACAAGAGTTACATGCCTTTTAATCTGAGAAAGTAATTTTTATAGTTTTCATTCTCAAATATGTAAAATTATTTGCATTGGATTTTACATAAGGTTTAGATGACTAAGCCAGGGACCTTCCTCAATTTGTCCCTGTCACACAGCCGGACCGGATGTTGTTACGTCATCAACATGCACGCACATTTTGGCATCACCAGGTCCCAGCAACCAAATGGAACTCTTCTTAGCCTTTTTGAACTCACCTTGCCTATTGTTTGATGCCCTGTTTCCATTTTGTGGTTTATCCGAGAACGCGTTTATTTCTTCTATTGTCTGGCATTTTGACCTTGGCTCATCTTTGACTATTCTCCCTTCTGATTTATCTTGACCTTTGGCCTTTTCCTTACATTTCATCTCTATTCTGTAACCCTGACCTCAGCTTGTCTTGTACTATTCTTGGTGCGTTTAATCCGTCCATTCTAAAGTCCAGTAATACCCTTATATTAGTATTTGCTTTCCTTATATGTGCCTGTTGGATCCAGTCTATCCGTGACATTACGACAGGGCCATCATGGATCCTGCAAATATTAGCCAGCAAATGACTACTTATAAGACCAAAGTAGAAGAACTCGCTCAGGCACTTCAGACTGTTATGATTCAACAGCCTTCCGGATTCTGAGGCCTCCTACTACAAAAGTCCTTCTATAAACCTGTCGCCTCCTCCTAGATTTAGTAGTGACCCCCAAGAATGTCGGTGATTCTTGAACCACATAGTGCTTTGCCTAGATCTTTTTCTTCTTTTTCGGGCCAAAATAGGTTATTTCATGAACAAGTTGATTGGCATGGGTTAACCCTTATGGGAAAGTGAGCATTCTATAACTTATAACTACAAGTAATTTGTTACTGAGTTTAAGTTATCCTTTGAACCACTAGGGAAGGAGAAATCAGCCTTGATGCGTATAAAACAGGGTTATCATTCGGTATCTGATTATGCAATAGAATTTCATACGTTGGCTCATGATGTCGACTGGACCAATAGTGGCTTGGTTACAGCATTTGCTGAGGGTCTGTCTGAGACCTTATTTTACGAAACTGCCGATAAAGACTTACCTAAGGGGTTGAATGACTTTCTCATGTATATGATGCATATAGATAATAGGCTCAGGGAAAGGAAGATGTGGAAAAGCAGACCAAACTGCTTGTCTATTCCTTTGGATGCTTCCGAATGGCCGAAGTGCCGACTTTAGAAAGTCCAAACCGAACTGAATTTTGGAAGTGCCGAAGTGCTTCGGATGTCATGTTTTTTTTCTTTAACAAATGCCAAACAAAAAAAAAAAATAAGAACCTCTCCCATTTTATTTTGAGGCAGTTTCAGCACGGCAAACTTATGTGGCAGCAAAGCAGAGAGATAAACTGACAGTCCTTGAAAATAGAAGTTTAGATGATGTGTACAGGGTTAGTCCATAAGCAATGTCCTTTATCCAGTCCGGTTTCAGTAACAGATGCAATAAGTAAGTTAGAGGGGAGTAATCCAGAGGCAGTGTTAAAGTCCAGTCCGAGGTCGTTCAATAGGAGATCAAGCAGTATTGAAGGAAATTCCAAAAGCAGAGTCAAGGCCAGTCCGAATTAGTTAACCAGGTAATCAAAGATATAGGGGTATGAAGAGGAGATTCAGAAGGGGTCCGGTGATGGAACACACGGTCTCTCTAGGAGTTATTCTAATGATTAGGAAGGAACTTGATGCAATCAGTCAGCTTAACACATTACTTGTGCACTGAGGTATTGGAGATTGGAGTTTATATAACCAAGGGGTGTGTACTTTCATGCCGTCTTAAAGGGCCAGTAATAAACAAATAAAATTCCTGACATCGGACTTCTAAAAAAGTGGCAAAACGGGTAGGATTGGGGTAGTATTAGGGGCAGGGGTTGGGGTAGGCTAGGGTAGGGTTAGGTTAGGGGTAGGGTTAGGGTTAGGGTTGGGAGTAGGGTTAGGGTACCTCTACCCCTAACCCAACCTACCCCTAACCTAACCTAACCCTAAACCTAACCCTACTCCTAACCCAACCCTAAACCTACACTTACCCTAAATCCCGAAGTGCCAAAGTCCCAAAGTGCCGAATTTCGGAAGTACCAAACCGAACCGAATTTCCGAAGTTCCGAATTTCAGAATGCCGTACCGAACCTAATTTTTTGGCCATGCACATCCCTAATGGACATTAGCATATCAAAAGAACCCACAATAAAAGAGGAGATACAGGCATATGATAAATTAGAGAATTAGTTTACATTGAAACTAGACTTAGAGGCAGCTCGTGTAACTTTTCACACCATGCAGAGGGGCTCTAGAGTCACAGTTTTAAAAGAATTGTAAACCTTCTGACATCTATCACATTCCTATATAATTTAAATTAACCCCTTCTGACAACTATTATTTACCATCAAACTGGCCATTTCACCTCTACCAAGTAGCCAATTCATGTATGCATTACACAAACAACATTAAATAGCAATATTCTATAGTGCAACAGTAAATTATGCATCCTTAAAATGACATTGTCTACCAAAAATGTGACCATATACTTTTTAATGCATTATATAAATAATGAATTAACATAAATTGTCAAAAACTTAATAAAAATTTCAAACCAATAATGTTACTCATCTTTTAAAGTATCTATAGGTGCATTGCCTCATGGTCTGTTCCCTCAAGAGCACCTCCGAGGCCGTTCTTATTCCATATTCTCTGTTCTGCAGTAGTAGCAAAGTAGTTTATGCACATAGAGCTGTCCAATCATCACATAGAATGATTTGAACTGCTCAATAGGCTGATGGCAATCATACGATGAAAGCTATCAATATATACACAACTCCGTTTACTGTTTAGTGAACTGGGCTGTTTGTTATTATCAGGTAAGCCTCAAACCATACATATGCTGTATGCAACTTGGCTCTCTTTCTAAGGTGTACTTCCAGATATTTGTACCATTTTCATATTCTACGCCTCTCGAAGAATAGTCTTTATGAATGATTATTTTATTCTTGGGAACATGCCAGGATCAAGCCCTCTGAAATTCTATACATCTTCCTCCCCAAGAGAAGAGAGGGAAATGTTATACCTGGATAAGAACAAAATTACCCAAAAGAGGCAAAAGTGTAATTATTTTTGACTTGGAGGTCATTTGTAAAACCCAAGGCAATTTCCAAGTATGAACATATAATGTTGACTTCTGAAATTTCTTCAAAATATAATTTCCTAGTTTTCATTTCTTGCTCTCTATTTAGGAGAGAAATTAAATAGTTTAACAACACGTGGGATTAAAGTATTGGTATAGTTATTTAAAGAGACACTATAGTCACCAGAATAACTACAGTTTAGCGTAGTTATTCTGGTTCCTACAGTCTGTCCCTACAGGCTTTTTAATGTAAATGCTGCCTTTTCAGAGAAAATGCAGTGTTTACATTACTGCCTAGGGACAATTCGAGTGTCAGTCACTCAGGCGGCCAATCCTCTGTTGAAGCTTTGTTCCTGCCTCATAAGGGGCCTCTCGCCCCACCCTCTGGGCCAGCAGCTGGGCTGGACTGGCCCACCGGGATACTGGGAAATTTCCCGGTGGGCCGCGGCACCTAGGGGCTGCGCATGTAGGTGCCACTGGGTGGCCGGTCCGGTAGCATACTCTGAGGGGGCCACGCTGGTGCCACCGGGCTGGGTGGCAACCTAGACGGTCCAGCGACACACTCACTAATGCTGACAGCAGTGAGCTGTCAGCATAGGAGGACTGAAGGAGGGAGCATGTCTCTCTATCATGATGTGGCTGTGCTGGGACTTGTGGGAACCGCGTCGGCGAGGGAGCAAGATAGAGTGACATGCTCCCTCCTTCAGTTCTCCTATGCTTATAGCTCATTGCTGTCCGCATTAGTGAGTGTGCCGCCGAATCGGCTATCCGACCACCCTGCCCGGCACCACCAGCATGGAACGCAGCCGGCCCCCTTTGACAGAGGGGGAAGAGAGAGACTGGGAAGAAGAAGGGAGACATGGACACAGAGGAGCAGTGAGGGGGAGAAAGAAACATACAGAGGAACTGGGGGGAGACAAAGAGGCACACAGAGGGGCTGGAGGTAGAAAGACACACATAGCAGCTATATATATATACGACATGTATATTAATGTGTGTATTCGTTATTTATATAATTATGCCTATAATATTTACACATATATTAATGTACATTTATATATGCATAATACACAGAGAAATGTAATTAATATGTAACATATGTAATGAGCAGATATTTGCCCAGTCTTGTTGCTAGGTGCATACTCCAGCACAATAACATATTTAAAGTGAAGAACGCACGCACAGAACTTGGAAATAAACAAGATAACATCAATTTGTTACAGTTGTGCCCTACATACATTCACCATTTCAGTCCCGTTACCAAGCTTTCCTTAATATGTCAAGGTAGTTGGCCTGAAACAATGATTACATGCAAAGGCACGTCTGCTTAAAATAAATCTACACTTTTGTTTATTTTGAAGCCTATGAGTGTTTTTTTTTCACGTTGGAGTAATAATTTTTAATTTTAAGTTATCTTTTCTAACTCTGTATCAGCACACTATGCTGGCGCGATGCATTATGGGGCTGGTATATAAATTTTTTCCAGGGCTGCTTTTAGTTCCCAGTCTGGCTCTGGCTGGCAGTAGTTAACCTGGTCCCCACTGATGTGCCCCTTGTCCTTGGCAAACAGAATTACCAGTCAACTGCGAACTTGGTGCCAGAGGCCTGCTCCCTTAGATGGCCATCACCGTGCAGAAGCCTATTCATCTAGACTCTCTGCTGGAGGAGTTTGACAACCTGTGCACAGCATTTCAGGTCAGAATCAATGCCCGAACTGCGACTGCTGTGCCTACAAGACCAGGAATGGCAGCACAGATTCAAGCTCCAGGCGGCAGAGACCCAGCAATGTCTCCATGACATCTCTACCGGATGGTGGGAGAGCGTGGACAGAGGTCAAAGCGGGCTCTACCTAATAGACTACCCCCTTCCAAGTCCCACCGTCACGACTCTACTCTGACCACACTAACTAGCGCACTTCATGCAGCTGGGAAGCCTTCGCTCAGCATTGTCTACAACGTGCTGCGGGACTGTCTGGAGGCCTGGTTCCAAAAGTTGCATTTGGCAGGATATCTGGCAGTGCAGTGCGGTGCCACATCTACAATTGAGGCTGGCAAAGTACCACTCCACAGTCCGGCGGACTGAATTACCAGAGAATCGCCTGCCTCACTTCCAAGAATAAACTGAGTGACCATGTGGACTTATAGTGTATTGCTATATTTTTTGTATTAAGGCCAGGAGTCTGTGGGTCTGGGGCTTGCCTCTACTCCTCATATCTTTCAACAACAGTGTGCACCAGTGGCACAATTCCTTTTTGTTCAAACTTGTTTTCTTGAATACTTTAACTAATATATTGCTACCGTTCTCACTTACCCTGTCTTAGGCAGCCTCTTATCATATATAATTAATTTGATTCAGTCCTCTATCGAAACAGGTATGCTTAGCTTGACATATATTTTATTACTTAAAATGTGCTGAAACCACCAATGCCATATTCTGTATTAATATGCTTATTATTTTGTGTGCTTACCTAAGCTTACATATTACTCCTGCACCTTAAAAATAAAGAATAAAAAAATAAAAATAAAAAAAAGTTTTGGGTATTGTGAGGTGCTATCCGAACACCCGCAAAATACTTACATACATATCTATTTTTGCATTTATTAATCCTATATCTTGGTATTAGATACTAAATTAGATACTAAACATGGGGCTGCATCTATAGGACATTCATAGTTAAAAGGACAAACTACAAGGAAACAGGTTTTCACACGGGGAGGAAATGGACACACCAACATCTTTTGTGAGTCTCTTAGGAGTACGTGATCCATGTATCTACCCATAGAGAGTGCTGTATAATGTATATAACCTTCTATTTATGATTGTAGACTAGCTTTCTAGATGTTATAAAAAAGTTCACGGGATCCCTTTTGTTTAAAGTTAAACAAACAAAAAAAATGTGCTAACAATATTGACGTACACTGTGGTGAAAGAAGTCAGGGCGTGGAAATAAAGAATCCCAATGCATAATATACACACTCACGCAAGCTTCCAGCCCCTAGCAAATTAAAGCCAGTTATGTTCCCTAGGGAGTGACAACAAGGGCCTGAAACTGTACAAAACTGCAATAAGCAGGCTGTAGCCTATACGTGTAGCTTGAAATACCACTGAAAATTAGTCATCACCTCCAGCTGTAGCAGGACCATACTCTCCAGGCTTTCTGAGAATCAAGAATCGTCAATCGACCATATTATCTTTTAAATATTTGCACTTTAAACGTTCTGTTTACAATAGCACAGGATTGGTTAACAATGAGCTTGTGAGCTTAATGCAGACCAGAAAACATTTTTGTGTGACCATGTTCTCTCCAGTGCATTTTTTGGTGTGATCCACTGGTCCTGCATACATGTTAGCTTGTGCAGTTTGTACTAATAAAGACAAATAAACCCTGCAAATGCTAAACTGGCAGTTAAAGAGTTAACATGTTTTATAGAATGCAGGCTTGTTTAGACTCAGGCAGGGCCGGATTGGGAAAAACATTCGGGCATTTTTCAATCACAGCAGCCCCCTCAGAAGCCCCCTCAAATGACAAGCACGCCCCCTCTCAAAGTGAGCATGTTAGTTTAATGCGCAGAGCCCCACTGAAGAGCTCTAGCGTGAGAAAAACTTGTCTCTGGTGTCTCCATAAGTGGGATACCAGAGGACAAAAGGGCCAGGAAAGCGTATGGTGCATGTGTTTGGGGTCTGCTTGTGGGATTGCGTGTGTATAGAGTGAGCTGATTGTGGCGTGGTATTGTGTAAATAGGTTGATTTCATTCGTGTTTGTGGTGTAATATGTGTGTATACGGGCTGTAGAGTGTGTGTGTATAGGGGGCATAGTGTGTATAGGAGATGTAGTGAGTGTGTGTATACGGGCTGTAGTGTGTGTGTGTGTGTGTATAGGTGACATAGTGTGTGTAGGGGTTGTAGAGAGTGTGTGTTTAGAGAATGTAGTATGTGTTTGCTTACAAGGAATGTAGTATGTGCATAGGGGATCCAGAGTTTGTATGTCAGGAATGTAGTGTGTGTAGATGGTGCAATGTGTGTGTAGGGGATCTAGTATGTAAAGGACCATCATGTGTGTGTATGTATGTGTATAGAGGATTCAGACTGTATATAGGGATCTAGGGTGCTGTGTGTGTAATGGTGATCTCTCCTGCTGGCCTCGGCCCATGGCCATCACGGCCCACCGGGCATTTGCCCGGTATGCCCGATGTCCGGGGCTGGACTCAGGTGAAAAATATCACAAAGATTGATTGGTTTAGAGAAAATAATAATTGCCATTATCAGTAGGTGTCCACAAAGGTGAAACTGCTTAGATTTTACATAGCACCAACATAGTCTGTAGCACTTTTACAGTTATAGAATGGGGATATTTGAAAACAAGTAATTGACATACAAACTAATAACAAGAGGTGAAAAAGGACCCGCTCAAACAAATTTACAATCTATGAATATTTATGATCCCACATCCTTGTTTTAGCAAAACGTACTCAAAATATGCCAACGTTTTGGAAAGAAGAATTTATTGTGTAGTATGAGAAGAGTCTGTCCAAACGAGCTACCTGCATACTTCTGACAAAGAATTATACAAGGCGAGTTGTGCAACGAGATAGGAAGAATCCTTGCAAAATTCACGCATTTAATTTTTAAATTCCAGAAAATACAATCACAAGTATAATTCACATAAACAGCGAATGTCAAGATGGTCATACAGATTTCACCTCATTACTGTCAGTTTATACAAATTATGGATTAGTTTAGCAAAACAACTGTTCAACAAAAAGTTCAATGATTTTGCATCCATTTTCCTTCTGGCATAAGTGACGATGACATTGTCATAAATAGAGAGAGCCTAACAAACAAACCTAAAAGAAACCGTAAAGAAACATATAACAGTCCTTAGACTGGCTGTGCTAGTACCGAAAACAGATAAACTGAATACAAACAGAGTAAACAAGAGAAAGGCTGGGGTACACAGAGATCCGCAGAATCAATAGTCAAGCCAAGGTCAGGATAACAGAAATCAAGCATGGTCAATAAAGCCAAGGTCACAAAACAGTAAATTCATGCACAGAATTGTCTTCCGATAGATAGGGACAATTATAAAACACCCCTCCTTGGATAGTTTCTACAATCACAATATTTTTCCCTATTGCCAACTTCCGATGGAATGTTTTGAGACTTTGAGAAATGCTTATGTTTGTTTGTTTGTTAAAAAAAAAGGATACTAAAAAAGAAAACAGTGCTACAGAATTTGCTGGCGCTATATAAATAATAATAGTAATAATGTGTAAAATCGTGCCCCACGGGATAGCGATGGAAGAAAAAGGAGGCGGGCCAGTGATATTCACATGTTCTGCCTATAGGGTTCGTTTCGCCCATAGAATTGACAGGCCAGCCAGACGTGAATGCATGCCATGCTGTCTGTCAACTAAAATTAGATTCTACAGGGTCCTTGTACCCTGAAAATAGTGCAAGCATGTCTAATGATGCTTGGTGGGGACACTCCAAAGTCGGTACCAGAGAGACATGACCCGAAAATTGGAACTGTCCTGACAAAATTGGGAAAATTGGAAGGCCTGTGAAAAAAAAACACGTTACATATGATCTGCATGTTTGCTCAATGCCCATGTGGAGTTGGCAATCTAGCATACTCACTGCTGTTCAGTGCAACGATCTAATAAGTCCTTATCAAAGTTCTGGTTAAAGGACTCACAGCATCAGAAGGCTTGCCTTATTTTAATCAGTGCTGTGGTTGGAAGCAGATATGATCTCCATGTGTGGGTGTGTGTGGTTTGCCTTAGATCTCCTCTGGTAAAGAGTTCACTGTGGTGTGTGGTTTGTCAAGGTTGATACCCTGGGGCTGTGTCTAAACCGTGAGCTCCACGGTGGAAAAATCAAACTCTGGCAAACTAGAAATTGGTATTTCTTTTCCTTTCAAAACCTGCTGCAGCCCTTCATAATTTAAGGTTTACCAGATTATTTACAGTCAATTTTCTGTTTTCAAAGTGCATTTCAAATTTTAAGCTAAATACTTTGAATTCACCGAACAGCGATACTTTAGTGAATAACCTTGCTTGGTGATGTGAAGTGTTTTAAAGTGAAGTCTAATTTTAGGCTCAATAAATTACCAAGATAACATTTTGTAATTTACTTTGTTTTTTTTGTGTTTGTGAGGAGAGTTTTCAGTTTTTGTAATGCAGATGACCTAACAAGGGAGAACATTTGTTGAATATTTGGGACAATATCATATACCATAGTGCTTCATGTGGACAAAATGGCATCATGAAAGGAAAATACGTATATGTGGTACATGCTGCAAGTACCAGGCTGTTCTGGAATGGACAGAGATTTCGAGTTTATGATTCAGAGTTTGTGAATTGGTCCTTGTGAATGAAAACCTGGAAATATGTCAGGGTAATGTTTTGCACAGATTGTATTTCTGGTCTTCTTTTTGTTAAGGTTAAGACCATCAATGACAACGCATTTGCAGCAATGCATCAATAACTAATATTAAATATAAAAAAATAGCCCTACATGGGTAGTCTTTGAAGTTACATTTAATGACCTTGTAATCCCCAAGCCACTTAAAAGAGATTCTAATAGTTTGATAGAGTTTCTCTTGGTTAAAATAACTTCTGTGGCTTCCAAATTCTATGATCCCCTTCCTTGCCTCGTACATAAAGATAGAAACCTATTAGAAATCAGAGTATGTTCTTTAAAATAAGTGATCTGCATACCACTTATATTCCGTAACCATGCCTTGTGTTTAGAGAAATAGAACACTTAAATATCACTTGATGAAAAAAAATCTACTTCATGCATTGGTGAATTACCACCATGTTTAAACAATGTTTTACGTATGCCTGACACTTTTTTGTGGCATTACTGATATTGAGCAATGTCTGTAGATTTTTAGTTTCTGCTTTGCTGAAACTCATTGAGTATTTCCAAAGAATAGAAATACTGCCGTTAATTAACATTTCCTTTGGGGTATCCACCATCCAGCACTATATTTGAAACAATAACCTAAACGGGACTAAGCTTTTTAGTAGTACTGATCTTAAACAAAATCTTGAAGACCATTTGCGTGCTTCAAGATTTTTGAATTGAGGTGTGTATGTTGCTGTATTTGGCTTGTGTTATTTATGGGTGCTGCAGTTGCTTTGTAGCATTGTATTTGTGCGTACGTGTTGTTATATATGTTCATGAGTAGTTTGTGGTATTATGTATGATACCTATGAATGGGGGCTGCTTGTGGAATTGGGTGCGTGGATTATATGCCACAGAGTGTGTTTGGTGGTGTGTGTATTTGTGGGGCTGCTTGTGGTATTGCATGTGAGGCTGTTTGTGGAGTTTTGTGCTTGTATGTGGATTGTCAGTGGTGTTGTGTTTGTGGGTACTGTGTGTGTTTGTATGTGGGCTATTTGTATTATTTGTACAAGGGGGAGGATTCTTCTGCAGCTCTGTGTTTATCTAGCAGTGTGGGTGGCTTCCCTGGTGTCCAGTGGGGACCAGCTGGCCAGGTGCAGGTCAAGGGCTGGAGCTGCGATAGCTGCAGTGCAGAGTCCTGTTCAAAAGTTCAGAGGAATTGATCTAAACTTCCTCTAAGGGCTGCAATGCGTAAATTGAGGATTGTCCCTTACAACCTGCAATCACCGCTCAGTTTGCACTAGCAGATAGCTGAAGTCCCACTCCAGATAGGCAAGAGCCTGTTTGACTCTGGCAGCCTTAAGTGCCATGCAAAGGAACCTTGAGTGTCATGCATAACAGACATGCCATAGGTTGCTGACTTCTGACCTAGACATTATCTAACTTGTTTATATCTCAGGATGCCACCTTTGGAAAATGTGAATATAGTTCAAGTCAACGGTTTGGATAAACGTATTTGGCTCTGAACACAAGGGCTTTGGGGCAAAACAATAAAGTCACCCCTCCCCTCCTTGCAATACAAAGACTGTTGAGCTACTATGCTGATGTGTTCTAAATAATGTTAATGTCAATATTGTAAAATTAGTCCTTGCCCTGCCTTTTCCCCGTTGAGCGTGCAGTTGAGACGCACATTACATGTGTGTAGTGCTGTTCCTCCGCCATTGCATACATTGCTCGGTCATCCTATCCTTAGAATGCAGCTGGCATGAAAGACTAAAAGACATTTATGCATTTCTGTGATGCTACCAGTCTTCCCATTTATCTACCTTCATCATAAAATGTAGATAAATATGCTGGCCAGACATCCCCTTTGAGGTTACTTTTGTGCAAAATCTACTATAATGTTTCATTCTTTTCATTGTCACCCTGTTGGCTTTCGGTTTTCCTTATGGGACATCTAGACATAGTATGTTAGCTAAATGTTCTAAAGGCAATACCTATTGCAGTAAACCTCAAAGGGCCAGCTTAGCCATTCAACCTTGCAAGGACTATACAGTAAGTACCATTAAATTGGGTAAAAGCAACATCTAGTACTTATACACAAATTTGGCTAAGCAAGATGTTTTTTTGCGTGCATTGGGTTTATTTTGTTAAATCCTATGGTGTTATTTAAAGAGTTAGCTATAATTATAATATTATCCCAAAGGCAATTTGAATTGGATGAAAACTGGTTGATTTGCTAGAACATTGCAATTTTCCATATACAAGCTAAGGGACGGTAAAGTAATTGTCAAAACACTGCATTCAATAATGATTATTATTATTATTTATATAGTGCCATCAGATTCCGTAGCGCTGTACAATGGATTAATTCGTAATCTGGGATGCAAGCAGAATAAAATCTCGTTTTAGCAGGGCGCCAACACCCCCGTCCACCCAATTCATTTTGTTACAAATACATGTCTGTTAGTTCTGCCATTGTAGAGCTGTGGAATTTGTTGGCGCTTTATAAATAATAATAACAAAAATAATAATGTTTAATCAGACGTACAATATAATATATATTAAAATATTACAATAGAAGGTCTTGCTACACAATTTCATATAATTCTTGCTTTAAACTGAGTACAATAAGTTCTATTTTTAGCCAAGTGTCCTGCTCTTTCTCCACTAATCTGGTATTTTACATAAACTTCTACTTGGTACGAATCCTAGAATCAAGATAGTATAAGATAAATGGGATTGGAATTTTTCGCTCCGCCATACCTTGCAGAACTTTGGTAGCTTGGAGCTTAATGTACAACGTAATGACAGCTGGATTCTATTGTGGAAAGGGGGTAGCTCGGTGCCAAGTAAAACAAGGAGAGAGGAAGGCACACAGGTTTGCGAGTTTGAAATAATAGACCACATGGTGTCCACAGGAGGCTAGGAGTTCTCATGTTCCCTCTTGCTGTCTCACTGGAGTTTGGATAGGGGGGTGCTCTATTGTTTATACTGATTGCTTCCAGATGCTGTGGATAGCAAGAGCCAAATCTCTGGGGGTTTGCCAAAGACTTAAGATAACTTTGGGATAAGAGATTTAAAAAAAATTAAACAAAAAAAATATATATATATATTTTGATCAGCATGTTGTAAGTTAGCCCCAACTCCCTCATCAGATGAGCTGAGAGTAAAGAAATATTTACAGTCACTCTAGTATTATATAGAACGGGACTGAGTAATAATACACTGGTGATACTAGTTTGTCTTCCTCTTACGGGCGCACTGGTGTAAGAATACTTGTGGCAGGGATTCTATTAAAACTGGGAACCTCCCCCAGAGCATCTGGGACTCTGTACACTTTGTGCCTTTACCTGAGTGGCATAGTGGGATTATAAGGGGGCTGACGTTGGGCATCACATCACTATCCCTCCTCCCTCTTGTCATATGATGTAATGGACAATGGTCAATGGGAATTTGACACTGGTTTCCTGTTAGATAACTAGAGACTCCATACTTCTCGACAGAACCTCTGTGGACCCTTTTTTTTGGCTACGTCATGCTTTGGTATTTATAATGAAGAAGATCCCATTGAGTGTGATGGTACTGTTACTGATACTTTTATTTTGTTGTTCTAATATAGAACTTAAAAAGATGGTAAACAATGTTTGACTGAATACTGAGGTGTCCACGTTTTTTTGTTTTTTTTATGTACACTCTTATGTCAAGTCTCTATCTGCCTTTTCTGTCAATACCATTCCCTATCCCGAATTTACTTCTATCATTAATATTATTTAAGTGTTTTTCTTTTTTTCCACCTTTTCTGGATCCTTCTTGTGGGTAAAATTACCCACAGCAGATGCCTTTTTAAAAAGTTTTGATTCCAGTAATATATATTTTGGCAGCGAAGGAAGGTTGTAGACAAAGCCTATTGTCCTCTGTGAAATCAGGCTGCCAATAGTGTCTCTACGTGTTTACCTTAGTGCTTGCTCTTGCAGCACTAATGCTGACATACAACTGGTTAGATGCACAAAATGTATTTCTCTGCTTAGACACGGCACAGAAACCCAATGTCACTGTGATTAACTAGTTTAGAAACGTAGGCAAACTAATTTGGAAAAAAAAGTGTCATTGTTAGAAAGCACCAGTTACGAAACTAGTTTTAGTAATATGTTAATCATTTATTTGTAATGCAGATTTTGGGGCATTGTAAACTGGATAAATCAAATTTGTCAAATTGACACTAACTGTGTTTTAAGCAAACGTTTTTGGGGGAACATGCTTTGGCAGAGCAGGATTAACCATAAGGCAACCTTTGGCAGCCAGCTAGGGCCCAGAGGTTAGGTATGGGCCCTGGAATCATGAATTTGCTTGGCCCCATTAACCACCCCTATGTATAGGGAGGGCCCAAACTGATAACCTGCCTAGGGGTTATCCTTCTCTGTGCTCTGGGAGCATTACTTTATGATGTGACTATATCTTCAGATTAATGCACACTATCTAAACCTTTACATTTCTAAAGCCATATAAATTTTTACCACTGAAACGTTGAATCTATAGGTTTAATTTACTTTAATATCCACAACTGAGTGATGAATTAAAAAAAGGAATTTAAAAAATGCAGTGCATTGGCAATAGTGATTTATTTCCCTGATTAAAGGTCTCTTTCTGATGAGGTGTTTGGCTCTACATACCGTACACCATTTCAACAGGGAGCTGGAATGGTTAAAATCTTCAATTCTTTTTTGCCTATTTTACTATATATATATCATTTAAAAAATAGGAGTTAGGTGATAGTTTGCCATTAATAGGCAACTGTTCAACCATAGGGATTGGATATTAAACAGGTATCTCATCATACCACGGGTCTTTAGACTTGAGGATAATTGTGAACCTGTCTCTGAGGTTTTGGAGAAAACACAAGTGACACAAGTGACATATCACATTTGCTGAAACTTGATTTACTTACATTGCTAAACAAGCTAAAAAGTTATCCTCAGTGGGTAGGCACAATAATGATATGTATTTCATATATCTGTAATTTTAAATAACTCATTTTAAGGCATGCTCCCTAAGCTCGACAAAAAGATAAACCGCCTATTTGCATTTACAGAATCCCACTGCAAGATGTAGTTGTTCTTTGATATCACAACCAATCTGCAATATAGCGATATGTGATAAACTCAATCCTTCAATATGTAATATGAAAAAAAACTCCATTAATCTACTTTGGACAGACTGGCGCATGATAAATGCAATGCGACTAGTTCAATCATGAGAATTCTAGAAAAGATTATGACATCGTGAATGAGTGCCAGGAACCCTTCCGAAAGGTCGAGGGTTAGCTAGCATTGTATCTGTTTGCCACCTATCAAAACATTTCAATAATCCTGAGCTTTATGGCATGAGTAATAATTTACATAGAGCAGATGGCTTTAGGTAAAGCTGCATCCCATGAAGCTGTATAAATTCAGTTTATCGAAAGAGGAAGTGAGTTGACCAAATATTTTTGGGGGATTATACATAGAAGGTAACCTAAAGCCTTAAAGTGATACTACAGGCATCCAGACCACTTAATCTCAATGAAGTGGCCTGGGTGTCATTTTAACCCCTCTCATAGAGCCCATGTCATTGGCACAGTGCGGTGTTTGGCTGAGACCAACTCTGAGAGGGAGAAAAAGAATGTAAAATTGCATTTTTACTTCTTACCTGGGGGGGAATGAGGGGGTAAACCTTTTACAGGGCACTATAGTTTGTAAATCTAACGCTATAGGTTTTCTTTACATCTGTTTGTTTATGAAAATAATTATAACGGTTATTCCACACACCATGATCACTTTAGTATGGGAGTCTTTATGGGCAGCATTGTCAGTTTGAAGTGAGGCACATTCAGTGTTAAAGCCCTTTACTTCCAGAGGTGTAACTCCATTTCCAGTAGCGACATTAGCAAACCCAAAACAAGAGTTCTGGTCAGGCTAATATTAAATTTGTGCATATTTGCATACAACCATGACAGCATGGCCACCCCATTAGTGCCGCCCAAGTCCTCCACTCAGCCCATCCTCCCGAATGTCCCTCACATTCAGTAAGGAGGAGTGACGTCACTGGAAAATAATCAGGCTGACTTTATCTTTAATGCTAGTAAGGGTTACTCTAACCAAAAAGTAACTAACCAAAAGGTATTAAAAATATTTTATTGGTTGGAGTAAGAAAATCCTTTAAAGCAGTGTTCCCCAAACCAGTCCTCAAGGCACCCCTGCCAGTCCAGGATTTAGGGATTACCCAGTTGTGTCTAGGTGTTTTTAGAAAAAAAGAAACTACAACAACTGGCTAATCCATAAATCCTGGACTGGTGGGGGTGCCTTGAGGATGAATATGTTATAGGGCCATAGGACTACATTTAATGGTGTACAGTGAAACAATCAGACAGTTGTGTTACAAATTCAAATGAATAAAGCAAATCAGTATATGGAGGGTTAAGAAATAAATAACAGAAAACCAAAAATAACACTTGTGAATAAATGTATACATATGCCACTATCTGCGGCCTATTTCTGGACAATTTGGCCCCATTATATTTAGTATTACTTATTTATTGTGTAAAATTGAGAGTTTCAGAATTGACAACCTCATGCTCGTTGCACTATTTCTCTTTGTCAATAGTACAAAATCGTGCTTAAAGGGATACTATAGTGCCAGAAAAACAAACTAATTTCCCTGGCACAACAGATTTCCCCTCTGTCAATAACCCCTTCAGTCACTTACCTGAATCCAGCACCGATGTCCCTCAGAGCTGGCTCAATTCTGCCCACGCATGGCGGGGGGGAAACAAAATGGCCGCACTCGCGTTAGGGTCTCCCCACAGAAAAGCATTATTCAATGCTTTCCTATGGGGAAAATCTGACGCTGCAGTTCCTCATGCAGAGTGTGATGACGTCCAGCATCAGATAACGGACCAAAAGTCAGTTTCAATTCTGGAAGTCCCTCTAGTGGCTGGTAGACAGCCACTAGAGGAGGAGTTAACCCTCAGAGGTAATTATTGCAGTTTATAAAAACTGCAATAATTACCACTGCTGGTTTAAGGGTGATCGGAGTTTGCACCCAGACCACTTGAATGAGCTCAAGTGGTCTGGGTGCCTACAGTGTCTCTTTAAGCGTCTATTGCACGTTTATGGAATTGTCTGGCACATTAAAAATAAATGGTAATAATTTGCAAATAATCATGATCAGTCACTGCCTACCTATGGAAAAGGAATGCAATACTGGGCAATGCCTGGTCAAGTGTTCTATAAAATAATCTATTTAAGAATAAACATATTGTATGCTGCCAAATTAGACCAGATTTGTCACTTATATTTCAGATCATGTCTGGTTTTCCCGTGGTTCCCCAGCACTATGCAGGCATAAGTATCTATATCCCAACCTCTATGTTAGCCGCTCACAAATCCAAGATAGAATGCCTATAAACGATGGATGGGAGTTCAGACGGATTTCTATCTGCAAAGCTTTGTTTCAGTGTCTCCTGTGGATTATTTCAGCTGACGTTGCATGCAGCCAGCCATTGTGGTTTCTTGCCTAGTCGATGGGATTTATGTTGCTGGTGGAATTCATTCTGATTACTGAGCCTTCTCTTTATATGTCTTTCTGTGCTCCAAACCAAGATTTTGGTCTTGCAATGAGAACTCATTTCCTCCACTCCACTTGCTATGCAACATCCTCCAGACCAGAGAGCCCATCTGATCCTGACCACCGATGGCATATGACTATCAAGACAGAGTAAAGACCATATAAAATTCTCGATCAGGACTGCCTATGCCATCAGTGGCAGTTTGTTTTCTTGTGCATCCTGACCTGCCCTAAAAGTTATGTTTGATCAGGCTGTCCGGGGTAAGGACCTTTTATTTTAAACTTTAGCTACATTTTAGGATTATTGCAAAGTGATGGAATCCTGTACATCGAAACCCTTGATGTTTACCACCTGAACCAGGTACTACTGAAAACTCTATGTTTTCAGATTTGTGTTTTTGTTAGCTTTGCTGTATTTTTTTCTTGGAGTCTGTATGCTAATCTGAAGGATCTAGTTTACAACTCTGTATCTGCCAAACAAAACTTTAGTATTCTTTGATGGTGTGGCTTTCTATTCAGTATCTACACTAGATGTCGTATGTTGTTATTGGTGCCTAGCATAACTACATAAACATGGGAGTAATCTATGTGACTTTGTTGTTGTGTTGCACTAGGACCTTTGCACCTGCCACTGAACATTGGACTTAAATAAACCAAAATCCTGTCCTTTTAGTTACTTGCAATACATGCTGCTCTTCAAAAACATGGTCTCTTTCCCGCCTCTTAATAAAATCCTAAACATTAGGGTCTAATGCCATTGACTGAGTGATGTGTGACAGGTACCCGTGACTTGTATTTTCTGAGATTGCACCCCAAAATGGAGGACTGTCCAGCCAAATCTGGGACTGTTGGGACCTATGTCTTTATTTTCTTAATTTTTATTGCACATATAGAGGGGGTTGCACTGCTCTAATTAGAGACACCCTAAAGTGACACTTAAGCATTAGGAATACAGGTTTGCATTCCTAACTATATTTTAAAGTTGAGTAGCCCTTCAGGAAGCATACATTTGACAAATGCATTTTCCTAGAATACTGTACCACTTAGCACTGCCACCAGTTGCGTGCCTACCATGGTCGCAGGAGTCGTGGCTGGGACCCCCTGTGACCATGGCCCATCTGCATAACACCTGAGCTGGTGCACAACCGCACCGGCCCAGGGGGCCCCCGGTTGCCGACAGGAGAGGAGAGATGTGCTGCTCCCCTCCTGCCTCTGTGTAGTGCGGCCAAGTGGTCTGACAGGAAGTGCTCGCAGGGAGAGCACTTCCTGTCAAACCAGGTACCGAAGCGAGAAGCAGGTACAGGAGAAGGTGGAGGGGATGGGGGGGAAATGATACGAATGGAGTATCTGGGGGGGGGGGAAATGAGATGCAAGGAGGGGCTAGGAAGGAATGGGACTCATGGAGGACCTATCGGGAGGGAATGAGACACATGGAGGGACTATGGGAGAGGATGGAGGGGACGGGTGGATTTTTCGCAACTGGGGCCCAGTGATTTCTAGTTACGCCTCTGACTGCAACATTTGATATTCCACGGGTTTATAAAAGACTTCCTAAGTGGAATAACAGTATGACTTTATATAAAGTGAAAGAATTAAGATTATGCTTATAGAACTATTTCAGATGTGATCAATATGTGCCATGGTCTACGGCGATTTACACAGATTCTTGTGAGACATTTCATACACTGCAACACAACTTTAATTCTATTTCTAGTTTTGGCTTAAATAATTACCTATATTTTCTTATGTTCAATGTTTCACCCCTCCCCCCCACCCCCCCAAATAAAGAAGAAAAACTTTTCCAGTATTCTGCATCTTAAAGAAAAACTGCATTAAAAAAAAAACTTAATATATATATACCCCCAAATACCCCCTTTACCAGCGCTCACTGTGTGATCCTCTATATGCTGACTGCGAGTATGGCGTCCTCCTTTTAGTGGGTGGACCCGTCTATTTTCTGGACAGGCATGCCTATTTAGGAGTGATACAATTTGTGTCACTGGTAACGTCCTCTCAGAAGACCCACGTCCCATCCCGATTCCTACCAGGCCAAAGTTGGCAGTTATGCAATAAATATTGAGTAACTCAGTACCTTTTTAACTTTCTATTTCAAATTAGTTCCATGCACATTTACAAAAAAATGTGTAATCTACACAATGTGTTAAAAATAATGGGGTGAGTGGTATACACATGGTATAATGCATAATGTGTAATTCTGCCTGTACAAAACTGTGTTCAATATATGCTATCTTGTTAGATGCAAATCACATTTCCGGAGTACACTGATCTTCGACAAGTTGCTATGCTGCTAGTTAAAAATCTTTTTATATTTTGAATTTATTTGTGAATTTATGAAAATTCATACATCAGGCATTTTTCCTTCAGCTATAAGCTTTCCATTCAGTGCAAACACTGGTCCTTTAATATAGATCTTCCATGTTTCTCTTCTTGGCTTGAAGCCAACTGGATATAAATCCTCTGCAGGAAACATTACTCCCTACTGACCCGAGAGAAAGTTTACAGGCAGTTTCAAGGCAAGGGAAAGAGACAGAGAAAATATTTTTTTTTTTGACTCTTGAGATAAAACTGACACAGCATAAATATGCACACGGCTTCAACACCTCCCTGCAGCCTCTCGTTGTCTAAACGTAACCTGTAAATGGTCCATTTAGGGAGAACGTTTAATTAAAGTGTAATTGAACAGTCACTCTAAGCAATACAACCACTAGTGATTATGTTACCTAGAATGTCCTGCCACAGTCACCCAGTTTAATATCATATAAATAGTATCTTTGCCCAGGGACTGCCAAATCTCATTGTCCATTTCGTCTGCATGATACTGATTGGCTAAAAGCACCAGGTTTACCCGTCAACAGCACTGTCAAACAATGTCATTCATTTTGGACACAGATGGCACTGTAATGTGGAAGGATTGTCACTTTGGACATGATTTGGGCACCCCCAATTAGAACTTGATGTAGTGCGTATGTTGCTTAGTGTCCCTTTAATATATATTTTAAAGGCGCGATAAAGTCCAACAATTTTGGGCTCATTCCAATGCATGTGTAAATCATTTAGCTATAAGGTGGTAATTGTTAAAATGGCTTTTAGTGCGAACTGTTTCCATGCTAGAGAATTAATGATTTAGTGACTCGTAATTACTATCTGCTCAGAGGTTAGTGGAAGTCACTAAAAATGATATAGCCCCTGGTTTCTATGCTAGACTGTAAAAAATACTAAATGCAAGCACAGGGTATGCAGTTTTCAATAGATAGCTGTGAAATTGTAACGTGTATGCATAGACTAAGGGAAGCTAGCTTAAATGGTCACATTTTAAGTAATCATTTGCTTATTGAACATTTTATAGCGTCTTGGTGGAACTGCTATGGCACTAAATTTGAAACTGGATTTTTTCTTTGCAAACTGGTAAATGCTATATGGTGGTTGGTATAAGGGGAGGTGGACAAAAGTAGCTTGAGGATGGTCAATACAGGGAGGGCCAAGGAAATATATATATTGCCACAATCGTTGACAGCTGTAGGCATTAAAAGTACTTATTGGGTACTTTTTAAAAAGCATGAGAGCAACCCCATTGTCTTTGGTGTCATTGAAACATGCAATGACGTTTTTCACATTCTGAGATTGTGAGTATGAGTCACATAAGGATGCTAATGTTACTTAGTCTATATACTTATATACGGGCCAGTAGGAGATTATGGGATATGCGGTTCAGCACTGAGCAGTAATTTTTAGAAATCTCAGCGGTCCTCTGAAAAGTAGTTATCTGTGTTTATAGCAAGGATTCAACAACATTTATAAGCAGCTTTTGATTTTATGAAAGGCATTTGAGTAAATCAAAGTTCTAATCCAATCATCAGAGCAGATAACAGAAACAACGACAGATACTGTATCAAGAAAAGATCTACTGCCCCATCTTTTGAAACCACAAGCATCATCAGTTGGGACCAGATACATCTTCTGGGGGATCATATAACCATAGCTTTATGGATCAACCAAAAGACCATAATTTAAAGGGATTCCATATGCTTAAACAATGGCACATTTTAAATGCATACAATATGCTATCGAAACTGAGAGAAACCATGGCAGCAATAAGTTATCGTGTAAAGATGGATATATAGAGATTCACAAGAATTATTATAAGTTTCACGAAAGATGATGTAACCTGTATTGTTTTATCATAAATTCTCATGCAAAAATCTGAGCTTATTGTTTCACTACATTTTTAAACTAAGGCGTTATAGATCTGGTAGTCTTCTCTAACTTAAATGCAGCTGTTTTTCTGCAGAATTTCACTGATAAATTGAGTATAAGGGCTTCCGTGTTATGCTCTTATCTATTTTGAGGAATGCTTTTAATTAATATTACATTAAACATGCAGATAGTTTAAGGATTATCTATAATAGTTTTTCAAAGTATTCGGTTTTGTCTAACTCATGCACAGTTAAGGGTTCCTAAAGATGCCTGTTGTTTGTCTCCTAAATGATTTGACACAAAAGGAGTAACAACATGCAAAAACATCTTGCATCATAACCACTACAATAACTAATGCCGGTTTTTGGTGCTTAGTGCTTACTTATCAACAGTCTCATGTTTGGAAGGACGGTCACAAATTTGGGTCCCGTCCTGCCTTTCTGGGTTTGCTCTCTGGTATGTCCATGGGGTACAGCGTTAGCTCGTAATTAGACTGGTTCTCGCTGTAAAAATTGCACAGATTCAGTTCATGGGCAGAGTGCTTTACCTACTTTACACATGTGGTGGGGCCAACCAGCACAGTGACTGAATGTAAGTCAGGCTAATACGCAGGCTTGTCTCCATGTGTTTACACCAATGACACAATCGTATAACTGGCATTGCCCTCATAGGTCAGTCTCTCCATCCCGGTTTCTACTTCCCAGTCAATGTGGAGTGTGAAAATGTACTGGTAGGTTCAGAACCTATAACCGTTTTTTTAGAAGAATTAACTGCACAGACATGTATGTTCGACTTTAGTAAACTATCCCTTTACGATCATATTTTCCTCCCTGTTCAACAGAGCAGACAGATCAGAGGGATGGGGGGTTTTAATGATTTGCTTTATGTAATAAAGCCTCCCCCTTACTCCTTCCTGTCTACCCAAGAAGAAAGACATGAGAAAGTCTTTGGAACAGAGGAATGGCAGACAGACAGAGGTACAGATTTAAAAAAAAAAAAAAGCCAAAACAAAAACCTTGATATAAAACAGAAATCCATTACTGCAGCCTATTCTTAAGGGAGTATCAAAATGAATTCAAAGGGAATTTCAAATTTTAGTTCTCAATAAATGAACTGAAAGGAATCTCTCTTTGAGTTACTTTCAATTCACATTTGGGGTTTATTCTTTAAACACTGAATTGTAGGAAACTGAAAGGCAAATTGCTAAATTTAGTCAAAAATAGCCAAATAAAAAATCTACAACTATAGTCACAACTTTGATATTTTAGCCTGAATTTTGCAATTTGGTTTCTAATTCACAAAATGTCACTGTTTAGTGAATAAATCCATTTAATATATAACCTTGTGAAGACCCTATTAGTATGCCTCTCAGTGTTAATTCCACTAATATTCTCTCTATACGTTTTGTGAGTAGTATTACATGTATTGTAAAGTACTTGTAACAGCCCCTTGGGTGCCGTAGTGAACACTACAGTGTACTACTTACCATTATATTTAGATACAGGGCAACCCTAAATCTAATTGCAAAAAAGGGTATTACATTTTTTTTCCAGTGCCGAGATCTAGTCCGTGCCGCAACCTGATCACGCAAAGTCACGCTGAATCTCTGTCTTCTCGTCCAATCCAATGCTCCTCCTAGAGGAGTGTTGGAGATTAGAAACGTGTGTGTTTCCAGTGCTGTGATCCTCCAATTGAATGCTCTCCATGAGAAGCATTCAAACGAGGTAACGTGAAAAGCATAGCTAAAATAAATTAGGATAAGTGGTCTAGGTGCCTACAGTGTCCCTTTAAAAGGCTATGCTACTTTACTTTTTTTTTAATAAATATTGTAATGTATTGTTTGTATATTAAATAACAAGTAGAGATACACAAGTACATCAATAAAAAAAATATAATGTAATGAACTTATATCCCTGTCCATGTTATCTTATGATAATTATTTTTTCAGTAGTACAATTCTCAAGCATTTGCGATGGAAACTAGACTTAAAAAAGAGATACTGATGAAGACATTTCGCAAATGAGCTTAGCATAACTGGTTTATACAAACTGAAAACTTAGCTACTGTATTAATTTTGTCCAGTACAGTGAAATAAGATCATGTTCTACAAATAAATACAATAAATGCTTTGTTAGCTCATCACACACAGCTTTAATTTCTTAGGTTTTGGAGACAGTTTTGTATAATTTAGCCTCAAGGCTTCAACAGATATCTGCAAGATCTCACTGAGGTTGCTCAGCTCCTCATCATCATAATCTTCATTTACTCTGATTAATGTAACGAAAATGTGTCTTTCTGAATTGTAAAGTCATTATTTACACCAATACAGCTTAAAGACGTTGCGATGCATGGTTAAATACTTTTATTTATTTGAAAAAACCTATAGAATGTAATTGAAAGTAGCTTTGCGGTGGAGGAGAGATTAGGAGACAACTTGGCATGTCATCCTAAAACATTCACAGTATGAGAGGTCTCTCTAATGATTTGTACAGCTGCAATCTGATGTGTAGGAGTTTCAGACAAGCAAAAATAATGCATAGGTTAACCCGTGCTTCCCCGTTCTAAAGTATGGTATAAATGAATCCTCACTTTTTAAGTTTTCAAGTATAGCATAAATTCCCACGTCATTTCACTTCCCCAGTTGTGAAATATAACAGTGCTTCTCTGGCAAATAAATAAATGGTTATACTAGAAGTGATTAAAGCCGAATGTGGTGTATTCACTTAGCTGTAAATGATATATCGAAATAGCTGAGCTTGTAAAAAGCTGCAACTATTTTTCACTTCTGCTATTTTATCCTGAAATTTGCAGTTCCCTTGGCAGTTGTCCACTTTTACTGCTTTTGTGAATAAGCTACATACATACTCTTATTTGACTGGTAGAGCCACACATTATGCCTAACACAGCAAGACTTACAGAAAGTCCTATAAAAAGTTATACAAAGTTTGTCATGACACTCAACTATCCTTTTAAATAAGAATTGTGTACATTAAAAAATATTTTTCATCCAATAAACCTACCTTAATTTATAAAAATGCCAAAATATTTGTGGCAAAACAAATTGGGCAGACAGATACAAAAGGTTTAGTCAAGTGTACATAGTGATGAAGTGCACAATAAGTGAATAAACGGCACTTAAAAAACTATTTATAGGTAAATATTGAGGAAACAAAAGTTGGCATGTATTGCGGTTTGGGCACTCGGGCTCAAAAAGGTTTGCTATCACTGCTATAGGGTCAGGTATTCATGTTTGTGTTCCTGGCCGTATAGTGTTTCTATAATGATCTGGAAGTTAAGAGAAATTTGACAAAGTGAGAAAAGGGAATTCACAAAAAAATGGGCCAGTCCTTGAGAAGTTCTGTGAGCAGTTGCTGGCAGTGTGAACAGAGAACAGTCATTGATTAGCAAAGCAGAGCAAAAGGATTGCCCTTGCTGATGAACATGGAGTTTAAAGAGATGGTCTAAGTGCTATAACCGCTACACCACAATGTAGTAGGTATGGTATCAGAAGTCCCCTAGAGTCACCAAAAGGAGTCAAAATGTTTTAAAATATTTGCTACTTACCCATGTCCCACAGATATCATTAAAACAGGCATTCCTATGATCTGTTTCTTATTAGGATTTTATTCATTGGCTGAGATGAATTCCTTTTGATATTCTGTGTTATCACTATCAATATGCAATGTCAATTGGCAGTTGCTAAGGCCAGAAAGGTATTGTCATGTATAAAAAAGGGCATTTATTCTCAGGATAAAAATATAATTTTGCCTCCTAATAAATAACTGGTAATTTAACCCCACCTTAAATATGCTGTGCAATTTTGGACACCTGTTCTAAAGAAGGAAATTATGGCAATACAAACCATTGTCTCTAATCTATTCAGAAATAGGACTATAAATAGGACATGAGGTCAAGCATTTAAACTGGAAGAAAGGAGATTTAGTCCAAGGCAGTAAGAACAATAAAGATATGAAATTCTCTGCCTGAAAATGTGTTGTTTTTAAGAGTCGATACAGATGTTTAAACAGCAATTGGATAAATACTTGCAAATACATAATATACAGGGATATATTTTTTGTTAATTAGTGGGTTAATAGTTTTTTAATACAAGGAGATAACTGACTGCCATTCTAGGGTCAAAGAGGATTTTTTCCCCTAGTTTGTTGCACAATTGGAAGTGCTTCAGACAAGGTTTTTTGCCTTCGTTTGGATCAACCGCAAAAACAAATATGAGGCTGATCTTGATGGACACATGTCTCTTTTCAGCTAAAACACAAGTAAAGCAGAAGTTGCCATTCTGCTATAGCAATATCAACTTTTTTCCTTTTTTAGTCTAAAATAATTTTTCCTACAACCCAAACTAGCCATTTTTCCTCCCTGGTGTCATGTTACTTGTTAGTGTTACAAGGTCTAATGTCTGACTAGAGAGCAGGTATGTTAAATTTGGTGTTATCGCTCTCACACTCTTTCATACTGGTCACTGGAAGTTCAACATGGCACCTCATGAGAAAGAACTCTCTGACAATCTGAAAAAAAGAATTGTTGCTCTACATAAAGATGGCCTAGGCTATAAGAAGATTGCAAAGACCCTGAAACTGAGTTGCAGCGGTTTCACAGGACAGGTTCCACTCAGAACAGGCCTTGCCATGGTCGACCAAAGAAGTTGAGTGCACGTGCTCAGCGTCATATCCAGAGGTTGTCTTTGGGAAATAGAGGTATGAGTGCTGCCAGCATTGCTGCAGAGGTTGAAAGGGTGGGGGTAAGACTTTCAGTGCTCAGACCATACGCTGCCCTCTGCATCAAATTGGTCTGTATGGCTGTCGTCCCAGAAGGAAGCCTCTTCTAAAGATGATGCACAAGAAAGCCAGCAAACAGTATTCTGAAGACAAGCAGACTAAGGACATGGATTACTGGAACCATGAGACCAAGATAAACTTATTTGGTTCAGATGGTGTCAAGCATGTGTGGTGGCAACCAGGTGAGGAGTACAAAGACAAGTGTGTTTTGCCCACAGTCAAGCATGGTGGTGGGAGTGTCATGGTCTTGGCTTGGATGAATGCAGCCGGCACTGAAGAGCTACAGTTCATTGAGGGAACCATGAATGCCAACATGTACTGTGACATGCTGAAGCAGAGCATGATCCCCTCCCTTCCGAGACTGGTCCGCAGGGCAGTATTCCAACATGATGACCTCAAACACACCTCCAAGACGACCTTACTAAAGAAGCTGAAGGTAAAGTTGATGGACTGGCCAATCATGTTTCCAGACCTAAACCCTATTGAGCATCTGTGGGGCATCTTCAAACGGAAGGTGGGGGAGTGCAAGGTCTCGAACATCCACCAGCTCCGTGATGTCATCATGGAGGAGTGGAAGAGGACTCCAGTGGCAACCTGTGAAACTCTGGAGAACTCCATGCCCCTGAGGGTTAAGGCAGTGCTGGAAAATAATGGTGGCCACACAAAATAATGACACTTTGGGCCCAATTTGGACATTTCCACTTAGGGGTTTACTCACTTTTGTTGCCAACTGTATAGACATTAATGGCTGTGTGTTGAGTTATTTTGAGGGGACAGCAAATTTACACTGTTATACAGGCTGTACACTTGCTACTTTACATTGTAACAGAGTGTAATTTCTTCAGTGTTTTCACATGAAAAGCTATAATAAAATATTTACAAAAATGTGAGGAGTGTACTCACTTTTGTGAGATACCCAATATTGCAATTATTTTTGGATTTTTGGAACTAAACCATTATTACCTGCAGAAGCCAGACTACTGACCAATCGAACTTGCTCCTGCCACATAACACCTGTTCGCCATTTAATCGGAAGCCAATGCAGGGAGTAGAGAACTTATTTTAAAATTGGCATGCTGCTCTTCAAAGCCTTAAACAATCAAAACCCAAGGTATCTGAAAGAGCTCCTGACACTGTAATTCCATCGCGTTGACTTTGGTCAGCCAGCAAATCCCTCTTGTCAGTGCCAAGAATAAAGACAAATTCCAGGGCATTCAACCACGCTTCCCCTACCTTTTGGAACTTTTTACCATGCTCAATCAGAGTGGACCCTCATAACAGACTTAAAAAATACAAGCTAAAGACCCACCTCTTCCATTAGGCATTCTGTCCGATCATCTGACTATCAGAAACTCCAAACATTTATGTATTTCTTTTTTGTATGTTTATAAAGTGCTTTGAGTGTCAAAGGGAGAAAAGTGCTATAAAAATCACAAATTATTATTATTATTATTATATGTTGCATATATTTATATATTGATTTCATAAAAAATATATATATTTTTTTTTTACCAGCCTTCACAAAACATAGCTTCTAATGATCTATTATTAAGCCCGCGCCATTGAAAAATTTTGCTTAGAGGACAGTGTCACAGTGGGTTCTTCAAGAAAGACATAAGACTGAATGTTGAGACATGGACAATGCACACAAGTGTCCTCTGTTTTCTGGGAAGAAAGACTTTTCGGGCTGCAGAGAAGAGCATTTCTGGCAAAGAAGAAGGTTCTTTGTGACTCACATTCCTGAGCAAGCAACAGGGCTAATTAGTCACACATTGGGGACAATAAGTTGTTGTAGGACTGTGGATTCATAATATAGACACTAGACTAGGATGGGAAACTGGGAGTAGATTTAGTCAAATCAAGGTCTGGATCCAAAAAGAAAAAAAAATGTTCATGTGATCAAACCCATTGGCAGTATATCATCCAATACAGTGTATCCAAGAATATATTTTCTGAAGAAATCCATCTTTTGACCCAGTTTTGTTTTGTTTTGGAAATGAGATGACCATAAACCCTGTGAAAGAAGTTGGACAGTTTTATACAGAATTTAGGAGTTAGGATTATATTAATAGCTAGATATAATTTGTTGGGATACGTTGAGTGTAATTAATTCTTAGAAATTAAGACATCCTAGACGGTCCACCAGCATTTACATTTTAAAAAAGACTGTGGCACAAGGGATTACGTACGAAAATCTGGGAGTTCTGTATTGGGATCGACTGATATCGATTTTTTTTCAGAGCCGATATCGATAATCTGTGAACTTTCAGGCCAATAGCTTACCGATATTCTGTACATTTACCGATTTGAGAGAAAAGCATTTTTTTTTGCAAATCCTTTTTTTATTAAGTTGTAAATGCACAAAATATACATGCCAGTCAGATTTGTTTTTATGTTTTCAAGAATATTTATATGTGTGTGTGTGTTTGTGTAGTGGATGCAGTGTGGGTAGGGGATGCAGTGTGTTTGTGTGTAAATATGTGTGGTTGGAACTCCCCTCCACCCCCCATTCCCCTTAATGTTCCTCTCCCTTATCTTTTAGTGCCCTCCCTTAATATTTCCCTCTCTCCCCCCTAGTATTCTTCCCCCCTCCCCTGTCCCATAGTGTTCTCTCTCCCTACCCCATAATGTTCTTTCCTCCCCCCGTCCCTTAGTGTTCTTTCCTCCCCCTATCCCATAGCGTTTTTTCCTCCTCCCTGCCCCATCCCATAGCGTTTTTTCCTCCCCCTCCCCTGTCCCATAGCATTTTTTTCCTCCCCCCTGCCCTGTCCCATAGCATTTTTCCCTGCCCCCTCCCCAGTCCCATAGTGTTCTTTCCTCCCCCTCTCCCTCCCTCCCCTTTCCCAAAGAGTAACTTTCCCCTGTCTTGTCTCCTGCAGTACAGGAGATTCAGTCTCCTGTACCCGGTGGGACTGACAGGAAGTGCTCTAATTCTAATTAAAGTGAGGCCTACGTTGGAAAAGAGAAGGCAGACAGCTTTTAGGAATGAAAATTATCCTGATGGGGTGGAAAAAAAAAACATTTGCACATAAGTTCCTGTACCGCGGTGCGCACTGCTCCGCTCAGCCACGCTGTGCGCCCACCTCCTGCCGGTCACTCCCATCTAGTGCCCCCCGGGTCAGTGCGCCCTAAGGCGGCCGCTTGTGCCGCCTTATGGACTCGCCGGCCAACCTTATTATCGGTATTTCCGGTAATTTTCAGCTGATACCGATATTTACAAAAAATCTGAATATCGTCCGATAATATTGGCAAAACCGATAATCGGTCGATCACTAGTTCTGTACAGCTCTTTCTCTCTACCAAATCATTAAGTTCACACACCTAAAAAAGTATATCTATTTTGTCTCTCATATTCCAAGTTATAAAATTGATTTTCTCCTCTGCTTTCTTTTGTCTCAGACTCTGTGAATACTGTCTTTTTAGTACTGTAAGTTTGAAGGCCTTCTTGCAAAGTGCCTTGTACTACTAAATAGTATTATTATTATTATTATTATTGGCAATTATAACATGCCAACATATTCCAGACCAGTTAAGAATTTTAACATGGGGAGATAACTGCAAATAAGACAAATTGTTACAAATGTTAACAGGAATCAAGAAAATATTGAGGACCCCAACTGAGTGAGTAAAAAAGTATACAATCTAGAGGAGGTGAGGTATAAAGACATTGGAGGAAGAGCAATGTGGGGTCTATGATTAACAGGTGAGTGTGTAGAAAAGCAATAAAGTTAGAAGGTAAGAGAGTGAAGTGAAGAAGAGCGGAGCCACTAATTATCTCAACTTCATAAGCTTTCCAAATGTTTCAATATTGGTAGAAAAAAATAATCAGATGATTTATCTACTTGTCACCACTGAAGTCTATGGGGATTTTTCTAGATAAATCATTTAGAAAGTTTTTATAACAGTATTGAATTATTTGGAATTCTAATTAAAGTGAGGCCTACGTTGGAAAAGAGAAGGCAGACAGCTTTTAGGAATGAAAATTATCCTGATGGGGTGGAAAAAAAAAACATTTGCACATTAGTGAACCCCCTACGGTTGGTAATATAGCTCAAAGTAGTCATGAGATGAACGAATATTAATATATTTCAAAGGAAACTCCAAAAGAATAATTCCTGTCTCACTGCTGATGACATCGGATGACCTTTCCTCCTGTTTCCTGGATCGTTTACTAATACATGATGTAATTTAACACGAGAGCGGAAGAGAAAGTATGTGGGAGATTTGTTTGTATTTTACTTCATTATAATTACTTAAAAGGGATTATGGGGAATGCGAAAAATGTTTTCATTGAAACATTTCCAACGTCTATAATACCAAAGCAATGACAAATAATATTAATTTGATTATTCACAACTTTGGAAAACTTTGATAAACTCAAATGAGTATTGTTAAAAAATACATTATTATACAACAATGAATGCATCACAAAATGATCACCCGTCTTATCAGCGAGGCACTTGTATATCTTATATGGGCACTGCGAGCTCTATAACCACTACTACTATTGTGGTTATGGTGCTATGAGTCCAGGGCCCCTATCCTCTGATTTTTGTCATATTGTTTTGATGCAGTTTGCCAAACACTGCAACCATATCCTGCCATCTTTTAAGCCACACTAATAATAATTGAGAAAGTAAGTAAAAATACTGCACTCCTCAAAGCATGGTGCCCCTTAGTAATAATGCCAGCTTAACTCCTAAGAGAATACAGAATGAAATCTAATTATCAGTGGCGGCTGGTGACGTTTAAATTTGGTGAGGTGTTGACCCCCCGACTTGTTGTACTTTATCCATTTAATCTCAAGAGATGCCAATTCCTTTTCAAAACTAGCTATATTTCCAGTCATCAATAAAAGAATGAATTGAAACTGACGATATAATCATAACTGGCACATATTTTTCTAACATACATTAATTAGTAGTCCTTACAGTATGTACCACTGGTAATTACTCATTTATACAAATATTCTATTCTATACACAAGTAGGATATTCTGTATTTTAAGTTCAAAATGTTGCAGACTATGCTTGTGGATGGAATATCTCATAAATATTTATTGGAGATGTATAGTTGATTTTGCTTATTTATTAATAATGTATATTATGATGTGGACCTATAGTTCATCCCGCCGGCATCCCATCACTCTCCCAGGGCCAGATGAACATGATCTGCCTGTTCCATAAGGGTAACCCACCAAAATAGCACTGTGACTCAATTTCAGGTCTGACCCAGGGGTCCGGCTCCTAAGAGGACAGCAGGAACTGTGTACTAACTCAGGACTACGTTAAATATTCTGTTTATTTTCCTTATTCAAGTACATAATGGTTTAGCTTCTCTCTGTGCATCTGATATGTCTGCAGGTCCAGGACTGAGTGTGGCATGAATAATTGCAACCTTTAAAGTCACTTAACTGTGCTATGCGTGATGTTACTAAGATGAGATGGTTACTATGTATGCTGATTGGTGACATATTTTCCTATTGAATGTTAATTATGTGGGTTAAGGGAGGTCAGTAAAAAGACTCTATCTAGTTATCCTTCTACTGCTAACATCACACAAAAAGCTTGGAAACTGTGCACATAGCACCTTTGTATATGGAAAGGGTATATGAATATAGAGAATGCAGCACTACTATCTGTATGAAAGCCATTGAAAAGCGAGATCACCCTATCTATATTGGAACAAGTCATGTATAGCATATGTATGTGTAGAAATTAGTTATGTTTAGTTATAGGAAATGAATATACATGTTTACAAAAAAAATGCGTGTGTCAGACTTCAAAAACGTCTTTCACTATATCCTATTATGAATCCCAATGATTTACAGATTCTTAATGGAACACATCGGGGCTGGTGCCAATCCCAATTAAAAAAATAAATAAAATAATGTAAGTTAGAACAGCAAACAACACTTTCAGAAGCAGGAAGGGGCTCCACCAATCAGGAGACTCTAGAACAAATATATGCTTCTTTTTAATACAAACTATATATATCTATCTATAATTGTTGTTGATATTTTAAAATTTTTAAAATATAATTTTAAAATTTTGTCCAAAAATATTAAATCAATTGAAAAGTTTATCTAAGCATATTAAATCAAGGCCGTAGGGAGAAGAGCAGTAGTTGCACCATAACCTAAGCAATATATGCTATATATAAATATATACCGTATTTTTCGCTCCATAAGACGCACTTTTTTCCCCCTCAAAAGTGAGGGGAAATGTCTCTGCGTCTTATGGAGCGAATGTGAAGATTTACTTACCTGTTTTGGAGCATGGGCCGGCTTCACTGAGTGTGCACTTCCTTTCAGTCCTGCCGGAAACCGGAACCTGAAATAGAAGTTCCTGGACCGCGGAGCACGCTGTGAAGCCGGCCCACGCTCCAAAACAGGTAAGTAATTATCGGACAAGGGGAGGGGGAGACACTATGGGACAAGGGGAGGGGGGGAGACACTATGGGAGAAAGGGAGGGGAGACACTATGGGAGAAAGGGGGGGGACACCATGGGACAAGGGAGGGGGACACTATGGGACAAGGGGAGGGGGGACACTTTGGGAGAAAGGGAGGGGACACCATGGGACAAGGAGGAGACACTATGGGACAAGGGGAGGGGGGGACACCTGCGGGACAAGGGGAGGGGGAGACACATGGGACAAGGGGAGGGGAGACACTATGGGACAAGGGAAGGGGGGGAGACACTATGGGACAAGGAGGGGGAGACACCAGGGGAGAAAGGAGGGAGACACTATGGGACAAGGAGGGCACACCATGGACAAGGAGAGGGGAGACACTATGGGAGAAAGGGAGGGGAGACCCTATGGGACAAGGGGAGGGGGGGAGACACTATGGGAGAAAGGGAGGGGAGACACTATGGAACAAGGGCAGGGAGGGACACTATGGGAGGGAAAGTGCTCTGCGGTCCAGGAACTTCTATTTCAGGTTCTGGTTTCCGGCGGGACTGAAAGGAAGTGCACACTCAGTGTGCACACTTCCTTTCAGTCCCGCCGGAAACCGGAACCTGAAATAGAAGTTCCTGGACCGCGGAGCGCGCTGTGAAGCCGGCCCACGCTCCAAAACAGGTAAGTAATTATGGGACAAGGGGAGGGGGAGACATTATGGGACAAGGGGAGGGGGGAGACACTATGGGACAAGGGGAGGGGGGATACACTATGGGAGAAAGGGAGGGGAGACACTATGGGACAAGGGAGGGGAGACACTATGGGACAAGGGAGGGGAGACACTATGGGACAAGGGGAGGGGGGACACTATGGGACAAGGGGAGGGGGAGACACTATGGGACAAGGGCAGGGGGGGACACTATGGGACAAGGAGGGGGGGGAGACACTGTGGGAGAAAAGGGAGGGGGAGACACCTGCGGGGACAAGGGGAGGGGAGACACTCATGGGACAAGGGAGAGGGGGACACCATGGGGACAAGCGTGGGAGAGGGGGGACACCATGGGACAGCAAGGGGAGGGGGAGACACTCATGGGACAAGGGAGGGGGGAGACACCATGGGACAAGGGGAGGGGAGACACCATGGGACAAGGGAAGGGGACACCATGGACAAGGGAGGGGAGGGGAGGGGGAGACACTATGGGACAAGGGGAGGGGGGGGAGACACTATGGAACAAGGGCAGGGGGGGACACTATGGGAAGGAAAGTGCACTATGGGACAATGGGGGGGGACACTATGGGATCAGAACACTAATGGACAGGGTAGGAGGGGTTAACAATCACTATGGGACAGGGGAGGAGGGGTTAACAATCACTATGGGACAGAGGAAAGGGGGGTTAAAGATCATTATGGGACAGGGGAGAAAAAAAAATATTCTGAACAAACTGTCCCAAGGTAAGAAACACTATGGAACAGTTTGTTCAGAATATTTTTTTGTCTGGGTTTCCTCCTCTAAAAACTAGGTGCGTCTTATGGTGAGGTGTGTCTTATGAAGCGAAAAATACGGTATATAAAAAGAACTAACATTTATAGTATACAGCATACTGGCTCTTTAAACTATACTGAACTTATTGAAAGTGCACCATATGAAGTGTTAGAACTTAAAAGATAATGTTTAGTCTACACCAGTGATTCTTAACTCCTTGGTAGGGTCCCAAAAATGTGTCAACATGGCTTTATAGAGGTACTCGTTGGTTAAAACAGACACATCATATTCAACCAGGCCCAAACCCAGAACCATTGATCAATACATTTTATATATATATATACGAGAATGCTAGAAGTGCATAATTTACAGTTTAAAGGGCACCTGTCGTGCTCCAAACTACTTTGCTCTTTTTAAAGAGCAGTGGATTTCATCTGTACATTGTGCAAGCAGTTTTGCCAGCAAATGTATAGATTGGAAATAGGTTTTTCTCCCACCTGTCAATCAATTATTTGAGACTATGCTGCGCAATTGATAATGGAGATCAGTGGAAAAACTCCTGCAGGCGGTCTTTCTGCTCTCCACCCATAACACGTGCTGACATCACTTCATTCAGACGCAGGCATGCTTGCAATGAAACCAGCGCGTTGGCGGCACTTTTAAAGATGTTGAGTTTCTCTTATAAATCCCTGCATAGCAGAACTTTATGGGTAGAAAGGGGATATCTGGACCTTCAGCTACAAGATTTTACTCATGAAAAACTGTTAGCTGAAATAGAACTCCCAGAAAAATGTGCTGTGTTTGTGATGACATAAAGGACTGTCTTATTGGGGAAACACTGCAGTTTAGAAGGGTGGAAGAGAAAGTAAGTTGTGACATCACGTGTCTCTGTGATGTAATCCATAAGAAAGAAGTATTTTAAGAATGGAGGAGAGGGAATGAACATGCAAAATAAGAATGGTCAAGATACAGAATTCAGCAAAAACAATTTTTTATTTTGCACAATCTATACACTAATGATCATGCAAAAAAAATAAAATAATAATATATGTATATATATATATATATATATATATATATATATATATAAAAACAGCTCATCTAAGCCAAAAACTATAAAATTAAAAAAATTCTGGTTTGTGTTTGTAATGATCCTTTAATATGGATATCCAGAATTCAGGATTGTGCGTAGTCATCGAATGTAGGAGTTGTCATTTTTAAGGTGACTCTTAAGAGTACTGACAACACGGTAAACAGCTAAAGGGTAGTTTTATGCAGTGGCTTCCAAGAACCCAGCAGTTGGCAACAGCACACAATAAAAGTGAGCATACATCAGCAGATTGGTTTCACTGGTTCACATATACTTGTGTAGCATTTAGATGATGATCGTGGAAAACATTAAATATGTCCCAACTCCCAGATTGTAAATCTAAGAACTTATGGTTTGCAATAGTTTTCTAGTTTCTCAAATTTGTGATTTAAACTTATTTCATGTGAAAAGCACACTGGTCTTACGGTAAGAATACTTTATACACGTTAGGGTAAGGTTTCAGCTGTTCTTGGAATTCCTCCTCATTTCACTAGTGGTAACCCAATCTAGCTGATAGAGGGGAGGGGTGCACTCGCTATTATTTTGGGTAGGTAAGAGGAAGGAGGGATGGGGGCAGGGAATGTAATGAACATATGGATTTTATTTGCAGTATCTTGAAAGTTTAACTGTTTCTATCCTGGGACAATGTAACCACATGTAATGTTTGGCTTTGTACTGCACATATAGTTTCAGCCAAGAGAATGGGTGTGGGGGAATGATTAATGTTTCTCAGTTCTTCGAGAAATTTAGAAACCTGATGACTGGTAAAACTAATGGATCTAATCCAAATAAAACCAAACTAAGCCAAATATAATCATTTCATGGACATGTTACAAAATAATGCAGTCTTGCAGATAATAGATAAGTGACTGACAGCAGAAACAACCCATCTGCTCCTCAGAAAATTGAGAGCAATAAGACTCGTTTTTCCAGGGGATGGCAAACCGGTAGCTGCCAGGGGCATTACTTGTGCTCGTACAGACATTAGAGGAACAGGTAGCAGAGGCATGCTAAGCAGCTCGGTGTTTGTTTGTTTTTGTTTTTTTTCATATATCATTTTTATTAGTACTAGTGTTTTCCTGGCACTATAGTGGTCCTTTAAACGTATTATGCTTAACCTTATTAGCTTCATTAAAACATAAGAATACCATAGAAAGATAACATAGAGGGAGGGGAATACAGAAAGGAAAAAGGGGGGGGTTAGGTTCACATTGATATTGCTTATGCAACAGTTCTTGTGACACATACCCTGGCCTTAGAACCCTAGAGCCTGGCCGGACATTCAAGTCACACAAAAGTGGTGCCCTATAAGCTATTTATTCCTATCAGTTTCCTCATTGTTAGCGTTGTTGTCCTGTGCCTTTCCAATATTTGTGGTCCAGCATTCCCAATCTCTCACATACCTACTTACACAACCCTATGTTTTGCTAACCATTTTCTCATAAATACTTATCATATTCAACCTCTGTATGAGAGTATCTAACGAGGGAATCGTCGTGCTCTTCCAGTGGAACGCCAAGTTTATCTTGGCTACCGTGAGAATGATGAGCAATACTTTGTGGTTAGGGTGGTGTATCAGCCAGGGATGATATGCAGAAGGTAGCTGGTTGGCTTCTTTGGTATTCTATAGAGTGTGGTATCAGAGATAAATTTCCCCACCCAGTCCCAGTATTCTCCCAGGGCCGGACAATCCCAAAATGTGTGTAGCATAGTGCCTATCTGTGTTTTGCATCTCCAGCATAGCATCCGATGCCTCCTTATAGATTCGCGATAACTTGTATGGCACCAGGTACCATCTCATGGTGAATTTACAGAAGGCTTCCCAGAGTGATAAGCTCCTTGAGGCTCGTTTAGCAGCTTGGTGTATTTGGCACTGTGAAGGTGTTTAGTTTGCAGAAAAAAAATTGAAGATGCCATCAATAATAAACTTGCTCTTGAGAGTCATGAATGTGGCACACAAAGTTTCATAATGATGTCATCACCCGCTTTCCCAAATTATTAAATCCTGGGTAAAGTCACCAGGCCAACTCAGCAGAGGAGATTAAAAAGCAAAGAAAAGGAGCAGAGCTGGATTTAAATTGCGAGTGCCAGTAGACCCCCTTCCAAACTAATAGTGAAATAAAAACATTTTTAAAAAGTACTTGGACTTTTAAATATGCATATCGAGTGTTTATTCTATTAAAAGCAACATTATAGGGTTAGGAATACAAAGCTTTATTCCTAACACTTTTGTTGTCCCTCTGTCCTTGCGCCCCTGCTCCCCATGTAGCCATTAAAGAGTTTTTAAAAAAACAAAAACTTTTTTCACCTAACCTTATTCCAGGACCCAGGTACCACCTCCTCTGATGTCATTGCGGGGGTGAATCTAATGTGTATGTGTGGTAAGCGCTGCATGCATTAGGCCTTCCCCATAGGAAAGTGTTGAATGCTGTGGGAATTTTGAAGATGCTGGTCATCCTCATATAAAGCGTATGGATGTCCAGGGTAATTTTATTGAGTTAAACTCTGTGAAACAGCAGGAAATGCCTATATTGGCTGTCTAGTTGACAGCCACTAGAGGCAGTATGCTGTAAACATTGCAGTCTCTCGAAAATGTCTCAATTGTACATTGCAGGGATAAGGGGACAGGGGCACTGCAGCCCCATCTGATTGAAGTGGTCTGGGTGCCAATAGTTAGGGTTACCAAATCCACCATATTTTAAGGACAATGTATCACATACACATATGGATAGGCAGCATGTGAAAAGTTTTGCCCTGTAGTATGTAGCCTGCTGGCTAGCCTCCTGCCCAAAGACTATGGGCCATGTAAAAAGACTGGGTTCGGGTGGTTTCCCTGGACTGTTTGGGAACCAAAGCAACTCACGAACTACCGACCACTCAGGAGGCTTGTTAAACCCTAATAACAACTTTTAACGATACTAATCGCAGTGTTCTAAGTGTTCGTCTTGTTCGCACGAATGCAGGCAGCATTCCATTATCACCTGCATTCGTCTGGATGAGGGGAACAAGCTCCACGGTTCGAATAAAAGCTGCGTTCAGTAGTTTATTCATTTTTAAACTACAGAAGTTTACCGACCGCTACCACTTTTCTCATGGAACAATTTTGGGCAGGAGCCACGTGTGCGATCGGTTAAAAAGAGACTTCCATGGAAATCCTGAACCCCTGAACCAATCTGGGTGAGTTTTGGATACGTTGGTCACCCAAATCGTGGCTATCCGAGGATATGACTTTTGTGGGGTTTTCATGTATTTTAGGGGCACTTTTAGTGTGTTTGTAAATTGTGTGTTTTCTGTACCTGGAGATAATTGAATTAGTACAGTTCCTGACCCAATTATCTCTCAGGCACAGGGGAGGGATTAACCTGTGATTTTGTGTAAAAAAACCAACTTGCATTGGCTTGTGCATTAAAGGCCGTGTGTGGCTCTGAATAAAACAGATGACTTCCCAGCATTAAGCCTCGGCTCATGTGTGGGGGGAACAGCCATACTGGCTATATCCTGCTATACTCTCTGGAGGAGAGGTCTACTCTATGGGAGCTGGATCCAGGACTTGGGTCCAGGGTGGGAGGGAGAAGGCAAGACCCCAGCCAAGCTGTTGCGGCTAAGGGGCTTCAGTGCTTATGGTGTCCGGTGCAATGCTTATGGTACTCAGGCAGGGTACCAGGTGATCTGCCACATTAGGCAATTAGGAATCCTGCAGAATATGCATAATATGTACTGCAGGGAAACTCTTTTCATGCTTTTTCATAAATATGCCAAAATTATATGTGTCCCTGAAAACATATTGGATCATTATGACTAATCTATTAATGTACTGAAATAGATTGTGCCTTCCATAGATATCAATCCCAATAAAGTTATATTTGCTCTATTCTTATCTTTATACACTGTTTATATATATCAATACAAGACATAATTAATAGACTAAGCAGGCAGTATATAAGTAACAGGGGTATATTATATGAATGGTGATCCCATTCCCTTCCTCCTCATTTTAATTTTACTTTTTGTTTAAATTTTATAAAAGGAAAGTGGAACATTGCTGCAATATGCAATTTTACAACTGGTTATTCAAGGAAAGAATCCTATTTTAATTGTTTTAGATCTTGTAGCCAGAACCTGCCTTGATGTGAAGTGTCCTTTAAAGAGGTTTACATTCCTTATAATAAAAATAGAAAATGAATATATACAATAGTAGGTAATAAATGTATTTGATGACCTTGGGTTGCAGGAAATGAGTTCATGAAATATTTCTTAGGGTTACCAGATTTTTAATTTAAGGAAAAATTATAAAATAAAGACCCCCTCCAAGTTATCAATTAAAGCAGAAAATAATTCACTCTATGCCAGTGGTTGCGAACAATCCTCAAAAACCCACCAATAATCCTCATTTTTTTCCCATTATCCCCTTTGGTACAGTTCATTAGGAGGCAAAGGTCAAATTAGAAATGATAAAATTCCCACCTGTGGACAGTCCTTGATGTAGTGACCTTTGTTGAAGCAGAGGTGGCACAGGTAGTTAGGAGGGGGCCTCTTGCTGGGTTTCCTGTTCTCAGAGGAAAGTGAAAGTTCTGAGAAATGTTCCGTTAGAGAGCTCAACCCATCAACTATGTTGTTTAAAGATCCATAGGGTGATGCACTTTTATAAAGGCTGTTGCCCAATGCCTGCAAAAGAATAACAGAATAGAAGGTTACATTCAGATAGCTTTTACAGAAACCTTTTATTTATTTTTTACAGAAACTTTTTCATTTTCAAATGTCATAAGTATTGACTAAGTAAAACCTCACTAAATATAGACAAAAGCTTGCATTTAAATCTTACGAACAAGCTCAGAGCACAACAGACACTTATATCCACACAATAACCCTTTAAGAGGAAAGGCAGTTTAGATGGACATCTTGGATTTTGACTTCATACCGTGACCTTGCGTGGAACCACACACTGAAACAAAACAACAACAAAACAGCATAAAAAGCCAAAAGCTTATGGCCAAATGCTTTAACTGAATTCGGCACACAAAGCTAGTTTGTACATAGTGGAATCATAATTGCATATGATAAAAGTGACTGGTATAGGACAATGTAGTAAATTAATTGTAACTTTATTAGTGATTAACTGTCAATGTTTTGACCAGCGATTTACCTACAACCAATAAAATCACCGTGAAGCACTTTGAGGTATTGCTATTTTGTTTATTATCTTTAGTGTTATTTATCAGTTTGGTGAAACCAGAGGCTCATTAGATTACATGCTCTAACCAATATGTTATATTTTATAAACAATTTAGAATATCGTATAACCACCCCCTGTAAAGTGAGTGATTCAGCTCAAGAGAATATTGAATTGACCTGAAAATGTTCAGATACAATGTGCGGCTGGGTAAATCTACTTGTTGTGCTGGCATTATCACTGGCAAATGTTTGGTAAAAACATAAAATTACGAAGTTCATTTTTTCTTGTTTTACACACATTAAACAAGCTTGATAGGTTGATAACCCTGACATGGTTGAGGTTTCTATAATGTAGAAGGTAACCCAGTATAATTTGGGAGCTATAGATTCAGTAACATCAATATATTGATCTACTACTAATATTAGAACTTTTGTCCTAAATGCAGGTGCCCTAAATGTAGCTTCAATAAGAACAGATATATACATATATGTATGTGTGTGTAACCCACAGAATCCAGCGCACTTGCTGAGTAAACACAAGCTTCTACGTTTACAACATGTAATAGTATTTTTTTTTAATTTTTTTTTAAACCTGACTTAGGCCAAAATAATGGGGATTTAGTTACAGTATATAATTATACATTGCATAAGCCTGCCACTACGCCAATACACCCCGTTTTTATGTGTGTGTGTGTGTATGCACATTCCAATGTTTGGAATCGCACTACTCGTTTCACATTATGTATCACCTTGGGACATAGTACAGAGACATACATGTGGCCGTGTCAAAATAAAGCTAGAACAGGGTTTTTCCATGAACAGAAATATGCTGACGAGCAACCCAAGAGGTTATAGACTCGTGTCCTGAAATCCAGGATCCATAAGTGGATTTAGAGGGTATCTCACAGAAGCATCTCTTATATCCTAAACTGCAAGTGTTTTTCTAAATCAATCAGTATAGTGTTACTTAGATTTATTTTTAGTAAATTATATTATGTTTACGGTTTGTTGAAATATAGATTTAAAATAGTATTATTATTTCTAAAGAGCCAACAAATTCTGCAGCACTGTACAATGGGTGGACTTACATGTTAAGCTAATTTGTTGTCCCCTAAAGAGAACTCTGTATGGATTGGGAATAATTTTAAGATAATCTACCATATCAGTGTATGTCTAAATGGACTAATACCCGCAATGCTCACCTATTATCCTGTGTTTATAGTGTTATCTAACTTCTATTTTTGAATTCCAAAATGAAAAAAAAAATACATATGAATTGCAAAACACCTAAGGCATCATTAAAAATAAACATTTACAGAAACTAAAATGAGTGTGTTAACTGTCCAACAGTGATCAAACATTTTAAGGTGTTATGTGATTGTTTTTTGTGCTATAGTGATCAGTGTAAAAAATTTATTTGTATTGTGAAAGGGGCAAAATGTGACAGAGTTGAAAGTTTTAACAAAAATTGTGAATGCCTTTTTTAAAGACATTATGACCTCGATTTAATAAGCTTTCGAAATGAATCAATACTGTTAAAACAAAAACAAAAAAAACTTTCTGAACAATTTATCTACAAAAATGTCCGTAGAAATGCTAGCCTCTGTAGATCAATTATTTGAAATAGTATAATTTTGGAAAGCTTGAGGCCTGTATCTGTAATATCTATATCTGGAAATTGAGGCCTATATTTGTAGTAATATAAAGAATGCATTAAAAGTGGGTAGGGAATTCAGTCTGGAGTATCACTTTAAATGATTCAGCAGCAATTGATTAAATTGGTAGAACCGAGGGAAAGTTTTCCATAAAGGAAAAATGTTAGGAAGACTTTGCACTTGCCCTGGTTTTGGCAAATAAAGCCAGTCTAGGAAGGCAAACAAAAGTTAAACGTGACCTTGAAAAAAAAATAAAAATAAAAATTGGCAGAACATCGCAAAATGATTTCATTCCACTGGATGCAGCATGTTGAAAAGTTGTGTACACCCAGTAGAATGCATCAAGCTGTGTTCTGTTTCTTGGGGTCTGTTGTATCTCAAGTAATATTGATAAAATGTAGAAATGTATTGTTTCACTCTATGCTTCTCTAAGTGCATAATTTCATTAACAATTAATGAACCCCGTAGCGGGGAGGTGTGTACAAATATTGAGCGTTTGCAATAAACTTTTAGGTCCTAAATAGAAGCTCTAACAACACTCGTGTGGGAACACCCTGTATCCCACATTAAACAAAAATTTGGCAAATTATAACACTTTTTGCGCATTATTTCAGCCATCCTGACAAAACGGTATGTTTTTCTGTCACTCTAGTACTCAAACACACAGCTCTGCATTTAGAATTGTCCTTCACTTAATTATGACCCTACTCTACCAAAAATAATAACTGATTAACTTTACAGGATGTGGGGAGACTTCAAGGGACACTCGAGGTCTTTGAAAATTCAGAAGCTGGATGCAGGTGGGAGGTAGTGGACATCACCGCTTAAGGCAAATGTGGGGTTAAACCATTCTTGAAAGGTTGAACACCTTGAGGTAAGAGTGCCTTCAGGGCATTCTGGAACCATAACAACTTAATCTAAAACAAAAGTAGATACTTCAACACTTATGTACAGGAATATGCTTTATGGATATACAGTGATTGTAGGTATTGCAAGAGGAGCAAAAATGTTATCTGTACCCCTGTAACACTTTAATTTGTTGTAAATCTCCAGTGTAGGCAGCTCTTGCACTGAGCACTGACTAAACCAGGAACCATCCACTTCGAGTCTGCTATTATTTTTAATGGATGCTGAGCATTTACCATAAACGTCACTTTCATTAAAGCAGTATTTTCATTAGTTGTCTCTTTGCATATTTTCCAAAAATTCCTTAAAGTGACACTCCACTGCCCAAATACAAAATAAATAAAAATCACTGTTTAGTAGAAATACCCAAATGAAAACATGCCTGTATTTTGTTATGCATTTTGTCATTGGGTGTATATTATAAATAGCTTGCAAAAACTGAGTTCTCTTGTCTGAATCCTTGGCGAACTCTCCCTTTCTAACCCCGCCCAGACTTTCTGTCGTTGTCCAATCACAAGCTTGCCAAATGATTCAATACAGTTATACATTCCAAATTATTTATCTACAGTAGTCAACATTACAAGCATCCTAGAAGTCCTCCTTTTCTGCTTTAGTTCCACTGGTGGGGACATCCATCATAGAAACATAGAATGTGACGGCAGATAAGAACCATTTGGCCCATCTAGTCTGCCCAATTTTCTAAATACTTTCATTAGTCCCTGGCCTTATCTTATAGTTAGGATAGCCTTATGCCTATCCCACGCATGCTTAAACTCCTTTACTGTGTTAACCTCTACCACTTCAGCTGGTAGGCTATTCCATGCATCCACTACCCTCTCAGTAAAGTAATACTTCCTGATATTATTTTTAAACCTTTGCCCCTCTAATTTAAGACTATGTCCTCTTGTTGTGGTAGTTTTTATTCTTTTAAATATAGTCTCCTCCTTTACTGTGTTGATTCCCTTTATATATTTAAATGTTTCTATCATATCCCCCCTGTCTCGTCTTTCCTCCAAGCTATACATGTTAAGATCCTTTAACCTTTCCTGGTAAGTTTTATCCCGCAATCCATGAACCAGTTTAGTAGCCCTTCTCTGAACCCTCTCTAAGGTATCAATATCCTTCTGAAGATACGGTCTCCAGTACTGTGTACAATACTCCAAGTGAGGTCTCACCAGTGTTCTGTACAATGGCATGAGCACTTCCCTCTTTCTACTGCTAATACCTCTCCCTATACAACCAAGCATTCTGCTAGCATTTCCTGCTGCTCTATTACATTGTCTGCCTACCTTTAAGTCATCAGAAATAATCACCCCTAAATCCCTTTCCTCATACGTTGTGGTTAGGACTCTATCAAATATCCTGTACTCTGCCCTTGGGTTTTTACGTCCAAGATGCATTATTTTGCACTTATCCACATTAAATGTCAGTTGCCACAACTCTGACCATTTTTCTAGTTTACCTAAATCATTTGCCATTTGGCTTATCCCTTCTGGAACATCAACCCTGTTACATATCTTAGTATCCTCAGCAAAAAGACATACCTTACCATCAAGACCTTCTGCAATATCACTAATAAAAATATTAGAGAGAATGGGTCCAAGTACATATCCCTGAGGTACCCCACTGGTGACAAAAGCCCAAGCTTCGAATATACTCCATTGACTACAACCCTCTGATGCCTGTCACTCAGCCACTGCCTTACCCATTCAACAATATTGGAATCCAAACTTAAAGATTGCAGTTTATTGATAAGCCTTCTATGTGCAACAGTGTCAAAAGCCTTACTGAAATCTAGGTAAGCAATGTCTACTGCACCACCCTGATCTATAATTTTAGTTACCCAATCAAAAAATGGGTGTCAATAGTGACTTAGGTCCTCCCACCTATCTTGTCCCACTACCCCCATCCTGAATGTTGTAAGGGGTATATATATGTGTATTAAAGTATATAGGAACTTTTGTAGATAATCATTTGGAAAGTTGTTTTTTTTGTTGTTGTTGTAAGCTTATAAAACTGAGGCCTATGCTTCATCACAAAGTTTTAATCTAAAATATAATGTGATTTGTGCTTCTGCATGACATCAGACAAGTCCAAACATGGCAAACACTGAGAGGATGATAATACAGGATCTGCTTATTCAAGGAGTGGTAGATGGGCGGAAAAGTTTTTGATTGCCACAATGGTGTCTGAATTGCCCTCATTGGCTCAGAGTCAGAATAAGACTTTAAAAGGGTCATATTCAAGGTACCAGGTTGTAGTCACCATCAATGTAAAAAACAAATCTGAATAAAGTGATTTATAGAACAATTCTCATCAAATTTTCACTTCTCGCTTTTTATTAGATCATTACATGTGAGAAATTGAATAAGTTAATAAATAAAATTATTACAGAGGAAGGGACCCAATTAACACCTGAAAATATTGGCAAAGCATTTAACTCCTTCTATCAAAAATTGTATAATTTACCCAGTTATTCTTATAATCCAGAAATATATTTTAAAAACAAAAATTTAAAAAAATTATCAGGAGAACAATTGAATTCTATTAATCAACCCTTCTCAGAAACTGAAATAATAAGTGCAATCAAGTCCTTAAAAAAATAAATAAAACACCGGGGCCGGATGGTTATCCAAATATATTTTATCAGCAATTCCAGGACGTCTTAGTAATACACCTTAAAGATCTCTTTAATAATATAGTTAGAGAAAAAGATATACCTAATGAACTATTATACGCCAACATAATTCCCATTCAAAAGCCCGATAAACCTAAGGAATTTGTAGCGAATTATCGTCCTATATCTCTATTAAATTCTGATATAAAAATTTATGCAAGTATCTTGGCGAATAGATTACAAGGAGTCCTCCCGTCTATTATTCATGGGGATCAGGTTGGTTTTTTGAAGGACAGACAATCAAATAATAGTATAAGAACAATGATTGATATTTTGGATTACGCTCATGAATCGGGTACTCCATTGCTGGCCCTGTCATTGGATGCCGAAAAGGCCTTTGACAGGGTCAGATGGGACTTCCTCAGGGAGGCCTTGAAGGCTTTTGGCTTTGAAGGCTGGATTCTGAGTGCAATTATGGCCTTATATAGCTCCCCAAAGGCTAGAACAATTGGGAGGGGGATAATCTCTGAGTGGTTTAATATAAGGAATGGGACAAGACAGGGGTGTCCCCTGTCCCCATTGCTATACCTACTATACATAGAACCCCTGATCTGCGACATTAGAAATAATGACAAAATTATAGGAATTAAAATAGGCCAAGAGGAATATAAAACGCTACTTTATGCTGACGATGTTTTAATCACTATAACAGACCCTATAACATCAATAGATGAACTGATAAGGCTGATTCATGAATTTGGCCAGTATTCTAATTTCAAGCTAAATGTAGATAAGACAAGTATTCTCGCAAAAAATATAAAAAAGGAAGATAAATTATATATTAAAGTGAAATATACTTTTGAATGGGTAAAAACTTTTTTTGTTTATTTGGGTATAAGGATTTCTAGTAACCCCGCTAAGATTCTAGAATATAATGTTATGCCTTTAATGATGCAAATTAATAAACAATTAAAAGATATGAGAACAGCAGAGATATCATGGACAGGTAGAATCAATGTTGTAAAGGCCTATTTGATCCCTAAATGGAGCTATATATTCCCTATGATACCAATGAAAATGCCTAAACCATGGCTCCTGATGATCCAATCAGCATTAGATAAATATATATAGATGGGGAAAAAACCTAGGGTTAGTAAAAAAATCTTGAACCTAAAACCTAAACTAGGAGGGATGGGAGTTCCCAATATTATAGATATTTATGAATTTTGCTCATTGGCACATATTATTTCATCTATGAAAGAGAGATCTAAAAGAGCAGAAATTCCAGATTTAATGGCTTTATTTTGGAATATACACAAAGGGGAGAGAGATGATATGGGCCTAATTCTAGATAACTTATTGGTTCAATGGAGAATCTGGAAAAAAAGACTCAAAATTACAGATAAAATTATTATTGACCTACCTATGCAGGTTTTGTCCATTAATATTAAGGATCTTAATCTTGAGCCATGGTTAAATAAAGGCATTAATAGAATAAATCAGTTATTTCAACAACAACAGATTAGACCTTTTGAAGAGATTAAACAGGCCTTTTCTCTTTCCTATAGAGAAAGTTTTACGTACTTAAGGATAAAATACTTCTTAATGAGACATAGAATAGTGGAGATCTCTGAGGAATTACAGATGTTTATAAATTTATTAAATATCACACATAGTAAAAATTTAGTCTCTAAATGCTCCAATATCTGTAGTAAGTATAAGCCACTCCCGGAATTTCTAGCTAAAAAAGCTTGGGAAAAAGATATACAAATTAGCATTATGAGAAGTGAATGGCTTAAGGCTAATAATGCAGTAATGAAAGCTTCACATTGCTTAAATCTATCGGAAAGTCACTATAAGGTTATCAACAGATGGCATTATGTACCAGCTAAATTAGCAAAAATATATCCAGGTAACCAATATCATTGCTGGCGTTGTGCTTCCCTTATAGCAGACTATGTGCATATATGGTGGTCATGTCCGATTATAGTTCAATTATGGCAAAAGGTAGCGAAATTCTGTAGGGAAGAAATAGAAGTGGATCTTGATTTTACTTGTAGTTCTATGATATTACATATGGGATGGCCCACAATTCCGAAGGATAAAAAAGAAATAATTATCCACATTCTTGTAGAAACTAAAGCTACTCTCGCAAGATTTTGGAAAACCTCAGATTCCCCGTCATGGGAGATGATAAAACATCAGGTCTTGAATAATTGTAAAATGGAAATAGGGATATTGAGACAAAATAATTATTACAATCCACGAATTGAACAATGGCAGAAATGGATTGTGAAATTAGGAAGAAGTAATGTGACTTAATATATACTAAGGTTTTTATGTCTTGGAATTGTAGATAGGGTAGTGGTTCCTGTGCATAAATTTCTAAATTAGCCATGGGTTTACGGAGCCTGATTGGTAGAAAAAAATATTTGTCAAAGATTATGGTTTTAGGTTCCTAGGAGCAATATGCGACTAACTCTCGGCAAAGGGCAGCTTTTTTTTTTTTTTTATATAATATATAAGGGGAGAAGGTAAAGGAAGGAAGGAGGGAAGAGGTGAAGAAAGAAAAGGGGAAGGAGTAAGAAAAGAGATAGAACAAAAGGTGGACAAAGCCTTTTTGGATTTATTGTAAATCTCTTTCTGCATTGAAGGTGACTGAACTGTAATGATTTTATATATATATATATATTTTTTTTTTTCTGATGTTTATTGTCTAATGTCTGATTGTTTATTGTTGTAACAATGTATGTGAATCCTTTTTTGTTTGTAAAAAGAGAGAAAAAAGAGAAAAGGAAATATTATAAAAGAAAGAGAATGAAAGAAAGAAAAACTTTTTCAATAAAGATTAAATATATAAAAAAAAGAAAAAAAAAGAATGTGATGGCAGATAAGAACCATTCGGCCCATCTAGTCTGCCCAATTTTCTAAATACTTTCATTAGTCCCTGGCCTTATCTTATAGTTAGTATTGCCTTATGCCTATCCCACGCATGCTTATACGCCTTTACTGTGTTAACCTCTACCACTTCAGCTGGAAGGCTATTCCATGCATCCACTACCCTCTCAGTAAAGTAATACTTCCTGATATTATTTTTAAACCTTTGTCACTCTAATTTAAGACTATGTCCTCTTGTTGTGGTAGTTTTTCTTCTTTTAAATATAGTCTCCTCCTTTACTGTGTTGATTCCCTTTATATATTTAAATGTTTCTATCATATCCCCCCTGCCTCGTCTTTCCTCCAAGCTATACATGTTAAGATCCTTTACCCTTTCCTGGTAAGTTTTATCCTGCAATCCATAAACCAGTTTAGTAGCCCTTCTCTGAACCCTCTCTAAGGTATCAATATCCTTCTGAAGATACAGTCTCCAGTACTGCGTACAATACTCCAAGTGAGGTCTCACCAGTGTTCTGTACAATGGCTTGAGCACTTCTCTCTTCTACTGCTATTACCTCTCCCTATACAACCAAGCATTCTGCTACCATTTCCTGCTGCTCTATTACATTGTCTGCCTACCTTTAAGTCATCAGAAATAATAACCCCTAAATCCCTTTCCTCAGATGTTGAGGTTAGGACTCTATCAAATATTCTGTACTCTGCCCTTGGGTTTTTACATCCAAGATGTATTATCTTGCACTTATCCACATTAAATGTCAGTTGCCACAACTCTGACCATTTTTCTAGTTTACCTAAATCATTTGCCATTTGGCTTATCCCTTCTGGAACATCAACCCTGTTACATATCTTAGTATCCTCAGCAAAAAGACATACCTTACCATCAAGACCTTCTGCAATATCACTAATAAAAATATTAGAGAGAATGGGTCCAAGTACATATCCCTGAGGTACCCCACTGGTGACAAAGCCCAAGCTTCGAATATACTCCATTGACTACAACCCTCTGATGCCTGTCACTCAGCCACTGCCTTACCCATTCAACAATATTGGAATCCAAACTTAAAGATTGCAGTTTATTGATAAGCCTTCTATGTGCAACAGTGTCAAAAGCCTTACTGAAATCTAGGTAAGCAATGTCTACTGCACCACCCTGATCTATAATTTTAGTTACCCAATCAAAAAATGGGTGTCAATAGTGACTTAGGTCCTCCCACCTATCTTGTCCCACTACCCCCATCCTGAATGTTGTAAGGGGTATATATATGTGTATTAAAGTATATAGGAACTTTTGTAGATAATCATTTGGAAAGTTGTTTTTTTGTTGTTGTTGTAAGCTTATAAAACTGAGGCCTATGCTTCATCACAAAGTTTTAATCTAAAATATAATGTGATTTGTGCTTCTGCATGACATCAGACAAGTCCAAACATGGCAAACACTGAGAGGATGATAATACAGGATCTGCTTATTCAAGGAGTGGTAGATGGGCGGAAAAGTTTTTGATTGCCACAATGGTGTCTGAATTGCCCTCATTGGCTCAGAGTCAGAATAAGACTTTAAAAGGGTCATATTCAAGGTACCAGGTTGTAGTCACCATCAACGTAAAAAACAAATCTGAATAAAGTGATTTATAGAACAATTCTCATCAAATTTTCACTTCTCGCTTTTTATTAGATCATTAATGTGATGAAACTTAATGCTTTTTTTTTTCTTCAATGATGTATATTGATTTTTTTGAGAAAATGTTTTTTGTTTGTTTTTTGTTTTAAATCTGGTTGAACAGCCATGTTAGGCCTGACTCTGCTGTCATCTAACCAGCTATACTCAACCTAAAGTGCCTACTGCTGCAGGTTCACATGAAGCGACCACAGAAGCAGGCAGGTTAGGTTGAGCTGCAGCAGTAGAGTGTGAATTAATATGGCTGCTCAGCCAGAGAAAAAAGACAATTCTAAAAAATAAAATAAAAAAAATATATCATTTAAAAAAACAAAAATCATTAAGTTTCATTAAATGTAATAAATATTTAAAAATAAGAAGATACATTTTGATGACGGTTGTCTTTTAAGTACTTGTGTGCAAAGTTTTATGCTATATATTTAGATATATTTTCTATGTTCACGCCGTCCAGTGAGAAATGATACAGGTGTGCTTTTATGAGGTAAATTGTACTTCCGTCTTCTTGTAGCCGTGCCAAACCGAGTCCATAGAGTGTACAATTGAAAACATTCATGGTGTTTGTTGTGTCCTCAGACAGAAGGGTAAAAATTAAACAAGCATGTAATGTGTTCTCAATACACATCCTATAATGGAGTTTATCAGGACTGAAATGCATACTGCTATGTGGGACCTGTTGTAGACATGGTAACCATGTCTACTAGGGGGGAAAGAAAATCCAAACAAGCCTGTTGGTTACTAAGAGGTTAAGGAGATTAAATGTAACCTCAACTTTTAGCAGAGGCCTTTAAATAACTCCTTCCATATCCATTCGGCTCTGTGCATTCATATGTAGGGCTCAGCTTAGTTTTGAAATAGAAGCAGGCAGGGATGCAAAGCTTGTCTGTATCTATTTAAAGTCCATTCTCGGATGCCAATTCCCCATGCAGCACAGACAGGGAGACTAGAGTGGGTTTCCAGCTAGAATTTCAGAATCTTTCTGAATACTGAACAGGAGAGCATAGTATAACTAATAAGAAATAAGCACACTTTTTTTTTTTTTTTGATGGAGGGATACTCAAGTCTTTAAATTATCCTAATTTTTATTTTTAATGCATTAAAACATGTGCAAACTGAAAAAATAAACAAAAAAAACATATTTTTGCAATGGCTAAATACATTTTTAGGGAAAAATATAGCTTCATCTCCAGTTTTCATTTCCAACAGTATACTGGCTGCTAAGTTAGTATGAATCGCCAGCTTTGAAATAGTAATGCATCATTGATTTATACAGTAAATCAATCTATAGAGTGAGCAAGTATTTTGTAAACATTACCACACATAGGATAAAGGCTGTACATCTAAAGGTACTTTCAAGGAAATCCAGACTGAAACGTTGACTGTATTGGAATTGACTGTAAAGTCCTTGAGTGCTGTCTTTTTTCATCGGTCTGTATACTGTGCAGCTGAGCACCGGGCAAGACACAAAAGGAAAGCTGGAGTGCAGAACCTCTTTGAATTGTATGTATATATAAATACTCAGCCGAGGCCTTTCTTTTGTACCCACATTAATACTCAACCAATTCAAATGGAACACTGAACTTTTTAATTTAGGGAGACATGTGCCTGAGAATTTTTTAATAATCCCGAGAGATCCACCTCTACTACCAAAAACCAAGATGGGTCTACACGCTTTAAGACCAAATCTCTATTTGATCCATACACGAACAAAGCATCAATCAAAACTTATCTCTCCACAGTCAACCATCTTACACAGGAGGTCATCGGCACACATAGATGTAAATATAAGAACATCACTACTCAGCAAGCACAATGTATCAAGAATTTAGCCAACGATCACTCTATAACCATCCGCAGGTTGATAAGGGTGGAGGGATAGTCATCATGAATTATGTACATTATGCAGGGGAACTAAAGCAACAACTACAGAATGACACAGTTTATCAATCATTACTAGGTGATCCTACAGATAGGATAAAGAAGAAAGTGGAAGCTATCCTTAAGATGGGTGTTGAATCCGGCTGAATAGACACACAACTTAGCCAATACCCTTTGAAACACCATCCTCGTACGCCTATCATATACACACTCCCAAAGATCCATTAGATCCCAAAGACCCCATTATACCACCTGGAAGGCCTATCGTTTCGGCGATAGATGGACTTCTGTAACCTATCGCCAAATGGCTTGATTCGTTATTCCAAGCTCCCATAGCTGAACTCAGTACATGTATAAAGGATACGCCCAGTCTCATTACAAAATTGAAACAACTCGAAAGGAAGAGGGGAACTACAGTACTCATACCATGGATGTGGGCAGCCTCTATACGGTAATTCTGCACAGACAAGGCATAGAGGCAATGAGAACAGTCCTTACCTCTTCTTCAACCTATAAAGGACCACCCATAGAGTTTGTCCTTGAACTACTCTCTCTTGTGTTAAGTAACAACTACTTCAGATTTGAGGACAGATGGTACCTTAAAATTTCGGGCACATCTAACGCATACATGTAAATATACGAGCAATATTGGATTTTATCTAAGTACGGCCAGTACATTCAAGGCTACTTTAGATATATTGATGACTTGCTGATATTCTGGAGTGGCAGCATTACGGAGGCTACAGAAATGATATTTCTTAATGAAGTGGAAAGCCCTATAAGATTCACATCGAATATTAATTCCACATCTGTCCAATTTTTGGACTTAGAGATTTCTACCAACGAACAGGGGTTAACATATTGTCTCTACAAGAAATCTACGGATTGCAATACCATCCTGCATAACACAAGCGCACACCCAGAGGCACTGAAAAGATCGTTGCCTGAAGCTCAATTTTTGAGGGTGATCCGCAACAACTCGGATGTGAATATAATGGAGGAACAACTGGGGGAGATGATGGAGAGATTCCTTGAACGTGGCTATCGACAGAATTACTTAGTTAGAGCACGAGAAAAGGCAAAGTCTGCCTGCTCAACTCGAGTTGACAAAAAGCCCCAAGGTTAGTCTTTCCCGTAATTTTCCATGACGCATCCCCAGTGATTTCCAAAATTATCAAGGACAACTGGAAAATGGTGGCGTGTGATGACACACTCCCCAAAGTGTTTAAAGAACCCCCCCTCATTTGTTATTGAAGAAATAAAAATCTAAGGGACCTATTGGTCCATACGGATCCGATAAAAAGTTATGAAAAAAATACCAAAGCACATAGTCGGGGGAGCATTCGTTGTTTGAACTGTGTCACTTGTGGGCACATGACCCCACCCCGTATCTTCCAGCACCCACATAGGAATAAGTCTTTCCAGATACGTTACACTATTACTTGTAAAACTCCCTATGTGATCTACAAACTGTCCTGCCCCTGTGGACTCTCATATATCGGTAAAACCGAGACACCTTTAGGTGAGAGAATTAGGTGATACAGATCAAGCATACGGTTGGCCTACCGTGATGGTACCTCTGATCAACCGGTTGCCAAGCACTTTCTCGCCCTTCAACACCCACTTTCAGCACTCAAATTCTTGGCAATAGACCACATACCACCGCCAAAACATGGGGGTGACAGAGGCAAACTTCTCCTGAATCGAGAGACATTCTGGATATATACATTGGATACTATAGCCCCTAAAGGACTGAAAGAAATGATTTCATATCATTCATTCATATAAGTCACTTGTAGCATGTGTTTTTAAGCTTTGGTTTTAATTTTTTGATTTCAATTTTTTTTAATAGTCTTTTTGAACCTATTTGCTTATATTATATTTATTTTCCAGTATCTGTCAGTTTCCCTACCTCTTTATATGCTTTTCCCTTACCTGCCCCTGCCCAATGCATTCTAATTTGCATAATTAAAGTGCAATCTGCACTTTGCATAAGTACTCACTTATATTCACATTTATCTCTGTTTATACAATTGGCAACACTTTAATTAATTGGCCATTTAGGTTTATGTTATCTACATAGTTCACTGCTCACACTAATTAGAACTATTTGCACTTTATTTAAAATGTACTGCACTTTACAAAACATAGCACTTTCTATGGGCTTTACAATTAACTGTGTTGTATTGCATAAGCACTTTTTATATACACAGTATAGAGATTCCACGTCTTGCATGTAAACAACATTGGCTGTTCTTGTCATATATGTATGTCTTTTTCCCATATCAGTATAGATCGTCAGTTGTTAAATCACTACACTACTTTTTTTCCTTTTGCAACCTTTCTAGCACCTAAAAGGGAAAAAGATCTTGCATTATACACATTTTGGACTATTCATTTCAGTATATAACTAGAATGTGACCGGGTTGCCGTGGAGATTGGGCTTGTTTCCCATCCCCATGGCGACGTACGTCATGCAGTCACGTCGTAGTTGGGTAGATCACGCATGCGCACTGGGCGCTTTAGAACGCGGGCGGCATTAGAGATCGTGTACACCTGGGGTAAGCTAACTTCTAATGATTTTTTCCCCTATATATGTTGTCTACTTACGTATGGTTACTGTTTCTGATGAAAGTCCCAGACGAGGACTGAAACGTTGAGCTGCCATTTTTAACATGTATGAATAAAATCTACAACTTTTAATCTTCAACAAAACCGTGAGTGCTGGTCATACTTACTATTTCGAGATATATATATATATATCTCACAAAAGTGAGTACACACCTATATTTTTATAAATATTTTATTATATCTTTTCATGTGACAACACTGAAGAAATGACACTCTGCTACAATGTAAAGTAGTAAGTGTACATCCTGTATAACAGTGTAAATTTGCTGTCCCCTCAAAATAACTCAACACACAGCCATTAAAGGCTAAACTGACATTAATGGCTGTAGGAAAGCAAGACATCAGGGAAATGTGCACCTCATCTGATTATAAAGTTCCAACCATGCATCACCATTTACACAGTCTAAGGTTCGGTATGGAAGACCAGGAAAATTACCCAATGCCTTCAGAAGGAGATACATCTTTTCTGAATTTCTTGCTAAAGCTGAAAATCCAGGAACTGACCACAGTCAGGCACTCTGGTACCCAGTCTGTTCTGGAAAGGGATAAATACCTAACTGGTACCTGGGCAGGTTACCAGCTTGGCCCCCCTTCATTCTTCACATAACCCCTGAGCCCCAGGAAGACGCCTATGGGTTTCCTTATGGTTAATCCTGCTCTGGTCTGATCCCACTTGCACCAATCTGATTTCATTTCTTTGCCACTGTATCCCACATTTATAAAACCAATACAAAAACTGCTGCCAGTACTACAGAAACTTGAAAGTCACAGCTTAGAAGCTGTGTTTTGTTGGAAACAATTGTTTAAACTTTGCAATTAAAAACTTGAGTGGAAGCTAAAAACCTCTGCTGAGTTAGCATCTAATTTGGCAGCTATTTTTGGTTCTAAGAAAATAGACCCCTAGATGTGCTGAAAAATTAGTGACCACATATCTAACCTTGAATGAACTTTCTGAACCATGAATGCCAGCTTTGTAATGTATTTGACCAGCTTTGATTTATGGATGTCCCAGGGTAAAATGCTACAAACCCCACTTGTACTGACGCTTATTGTTAAGGAGAACTTAACTTCCAGAAAAGCAATCAAATAAGAATTTAAGGAAAAGGTGATAAATAAAATGTATATATCACAAATGTATATTGAATATACAGTAAATAATGGCATACTGATTGTACTGCTATATAATAGTATATTTAATATTGTCACTCTAACAAAATGTTCATTTCGTTACTTACTGCACTCGAAAACTTGACCATACAAGTGAAACCTGCGCAGACACAGTAACCCAACAAAGTCACACATACATTCACATTGTACACACACTCGGACACTGCATGTATACACTATTATACACACACTTAGACAAAGCAGACACACAATGACACGTACAAACATAGACAAGAGTATGCACACACTTAGACAATGACACACTGCTATACACACACTACTTTACGCAAACTCATTCAGACAGTGTATGCACACTGCTACACATACACAATGCTACATGCACTGCCAGACACAGTACACACATTGTACATGTAGTTTGTTAGTGATTTAGGAAATGTTCCCCATCCACATGTTTTTTTTCCTCTTTGTCACTCCCCGAGATGTTATGTAATATCAGGTGACATTGTGTCATGTGATGTCACGCATATAAACGCTTGTTTCAGCGCGGCCCTCAACACCCTCTCTTTCTGTGTGTCCAGCTTGTCTTGTTGCAATTAAACGTCTGTTAGTCCACCTATTGTACAGCGCTACACAATCTGTTGGAGCTTAATAAAGAATAATAACAATAATTTATTAATAATAACAATGATTATTTGGTAGACATGGGACTAAACACTTTAGATCATAGTTCCCAAGTGTCTCAGACTGTAATAGAGCCCCAATTTGATAACAGGGTCCTACATTTTAGGGATACCAAAAGAAAATCCCCAGCGGTCCATCTTGACCATGAGGACAGATCCATATTACATTTTGTCTTCTGCAGCTCCCTGTACATGTAATCTGACTGACGGTATCTATTAACTATTTAAATATTCATTTGGATTTGTTTATTTAATTGCTAAGGGCTATTTAAGGGTCATTTAAGGTCAGTCAGCCCCGGATCACTTGTGCATCAAAGTTACATCTTACACATGATGTGCTCAGAAAAAAGTTTGTGGCACATTGCTTGGAGCCAAATGTAGCTTAAAGATTGCACATCTGCCATATTAGTCTGGGTGCAGTGTCCCTGGTCCCGTAAAACTGCAATTTAAATCATCATTACAGTGATAAGACTGCCTCTAGTGGCAAGAGGCGCTTCCTGCAGTTACATGAGTTTAACTTCGCTTTACATGAGGACATCCAGGCTGTTGAAAAACCCCATGGTAAAACGTTGAATCGTATGCGGAAAGACTACGGTGTGTGCGGCACTTGCCAAGAATGTGCTTTAGGTTCCCCCCATGGGCTGACATCAGAGGAGGAGCCCAATCAATTTTGATGTATGGACTATAGAGAGTTTAAAGTTGTGTGTGTGTTTTTTTTTTTTTACCCTTTACATGGCCCGGGTGCGGGTAGGGCTAAGGAGCTATAGTGTTCCTTTAAGTGTATGCATCCACACTTACATCTCTCCTGGAACTGAGTGCCTCCATCTTAGTTCCAGAGATTGTTCTAATTCTGTTTTTGACACCCCAGAGATTGAATGCTAAATAGAAACTTATAGATTTTTAAGATACATTTAGATGAAAATGGAGCTTCACTTGGAAAAAAGTTACAAGTTATTGGTAATTTTCCATGTTTTATGCAATGGTGTGATTTTATTATAGTTTTGTTTTTTGGTATCCAATGTTTTTCCCCCACTTCAATAAGAGAATTAGTTGCAATACAATTCCTAAACAGTTCCTCTGATGTTTAACAGCTTCTAGGATCCCACAATAGAACTGAAATTTTTAGAGGTCATTGGAGTCATTTAAGAGGTTCTTTTTTTTTAGCATAATAATAGTATTTATCAAAACTTGGCCATATGTTGTATTTTGCTATTTTTCAATATCTATTCCACTACAATTACCTCACTAAAGACATGACTACATTACTGTATGGCCCATGTTTCTGTAGGCCAGAGTAGGTACCTTCAAAATGCTACTTAGCTTTAGTCATCAATTAAATGACACAGTGGGGAATGCAGATGAACCCCAACCAACAAGAAATACCCATACGGCCAGCAAACAGAAAATAGTATCTACAGTTATAAAATAGTGATGGAGTGTGCTGACTTAACAATCTGTGCCTTACAATATTTGTGATGACACTGAATGGGATACCAGGAATTAGTTTTGCTGCTGACGTTAGGATCCTTACAGGCCAGATTGAGCATCGCAGTGCATATCACTTGTCCTTAAGGAATTAAAATAGGTGACAGGGTTTGGGTTGGTAGAACTCAAGATGCAGGAACTGACAGCTGAGCACAGCAGGGAAGTGGAAGGCCAGGTAAACCCAAAGCCTAGTCAGGTCAAGCAAAAGATCAGTCAAAGCAGCAAAGAGATAAGACCGGCAAATGTGTCAGTAGCCGGCTTAGAAGTAGCAGGAACACAGCTCTTTACAAAGAGCAGGAACGTCTGATTAATGATATAGTGCATAGAGCAGCCTTATATAGGGATGTCTGGAAGATACCCCCTCCTGCATCATACCCGTATCATTTTTACATTGTCCCTTACACCTCTGCTATATTTTGCACCCAACTGGTGCACATGCCCTTTTTGGGATTCACTTGGTAAATGGACAATGCTGGCAGCAGCAAGACCATTGCTACCAGCACCACGCTGTTTCCAGGAGGAAGCTGGCTGCTGCTGCACTGTACTGTGTGGCACTGACAATTACCCAAGACAATGCCAAATGCCCATATAGCTGCAATGAGAAGTTGATAGGAACAACACATGTAACATGGTTCGTAGAGTACCGAGATACGAGAGGTGAGGTCCGGACAATAGGACACATTAAGGGTGAAAACCCAAAGAATATTATGACACACCTATTTACCGGGATGCTACCAATATGATCACGGAAAATACAGTATGATGATGCAACAATTTCTACAGCAATAAGCCTGCTTCTATGGTTGCTGAACATGACCGGGGGTGGGTGGGCTCATGGGAGAAACATTTTAAAGGTCTACTTTTTTAATGTCCTAGGTATATAAGGGGGTGTTTCTCATGAGGGTTTTAGGGCTCATTATTTAGTAGAAATGTGCACTTTTTAAAATCGAAGATACAAGGTATTCAAATTGTTCACCCATTAATAGGGAACCATCACGTCTCTAGAAATTACATGATTGGATAAAACTTTGAAAATCCCTAGAACTTGTTTAACCTTTTTCATGTGGTGCTCCCTTTTTTAATTGTAAGATATAGCAATTAAGATTGCAATACAGTTCAGTTCTGCCACAGCCATGGCACAGATTGCATTAGAGAAGCAGAAATTAAGGTTTGTGTATAAAAAGTGTTGTGTTTTAAAAAGTGGTCTAAAGTACTAAAAGTGAGGCAGTCACCACGCAAACCACTTTAAAGAAACAACAAAAGGTTTTTATGGATAAATCCTATTCTTGCTGTTTCTTCTTCTTGTTATTACTAATACTGGCATTTATAAAGCGCCAAAAAATTCAGCAGCGCTGTACAATTCTCCTTCACATACTATGTTTAATGATAGAAAACTCAGAATTTATAAAATCTATCCAAAGGTAGCCATGATGGAGGGACATTCAGTCCCAACATAGTTATAAATACTTATGCTTTTCATGTTATTCTTTAAATCTCACAAATACATGTTTGTTAAATATAGAGGATGTATACACATAATGCACAACAATTCTCACCTTAGTAAATAACCCTGACTGTCTTAAGTAACTGTTAATAATAGCTTGAAAAAGGAATTTAAGGATAGAAAGATGTAGACATTTGGATTCCTTTATGCTGCATGTGGTTTCACAAAGACGGATGTCTGAAGAAGTCATAAACATTTCAGATTTTAATTTTCCCTGTTAGTTTTTTACGGCTGTATGTGAATATGTTGTAGTTTGTTCTTCTGCTCAAAGTCTTAACTTTGTGTATATCATTTGGTTCTGTTTATAAATCAGTCACATTCAGTTTGTTTGAAACCATCTGGCATCTATCATTACGAAGATGTAATGCTGAAACAGGTGGAAAGAACCTTAAAGGACCACTATAGGCACCCAGACCACTTCAGCTTAATGAAGTGGTCTGGGTGCCAGGTCCAGCCAGGGTAAACCCCTTTTTTCTATAAACATAGTTTCAGAGAAACTGCTATATTTATATTAGGGTTAATCCAGCCTCTAGTGGCTGTCTCATTGACAGCCGCTAGAGGTGCTTGTGTGCTTCTCAAAATCACAGTGAGAAAACGCCAGCGTCCATAGGAAAGCATTGCGAATGCTTTCCTATGAGACTGGCTGAATGCGCGCGTGGCTCTTGCCGCGCATGTGCATTCAGCCGAGGAGGAGGACAGAAGGCGGAGAGGAGGAGGAGAAAGAGGTAAGTTTAACCCCTTCCACCCCCTAGATCCCGGCGGGAGTGGGACCCTGAGGGTGGGGGCACCCTCAGGGCACTATAGTGCCAGGAAAACAAGTATGTTTTCCTGGCACTATAGTGGTCCTTTAAGGACAGATCCTTGTACCAGCACCATGATGTAAGAGAAATGTGTGTTTATGTATGCAATAAAATAACAGGGATCCAGAAAATCCAGTCAGAGCTAAATGGATCCTTCCCTGGTTTATTATTATTATTTTAAGTATAAAAAAAGAATTATAAAAAGGTGGACTATTTGATCTCTGTAGGATGCATTGATGGAGTACTGTCTTCCATATAACCACCAAAATTATTTGTATTAACTTTGTATAATCTCTTGGGCGTTGTCAATTTTCCAAAAATTAGACAAAGAAATTCCAAAATTTTGTCCAGAACTCAGAGATTCCCTGACTTTTAAGCTCCTCCCCAAGGATATTTAATATAATTTCATAATTATCCATACAAATATTGCAACAATTGTCTCTCCGTGCTGGGCTAAAAGAGCATACTGCAGACCTTCTCAGGCCCCAAATTGTATATACATACCTCAAAACAATGATTTGCTTCCTGGTGTCATGCAAATCATTTGACACTTGCACTGTGCAAAATGATTTTAGGGCATCTGCCTATGATCAAAGCACTAGAGAACTGCTCTTCACATGGAAAACACTTAGTATGTAGTATTTCAGTATGTGAGTATGTCAGTATCAATGACACTTTAGGTACTATCACCATTTAATCTCATTGAATTGGTTATAGTGCCTGGAGTCCTCTGGCTCTGCTCCTCCATTCGTGTTATCCTGTTTTCAAGCAGTTTAAAACCGAATGAGGGTCCCTGGCCGTCCACAGCCCCGTCCCAAACAGGAGGTATGGCTACGGCAGACATTACAGATCTCCTTCTAGCCATACTGATTTTATAATTCTTAACACTGATCTAGACAGTGAACCATGCAGCAGTCATATAGCTGACGTGACACCTGGGGTTGTCCTTTGCAGACATTCTGAGACCCTACATACAGGCCTCTAAACCGTTCAAATTTCGGCAGGACAGTTACCATTTTTGATTCACACCAGACTGACCTGCCAATCCTTCTGGGAACCCCCCCTCCCCTCCCCCTTTGAGCTGCACCGGTGACGCTGTCACGAGTTGGGAGGTATGTACAAATGACAGCGTAATTTTAAGGTTAATTTCTAAGGCTTGGTAATATGAGCAGTTCCAAAAGGGAAATAAATTAAATCCTTATATTTAGGTTTTTCTATGTAATATTAGATGAGTCAGAAAACTCCTGCATAGATAGACGCAGGAGAGAGATAACATGATGAGCTGCAGATCATGACAAGGTCTTGCACTAATACAATCTGGAGACCATCAATTTTCTGCGAAAGAGAAATTCTCCTATGTCGAGAAGTAGGAAGGTAATTAGAACACAATTTGTACTAATAGTTAATAAATTATTGCTTAATGATGTTAAGTGCTTGTAATGTGGCTAGTTAAGTACTAAGTCTACATACTGCGATCATATGGAGACACACAGACCTTTGTACACCGTCAATAATCCCACCAGAGTGGTACGGTGAACATGTTAATGGAATGTAACAGAAAATTAGGAACTGCGAAAATTAAAAGCAACACAAAAAAGTTTGCTTAAGACAATTTTCACAAAAGTAATAATTGGAGTCGTGGGGTGAATGTCTCGAATAGTCATATATTATGTAAACACAAATTAGCCACATAATCTATGTAAGGAAGTATAAAGCAGCAGCTCTTTTTCATTTAGACACAGAATAACATTGGAGAAGAATTCAAACAGCAGAGTCCTTAAAACCCCAAAGTCACAACGTTCACTAGATTAAAGGAACACCATAATCACTAGAGCATATGGTAATTACAATTGGTAATATAGCACCAGCATACTCTGCAGCGCTGTACAAAAGTTAAAAATGCAAACATTTAATTCCAACAAAACATGTATGATATACGGGAAAAGCAGGTGAAGAGGGCCCTGCCCAAATGAGCTCACAATCTAAAGTATATAGGTACAGTTCCTCTGACTTCTGTAAAACCATTTTTGAGTAATGTAAAAAAAAAAAAAAGGTCTCAACTGACCCAATAATCTTATCCCCTATGCTGTCACAAAGAGTATGGCAAAGTTTCACTTCCTTGTTATTCATATAAAGCTATCCAAATTTGGACAGCAATGATAGGTTACGAGTACTGGAGGAAGTAGAGTTTAACTTCTGCATTATCTCGGAGTCAGCAAAGAAGCCAGGTTTTGGGTACTGGGAGAGGCTCAGTTTTTTTTGGGGGGGGGGCTCAAATAGTGTGACAAAAGCTAGCACACAAATTAATTGCTCCTTGACCACTACAATAAGCTCTAACGATTATTGTATTTAGTATGCTGCTTTAAGAAAAAAAAACATAGCAGAGTTAGGAAGAGCAAGAGCTGGGCAACTGGACAAAGAGGTCCCCGAGCCAAAAGATTTAAGGTCATGCTTTACGGTTACATAGTTTGTAGATGGACTGCATAAAGATTTATACATCCTGGAGTAAAAACATGGACTACTTAGTACCAGAAGTATACAGCAGACATTATTAGTCCAAAATTAAAAAACAACTACAGTGTCCAATGCTGGCTTAAGGGGTTTCATAGGCTTGGAGCTGAACATTTGTGATTTATTTGTCATGTGAGTAAAAGATCATGAGATCAATAGTCTGAACTAAACTTTGCAGCCATGTATAAAATCACATTTAGAAACTGAGAATTTAAATCATATAAAACTCAGAGAAATCCAGACAAAGAGAAATCCAGCGGGAAAGCAAGGGGTACGAGAGATCACGTTCTATGGGTCATGGGACACATGCAACCCATTCAAACAGTTATGGTGCACGGAGGGACTGGGGGCAATGGGTATGGAGCAGGTAGAAACATAGAATGTGAGAGCAGATAAGAACCATTCGGCCCATCTAGTCTGCCCAATATTTCAAAATACTTTTAATTAGTCCCTGGCCTTATCTTAAGTCTAGGATGGCCTTATGCCTATCCCATGCATGCCTCAACTCCCTCACTGTGTTAACCTCTACCACTTCAGCTGGAAGGCTATTCCATGCATCCACTAGCCTCTCAGTAAAGTAATACTTCCTGATATTATTTTTAAACCTTTGTCCCTCTAATTTAAGACTATGTCCTCTTGTTGTGGTAGTTTTTCGTCTTTTAAATATGGTCTCCTCCTTTACTGTGTTGATTCCCTTTATGTATTCAAATGTTTCTATCATATCCCCCCTGTCTCGTCTTTCCTCCAAGCTATACATGTTAAGATCCTTTAACCTTTCCTGGTAAGTTTTATCCTGCAATCCATGTACATGTGCAAAGAGTGCCAAAGCCACATTAGACACTTTATGTATTAAACAATTGTATTCCATGTTGTTGAGCCAGGTCAGTGAGGTTATTACTATGAATATGGCACTGAGCAATTCAGAACACCAGCAGATCATAAAATTAAAAATTAAAAAAGTCAGGCCGTCAGGTCTATTGCAATGTGTGAGTCTGGACATTTTCTAAGTTGTTTGATAAAAATGGAAAAAGCTTGCTCCTGACATATTTTAGAAACGTTGCTACAATTATTTGCTGGTTCAAAACACAACTTTTGTGTCTAACTAAAAATCGTTACTATAAGACTATAATCTTGTGTCTTTTCCTAGTAAATTTCATGTGAAATATGCATTCGGTGTTGTATAAGTAGGTTAAAGAGATTATTTTTATATTTATATAAATTTTCATGTGTACAGATGTATATGAAACACAATCTAAACAAAGGTTACTTAGAGACAGCGCTGAAAAGGAGAGCGGCCGGCGGGCACCGTGACATAATCTTTCTAAAGTGTGACTTCTTACTAATTATTTATTTTTATAGTCACATATTTAACAGGATTTGTTTGTTTGTCATGACGGGATCACTTTAACTGATAACATGAAGTGATTCATTTTTTCATGGTAATCTTTTCTAAATGTAATGTTTTTAGGACTTGTCAATTTAGAACTTGCTTCCCTGCCACCTCTTGCTCTCACCAACGTCCTGTCCCTCTTACACTCATGGCAGCACTTGGCCAACCCTGCAAATCTGTCACATAATGCCAATATGTTAGCTTCACTATTGTCACATTGCTATTAAAACACAATGACACTTTGTTTCTACATTCCACTGACTCTAGAGTTGAGGAGTGACATGAGGTGATTCTCCATCAAATGTGAGGCCATAGGCGCTTGCCTAAGTGTCCTGAGTATAGAACTGCCTCTGTCAAGTGCAAGACATTCTCACTAGTGAAATAATCTCAGCAGCTACAGAGCATGTGCTGTAGTTGCCGTGACAGAGCAACACAACTACCTGCAGGAGTGTTTCCTGCTTTTCCCTATCCCTCAAATGTTTGCTACAGGCAAACAACAACTGATTGATAGCTGATGAACCTTTTTAGATTAATTGAAAAATAAATATATACATTTGCTTAAATTCTAATATTACAATGTACAGATATTTCTTTCCCTTTTTACTGTTAAAACTTCCACTTACCATATCAACTGCAGATTTTAAGTATTTCCTAGTTTAACAGAGAAGTGTGTAGTAATGATTAACCTTTGGCAATACACCTGTTTAGGACTATGTCTCACATGACGCTCAGCTGTTTAACTGTTGGGAAGTACCCAAGAATGCACCACAGCTGCATTAGTGTCAAAGGTTATCAGTAGCCTTGTGGAACAATTCGTTTGGAGTGGTTCGTCCCCATCAAATTCTTTTTAATTCACACCTGAACAAATCGATTCGTCCGGGATTTACCTGGAGAGTCTTATTCATTGAATAATAAAACTGTTGTTTGAAATGCTGCATTGGGCCCTTTACACTCTCCTCCCCTTTCTTTAGGTCGTTCTTGGAGAATACTCGCCTCCTGGACATTTTCCCTAACTGGATGTTTATGCTGTATACGTTGGGAGATGAAATGGTTAAATATAAAATGCACAATTTACAAGAACAAATTGTTCTGAGCTGTGAGTTCTCCTAAACTGACACTGGACACACTCTGTGCCTTTGTTCCTTTACAGATGAGGCTTGTATTCGAACATGTTTCAGGGCACAAAGGGAGTTTGCACGGGGAAACAGCTGGCCTGCCCAAACAGCTGTTTTCTGTTTCTTGGGTTTTGAAAAGACTCTTATTGTACAGGAAAGAGGCAGAAAGCTAGCTCTCCTGTTTTCTTGTGCAGTTTTCTAAATCCCCTTCTTTCCCTGTGTTTCATTTCCCCTTTTTCCGGGATTCTCATAGTTTTCCCTTAATTTCCATTTCTCTGTCATTATCTTCACGAACACATGCTGGGTTTCTTTTTAGGACCCATCAACATCTGTGTCAGTAACTAAATCCCCACCCACATCTGTACAGCAAAGTAAAATAGGTTAAGAAGGGAGAGTAAAGGTTAACACAAATGTAATATGTTTTTAAAGAACAACCCAGGATGATCTTGCCTCTGGATGGCACATCTGCAATGCCTTTTGACAAAAATAAATTGCATTATTATAATATCAACATCATATTAAAGGGTTACTCCAATAATCATAACCACTACAGCCTGCTGTAGTGTTTATGATGCCTCTTTGGCATGGGGCAAACTGTTCAGCAATGGTTTGCCCCCTTACGTGGATCCCTGTCACTGGAGGTCTGGTGAGCCGCAGAAACAAAAAATCGAGGCCAATCTCTTTCAATGGCTGAGACCATCAGCCAATGACTAACATTCTGTGCAATGAAAGAAGCTGCGCAGAATTAACATTAGCCAACTTTAGTTGACTTCCCAATAAAACTGGCGGAGGTGGAGTTACACCTTCAGCAGGAGAAGGGTTAAACTCCATATGTGCACATACCGACTCCAGGTCCCAGGACAATTTAAAATCACTGCAGTGGTCATGGTGCTAGGAGTAATCTGTTATTTTACTGATAAGATATATATATACTTAACCCTTTTGGTAACGTGTTTACCTGAGCTTTCCTCAGAAGAGTGAGCTCATAGAGAACAAAGACACAAGCTGATTAAGTAAGCATTTAATCTGACAAAAAGATTCACAGTGCTGTGTACAAAAATACATAAATAAATGACATACAGAAACACAGATAAATTACAAAACAGTCCATAAAATAAAATAGGAGAAAACAAGAAATTCCTTACATATATTTACCCTTATACAGTGACATACACACAATCCATGGGGCCCCAGTGCGAAACTGATCCATGTGCCCCCCTTCCCTTCGCTCCCCCCTCGACAGACACACATACACACACACACATACAGACACACACACATACAGACTACAGACACACATACATACAGACAGATACATCCAGACACATACACACATACATACAGACAGACACACACACACAAGACACACAAAGACACATACATACACACACACACACAGACAGACACACATATATAGACACACAGACACACACACACACAAAGACATACATACACACAGGCACAGACAGACAGACACATAGACACATACAGACACACCCATACAGACACACACACACACACATCCATACAAACAGACAAGCACACATACAGACAGACAGACACACATACAGACACACACATACGCATACACACACATACATACCCACAGACAGGCACACACATACAAAGGCACATACATACAGACAGGAACACATACAGACAGACAGACACACATACAAACAAACAAACAGACACTGTTAAAGCGCCCAGCGCTGACCGGGCCTTGAAAATCAATCTCCATCGGTTGGCCCTAACAGCATGGGCCACCCGATGTACCCCTTGAATGGCGGCCTGGCGGTTTGCCGCGCGGGCCAGGGCTGCAAAACATGGAGGCTGGTACTGGATCGCAGGGGTCAGCAGGGTGGCCGGGCCCGCTGGAGTGACGGGCTTGGTCGCAGCTGCGACCCCTATATGTACGCCAGTGCCCTTATATATAATTATTGTGGGAGATTCAGATGTTACAGGTTTCCAAGTAGGTGTTGAAAAAGGAAAATCTCTCCCCCAGGGTAGTCCAACATGCTCAATATATGCCTTAAAACTAGGCAGACCCCTGGGTGGATCATAGGGGTTTGGCCTGGCAGTTTATTTCTCACTCCATATTTTCTTAAATTATGTTGACATTCCAAGAACCCAAAGTCAGAGCATATGCACCAATACCTTTTATGATCTCCTATGTCCAGCTCTGGTGATGGTTATCTAGTAGTTTTATGGCCTAGGTCTGGTTTAAGATAAAAGCCTACAATAAATGTTATCCCATTGTGTACAAAAACAACTTATAACATATATCAAACGCCAACTCATGCTTTGGCATGACAGTGTCATCTGCATGGTATATTTTGTTTGGTTTTTAAATGACACGGCTGGATTGAGGGGTAAGTGTCCATAGCCATGATATGATGCATAGAATTATTCTTGGGGTGGTAAACTGTTTATTCCATAATCATCTGATGGACAGGAAGTTGAGACGCCCGATACAAACTGAACTGCATCTGCAGAAAATTGAAAAGGTATGTATCTTCTTTTATTTCTATATCTTTACTTATTTATTATTTTTTTTTGCATTCTTTTTTAATTTTTTATCTATATATTGTGTAGAAAAGGGGAGTCCGTTTCCCTTTGAAACTAGACTATTGAAAATAGAGAAGTATGAGAGGGGGAAGCCCTAAAGGAACACTAACATTAAATTAAACATATATAAATTAATTTAAAAGGTTTTAATGTTAGAGTGTACCTTATTTACACGCCCCCTTCCTTTTATAAAACAAAACAAAAGGTGGTACATTTAATCCAGTAATCCAAAACACTGCACATACAGCTCTCCGGAGCACTCCCTTTCTGACAACTACTAAGTGAAACTGTAGCTCAAAACTAAAAAAGTGAACTGTTGGTTTTTGGAGATTTTAATATTTATTGGCTGAATCCTAAAAATAATAAATCATGTACGCTGTTTAAGACTTAGCACAATTAATTTCCTCCCATAGTGTACTGCATACGCAAATTAAAGGCCACTAAATCCCCTCCCAAGATTATAATCACCAGGTCTTTCAAAAAATTTAATCTCGAATCCTTTTAAACGATCTCAAGAACATACCATGGCACAGATTAGGTCTAATACCAGATCTATTGAGCAGAGTAAGTGATGAGAACCGCACCCAATCCCAGCGGCCAAGGGTGCTCCAGAGCAGGACCAGCAATCCCAGTACAATAATCCAAGAGGAAAAAACTCACAGGCACTCCAACTTCAAGCCGCAGGCAGATTTATTATGACAGAATGCAACGCAACGTTTCGACCGGAAAGGTCTTTTTCAAGCTTGAAAAAGACCTTTCCGGTCGAAACGTTGCGTTGCATTCTGTCATAATAAATCTGCCTGCGGCTTGAAGTTGTAATACCAGATCTAGACTCAGCAATTGTATGTTTTCAGTCCGAGCTCTTGCATGTTTGGAATTTGCATGCCCCCTGCGTAAAGTGCAATTAAAAGGATACACCTGCCCTGGGTTACAGCTGACCTCATTCAAATGTACCAGTTTAGAGATTCACTGTGGTCAAAGTTCAAGCGTACAGGCCCCATGAACGATCACTGTACCTACAGACAATGGCGAAAATGCATGCACAAAACAAAAATGGCAAAGGCTTAATATTTCAGTGAAAATTTGAACAACCTGTCAAACCCAAGAAACTTTTGGAAAATCATAAATTGCATACAAACCCCCACAATCCACTCCCAACCCTCCACTGTCAAAATGGACAACCAAACACTGCAACACCCCCTAGATGTAGAACATTCCTTTAATAATTATTTTGTTGGATGTGCTACCACCCTGGTTGCTAAGATAACAAATGACACTCATTTTCAGCCCGCAAATAAAGATCAGGCCCTGCCAAATCTTCAAAATCCTCATATAGAGAAATTCAGTTTTAGACCTGTGCCTGTTAGTGTCTTAATAAACATCTTAATAATTTAAAAATGAAAAACCAGTGTGGACCAGTTCAAATCTCAGCAATGTTGCTGAAGCTCAGTGCGCCAGCAATTGCTAAACCTGGCGCACTGAGCTTCAGCTTATCAATGAATCCCTTGTGTAAGGATACATACCCAAACTTTGGAAGATTGCAAAAGTTTGACCTATCCGTAAAAGCTCCCAGTATTGTCAATAATCTTGGAAAAATGCGTCCACACGCAACTATGTGAATATTATCAACGATCAAATTATCTAAACCCTGATCAATCAGGCTTTCGTCCATATCACTCAGACTGCCCTCTTAAAAGTTTGCAATGACATCCAAGTTGGCATGGAACAAGGAGACTTAACTGGAGCTCTTTTCCTTGACTTTGCAAAGGCCTTTGACACAGTAGACCATGGCATTCTTTTGCAAAAACGTGAAAACTCAGGCATTGGTGATCGTCTGTTAACCTGGTTTCGATCGTATGTTTAACCCCTTAAGGACACAACTTCTGGAATAAAAGGGAATCATGACGGAATATTTCTGTCATGTGTCCTTAAGGGGTTTATACCAATTACAATATGTGGCCATTTCTGATTGCGCTTACTGTATCCTATTGTAACAATGCAATGTTTTGTGGACCCAGGACATACTTGAAAACAAAAGAAATCTTAACCCCTTCAGGACAAAGTCAATAGTGCACGTTCTGTTCAAAACAAAACGTAAACAAAAACTGGAATTTGCGCTATATGTCTGTTCAACCGTGATTCACCGCTGTCACATTAAGTGCACCCACACTTATTATATATCATTTTGTTCAGGAGAAACAGGGCTTTAATTTATCATTAACTATTCATATATGGAACATAATTTATTATGAATAAAATTTTAAAAAATGTGAGAAAATAAGATTTATTTTTTTTTAATTTGTATTTCCATCTGACATTTTAGCTGTGAATGTCATAATACTGTTAGGTTTTACTACAATAAAATGCACATATTTGTAATCAGCGATGTCTCACGAGTACAACAGTACCCCCCATTAACAGGTTTTATGGTGTTTTGGAAAGTTACATTTTCAAATTGAAATTTGCCAGATTAGTAATGTTACCTTTGAGACGGTGTGGTAGCCCAGGAATGAGAATTACCCCCATAATGGCATACCATTTGAAAAATTAGACAACCCAAAGTATTGAAAGTGGGGTATGTTTAGTCTATTTAGTAGCCACTTAGTCACAAATACTGGCCAAAGTTAGCGTTCATATTTGTTTTTGTGTGAAAAAAGCAAAAAACTAATATTTGGCCAGCCGAGACATCAGGATTTTTTGGGTCTCCAGCGTTGGGTCAGTATACTTGATATAACATTACTGGGTAAATGTGTACAAGGTATTTGTAGTCCTGGTGTGGTAATAGGCTTTCTCTAATTTTAGCACCCTACTGAGGTTGTGTGCACGAATCACTGAATTGCCCATACAGTTGAGCGCCTGCTGTAGATTTTTTTGTGTGTGTTTCAGGACTGTGACTGAGCCATTCTTAAGATATTACAAGTCTTGGCTTTTAACCTTTGGCAGTGTGTCTAGGGTCATTCACCTGCTGTAAGGTAAACTCTAGACCTGGGTGTCAGATTGAAACAAGTTTTCCTGTATAATTTCCCTGCGTTACCTCCATTCATATTGTCCACACCGGTTTCCCAGTTCCTGACCATGAAAAACATACTCCACCAACATGTGTCACTAGCGATGGTATTCTCAGTGTGATGGATGGAAAAATAAAATTTTGGTCTTATGAAACCTAAGAGCAACATATGTCCATAAAGATCAACTTATATCCAACCGTTTTAGAGCTACCACTGGCCCCTCACGTGCTTTTCTGACCAATGGCCTCCTACTCAGTTGCTGAGTTTTGGTAGATGACTCTGTCTACACAGTTACTGCCATATTCTGTGCATGTTCAAAGTTTGGAATATTATTTTCAAGAATCAAACCCTCATTAGTTCTTCTTAAGAACGTCTATATTTGATTTATTTTGATATCCTAGTCTTTGTAGCCCTGTTACTTTAGATATGCAATCTAACAAATTGTGGGCCTTCGCAAAAAAACAAAAACACTTCTATTTATGTTGATATCATATGAGACCTTAATTGCATGTGGGCGAAGTACATTCACTTAATTATGTGATTTCAGATGGCTTCTTTTCATTGTTTCATAGAAACGGGAGTGAAATCTTATGTAAACAAATGTCTAGGTTTTTTTTAGTTCAATATTTGCATCACATTGCAAATATTACATTTGAATTGGCATTTTACATTACAATTATTACATTACATTTGGCAAGTGTTAGGCATGCTGTGTAAAACTAATATCAACCTTCCCATTAAAAATATATTTTAATTCCAGGTTGGTGGTAGAATGCAAGGGACTGCTTAAGTGTATGTTTGTGTGCATATATGTATTTGTGTATCTATATCAATACATCTATAACACACACACATTCACACATATATTTATGTCCATATTTGTAGCACTGAGTGGATTAGAAGCTTTTACTTTCCTGGCTAGTAACTGCTTGTTACACTTAAGTCATACTTTTTCACGTTTACAGCCTCTCACGCATTATCTGATGTACAGATTATTTTTACGTCTTGCAATGTAATCGGTTATTAATCTGTTGCTATTTTGGTCTATGCGAGGTCACTATCCTAATTTTAAAACCCCACCAGCTGGGCGTGTGTCATTGTCACAAATTCATAGGCCTGAGTTGCTGGTTATAGTCTGTACATGATTCACACACTTGTAGGGCCAATAAAAAGTGGGTTTATTAGGTATTTTTGTTTTTGTTGTGTTGTGCTGGTTTGTTTGTTTTTATATTATGATTAAATGCAATAATCCGTAAATGTTGATCAAAATTTTGCAGAAAAGTAAGAAGAAATGATGATAGGACTGTAGAGCTGATAGCAATATTATTTAGTTATAGATAGATTAATAATAGGGCGCCTGGTCTCCACTTAAATTTTATTTTCTCCAATAAAGCTGTCACTGTATGCATAATAGTCCAGTATTTGGGTGCTATGTTACCAAACGAAGAGCTCACTACAAGAAACTCTGTATAACAACTGCTATCCTGTGACCAATATGACGTCTGGGGGGGTTATTTAGAAGTCATGCAAAGCCACTTGAAACCTCCCATGAGCCTCCTGTACCTCTACTGCAGGCAACCAAGGAAATGTGAGTTTTTAAAAAATCTCTATTGTACAAACATTGGCGTTCACTGCACATGCATTCACAGACACGCTGCAAATGTATTAGAACACACTACACATGTATTTACACACTAGACACATTCACACACATATATCACAGCACTTCTAAATATGTTAACGTTTCGCAAGTATCTAAATTGCTAAGGTGAGAATTCGCAAGCCCCTCCCTTCTCAAACAAAGCCGGGAGTGGGCAGAAACTGCCATATGGACAAAAATATTCCTGGGTGGTGAGGCTTGCTTAGTGGCATAGTGGTGGTATAATGATATCATATCCTTTACTGCGTTATTTACTGAACTGAAATGGGCCACACAAGGGAGTAGCGATATAGGTCTGTGCCCCCATCCGGGACCCGGGGATATTACCACTCTCCAATGATTACAAAAAAAGGCTGGAGTGTTAAAAAATGAATAAATTATGGCTGGCAGAAAGGATTTAAATCTTTTAAAAATATTATTGAATGGCTGCTGAAAGTATGGCCAATAGCATGTTAGAAATGTGGATGAGACTTGAACAGTGACTGATAAGCTGGTATTAATTTGCGGGGGAGAATTGAATATGGCTAAAAGCAGAACATACCAATTCACATCTGTGGTTAAAAAAAATATAAAATGCACAATGAGAAATTGTATTGGAGGCATGGCATCTACAAAACCTTGGGATTTATGTGATAAAGTGGCTTTTAACCTAGTCCCTAAATATCCCCTTATAATGTAACAATCCCAAAAGACAAGGAGGTAGTAAGCAAAGGACCCAAACTGACCAGGGTTTAGGTAGCCTCACAACGCTCAACACTCCTGTGGAATACCATTTTAAAATGTCATGCATCAGCCTAAGAGGGAAAGTCAATGTCTGTCTATGGGTCACAAAATGACTGTGTCTGTCACACAGTGTTTTTGAGGTACTTTCATTGAGCCACTTGCCTGCTAAAAATAAATCAATCTGTAAAGGTCTATACCAGGCATAGGCAACCTTCGGCACTCCAGATGTTTTGGACTACACCTCCCATGATGCTTTGTCAGCATTATGGGTGTAAGAGCAATATGGGCGATGTAGTCCACAACATCTGGAGTACCGACGGTTGCCTATCCCTGGTCTATACAGTGAGTGTTGCTAACTCATAATAATATGTATTAGACCAGGAAATAATTCCTAAACATATCAAGAAAATTATATATATATATTTTTTTTCTCTAATGAACTCCATCTTTCAAGCTCTTGAGCACAAGGCCCTCCTTTCTTTGAATCAGTTTACTTCAATCTTCAACATTTCAAGGAGCTGGGATAGAGATACATCTGTAGATATATATGTTATATGCAACTGTTTATCAAGCACTTGTTTACATCATTGTCATTTTTACAAGACCACTACTTGTTTAATTCAAAGAAAAATACATTTGCACCACACTACAACACGACTAGAATTCTAAAATTAAACATAAATATGACCAACAAGTAATATAGATATATTGCATGAAACCTTTTACTGTACTTTTGGACACAACAAAAAATATCAGGGCAAAAAAATGCATCGTACTAAAAACAGGATGAAAAAGTTTCTTATAACGTTAAAAGGAGTGAATTTACTTGATTCACAAACCAATCAGCATTTCTGGCAGGGTAATTATATACTGCACTGGCAATGAAGGGGTTACAAAAATGGGAGGACTTCATTTTATTAGCTCAGGTCACATAAACCAGTGGTACAAAAGTCCTCATGCACATTAAATAAAATAACCAACCTCCCCTCTGTGTCATTAGGGGCAGCACTGTGCACTTCCCACTCTCAGCACACCAGGACTAGTGAATAGTTTAACTGTTAAGGGTCATTTGTATTCTGACAGCATCACACGTTGTGTTAAAGAGGAGTTATCAATGTGTATGCTCTATTCACTCTTGTTTAGATTTCAGAGCCTCCCCAAAAGCTAGGAAACTGTGCTGCAATTGACAAAAGCCTCACAGGCAAAATTAACTATCAGACGATCAATTCACAACTTTCTACACAGAAATTAAATGTATCCCTCCTCTATGCATGTCTATGTAATGTAATGTAATTTTCTATCTTGAAGTGTTCAAAGGAAAACCTTTACATACAGTTCTTTTGCATTTAAAATTCTCAAAATGTCAGGCCTTAAATTAATATTTGTCATAAAAGTTCTAAATATACATGTTAAGAGGTTGCGGGCATCCAATGGAAAAGAGACTCTTACATAGTCAGTAATGCAGGTTTTAGAATGTAAAGAAATCTGTCTGAAACTGACTGGCTGTATATTCCATTTGAACAGCTGCTATATTTGCACATATTTTGTTTATACGAGTTATCCAGAATACATTAAATTTGGAATCTGAACTTGGCTTGATCCATTTAGAGCTAGATTATAAGAAATGTATTCACTAAACTATTTACTGTGGCTAGTTGATAAATTAACTGCAATAATCTGTATTAATCTCCAAGTGGGATTTAAATCTTAAAATTGTAAGAAATGCATATATTTGTTTTTTTCCTAATTTACCCTTAATCAGGCAAAGTTGCTTTTAAAGAAATAGACCATTTTCTAGTGTTGCTTTAATAAACTTGCTTTACATGCCAACACTACATTAAGCATTTTCATCAAGAATCATTTTCCAGAAAGAAAGAAAATATAAACCGAAAAATATTTTAACTAATGTTCAGACGCATTTGTTTTCTGAGAGATAGTGATTACCCTCTTTAGTTTAGGATACAAAGTTTCAACTTGAGTGTTGTGACCTTGACAAAATTGAAATATTATTTTCTTGATTAGAAAAACATTGAAAAAACGGCTCTGTTCCACAGAGAAAAAACCCAATAATCTAGAACTGGCAAAGGAACATCTTTTGTGTGCTTACTCTTAATAAGTAGGCCCAAAAGCCTAACTTTGAGTAAATGTTTGCAGAACCTTCATTTGCTGCCCTAGGGAATTTGCCAACTCTTACTAGTTTACAGTTACACTTATTAATGGGAAAATATGAGACAAATGCTGCATATTTAACCAAACAACAAAAATAGAGCCCATCAAGGTTCTAACTACTTTTTTTTTTCTGACAGTTATCTGGATTAAGGCCAAAGTAAAAAAAAAAAAAAAAAAAAATATTCATTAAGAACTTTACATTTATATTCCAACTACTTTTACATAACAAAATACAAGTTTTATATATTTTCTGTTCTTTATCTGTATAGCTATACAATAAATAATTCATTCAAATATAAAAAGAGCTAGGGTTCCCTGACTGTATTTGAAGTATTTTTCTTAGTACATTTTAATAAGAAGATGAATACACACTATTTGTAGGTATATATTTTCAACACACCTATGTTTTCAAAAAGCTGTCATAATGAAAAGTATATGTAATTAAGGTTTATTAATTAATTTTGGTTTGGGTTATATTGACTATTTTGAAATTACAAAAGCAACAGTTGTTCAGTTTTAGTACTCACTTTCACTTCTGGCCTAGATTACTTTATAACTTATCAAGAATTTGTAGAACCAAACTTTTATTTTTTTAATAATGGTCTGAAGGAATGTTATTTTTTTTTTTTTGAGATTCTTTTGAAGTATGCTGAAAAAAAATATCTGCAATTGTTATTAAACTTTTTTTTTTTTTTAGAGTGATCTTGGATAAAGTACATGGAAATACTTTTTTTTGTTGTTGTTGCAGGCCTTGAATAGATTAGTTTGGAATTGCTCAAAGCAAAATCTGCCTAACCATTTGTCTGCAAGAACAGCTGGCATGACACTGGTGCACCAGTATTTGGCACTCACCAGGTTAAACAGACTGTCAACATTATTACCCTTACACTTTCCTGGTCTGAAGCAGATCTAAAGCAAATAGAGGAATTTATCCCTAGAGTAAAGCCAGATGCCCCTTAGAAGAAACTGCTTGGAGAGGAAGGTCTTTTAATTTTATTTTATTTTTAGACACACATAATACATTTCTGTGATTTAGACCTCTGACAGACCACCTACCTTTTAACTTATCCTTACTCTCCAGACATGGTCACTATATTGCAGATTTTTTTAATACTGTACAATGAAGCAAAAACAGTGAAACAAATTATTTAAAATCTACAAACCAAAACTAATTGTCATATTAAATGTAACAAAAAGGCTCAGCCCTGTGCAAAAATAAAAGAAACACAGCATCCAACACTGCAATAGTACAAATGAGCAACTATTTTTGCAGATTATGAAAGTGGAACAATTGTGGAGTAAATGTGTTACAGTAACCTTTGCTGATTGTTTTATGCCTAGTTCATATTTGCAACTACTAGCACAGAACACACATACTACAGAGAAAAGGCCAAAGTTTGCATTCTTACTCCACACACACACACACACACACACACACAAAAAGTTTTGGAATATACAGTGAAACAGGAAACAGGCAAATCAACCAATCTGCGTCTGATCACACAGGGGTCACTAATTTATCAATGCATACACTGTGTCTTTGTGGACGTTCCATTAAAGTAGTGAAAGATTCTGATTGCTATAAAACAAGAGGATGGGTGAAACGGGACAGGGACAGCCATATATAATTAACCCTTTCATGTACCAGGGGGAAGGGGGGGCTTTGTAAGAAAAAGACAAAAAATACAGTAAGGAGCCCTTTCATCAGCGTTAAGGCAAAACAATCAAGCAACTAGAAGTGACACAAAAAAGGAAGAAGGGTCTTTGTAAAGTTATGGACACACCTCAGTCCTCTGGAGTTGCAGGAAGCTGTTCAGATAACTGGAGTGGATGGAGGAGTTCAGATCAGGGGGGCTTTTGGAGTAGCTGTTGATATCAGGATGGGAGGCATTGCTTGATTCTGGTCTGAAGGCATCAAAGGCACTGGTTTGGTGTGTGTCCTGCAGGGATAGGTAGACCCAGTTTAGGAGCTGGGCAGGCTGGTATACTGAAGCAGTGGTATCTATTGCTGACAGAAGGCTCATCTTGCTCCCCCCTAAACACAGGGAACAAAAACGGCAGCCTCTGGCCCCCTCCTCTCAAACACAGCCTGTGACTACTTCTCCCTCCTGCTCCTTCTTCACCCTCTTCCTCCTAACTCTCCTTTCCTTCTTCCTGCCCCCCTATCTTTCCTTCCTACAGGGATTTGGCAGAGTGCTCAGTAGGAGCATCGCCGCAAACTTCTCCCAGCTAAACTTTTCCCTTAATTCTCCCCCAGCAATGCAATCCGCTATGTGATCCCGATGCCCGGCCCATACAGTGCAGGGATTGGCCCAGGCCGGACTGCCTATCTGCATATGTAGCAGAGAATGAATGTCAGGGGACTGCAGTGAGCCTGCACTGGGGCAGTGAGCCCCTCTCTTCCTAAAATGCCAAACTCACCGAGGATGCTGCGCTGTTAGTAACAATGTAACTATATGCATTGTTTAGTAAATTTATACAGTATATGTTATAGGGAAGATGCATGCTGCAATGAGTGCATAGTTATGTCTCTATTAATATAAACGACTCTATCTTTTGGTTTATTAATCTGATCTAATCGTATTAATCTGATCTAATCTGACTGCCTATTAATCTGATCTAATATGACAGACAATAATCTGATCTAATCTGACTGCCTATTAATCTGATCTAATATGACAGACAATAATCTGATCTAATCTGACTGCCTATTAATCTGAGCTAATATGACAGACAATAATCTGATCTAATCTGACTGCCTATTAATCTGAGCTAATATGACTGACAATAATCGGATCTAATCTGACTGCCTATGAATCTGATCTAATATGACAGGCAATAATCTGATCTAATCTGACAGCCTATTAATCTGAGTGTGTAGTAATCTGAACTAATCTGACAGCCTATTAATCTGAGTGTGTATTAATATGATCTAATCTGACTGCCTATTAATCTGATCTAATATGACAGACAATAATCTGATTTTATCTGACTGCCTATGAATCTGAACTAATATGACAGACAATAATCTGATCTAATCTGACAGGCTATTAATCTGAGTGCGTATTAATCTGAACTAATCTGACTGCCTATTAATCTGATCTAATATGACAGACAATAATCTGATCTAATCTGACAGCCTATTAATCTGTACTAACCTGGCTGCCAATAATCTAAATTAATCTGACATTTTATTAATATCAACTAGTCTGGCAGTCTATTGGTCTGATCTAATCTGACTGTCTATTAATCTGATTGTATCTCTTTTAGATCCAATTTATATGTCTTTAGTCTAATCTGTCTAATTATCAGACCCAATCTATATATCTAGTAATTTAATATAGTTTGTCTATTCGTGTTATTTAATTTATGTAAACTGCCTTAATCTAATCAAATCTGTATGTTGATCTGATCCAATATGTGTTTAAATCTAGTATTATTATTGGCATTTATATAGCGCCAATTTACTCCACAGCGCATTACAATGGGTAATCAAAGGAACATTTATTCCTAATGCTATAGTTTTGATCTACCTGTGTTGCTCCCGCCCATGCTGTGTGAGGGTTTCAGCCCCCACCACACTAGTCTCCTCAATGCCACTTCGCCTCTTTGACTGTAATCATCAGTTGTTGATGATCTCAGCCAATCCAGTTTCCCCATAGGGAAGGCTAGTGCCCCTGCATGGGGCAAAACACTATGGTGCGATAATCAAATTATCTCTATGAGACCATCTGATGAAATAGTCAAGTTTATCTCGGCTATTGGGGCTGAAGCGCCTCTAGTGGCTGTCAGGGCAGTGCCAGTCACTAGAAGCATGTTAACCCGGCAATGTAAACATTTCCCTATCTGCTAAATAGCAATGTTTTCAGTTGCAGAGTTAAAAAGACAGGGGCTTGGCACACAGACCACTTCATTGAGTTAGAGTGGTCTAGGTACTTATAACAACAAGTCCATTTAACAACAAATGAGACAAACTATTGGACATTTTGACAGGAATAATAGGTTAATCAGAACCCTGCGTGACCAACTTTACAATCTATCTAGCCATATAATCAATCAATCAATCAATCCATCCTACTTGTCATTCTGAGCCTGAATCTACACTTTCATCAATGTTAAAATGAAACATTTTCATTATGGTGTTTATCCACTAAAGGTTTAGAGAGCAAATTAAAAACGTACAGATATACATTCAGACACTACACAAAACATTTAGCCACACCCACATGCAACACTCAACCATAACACACAAATAACACTCACAGCAACAGAGCCCAGGGCTCTAGGTGGGAGCCTAAATTTGGCACCCTGAAATCGATTCATGCAATGTTGAGGAGCTGGGGAAAATTGGGTGAAATATCTGTTACATAATATTTAGTTATTCACTATAAGCAAGTTAGTTACAAAGTTACTTATTACAGCGGACTCATGCTGCTTGGCTCATTGATGGTAAGCCATAGTCTTTTAGGTTCTGTGTAAGACGTGATGAAGGTAAAAAGAGTGATACCTCCATGTCCATACATTAGTATAGTAATGTCATTTGTTGAAATGAAAATTTTAGCAATACAGAAGAGGTATGACAAGCAGGAAAATCTGTTTTTGTTTTACATTTTCTAGGTTATCCACTACTTGTCATTTGAACCATGGTGGCCTCGTATACAAAAACCTAAATAAAGCAGCAGATCTTGGACCTATTGGCCAGGAGAGGTCTGTTCTTCCTGTGAAATGGCAGGAGGCAGGAGTGCCCCCTCTCCTCACTTGTGTTTGCTTTATTTCTGGAGTCTTTTGTTATCTATAATACATTCTACCCCAGAGTTTGTGTTTTGGGTTGGGCAGTGCACAGTAGATGCATATGCATATGATATGATGCTTTTGTTGGCTGGTCCACTTAAATCCCACCCACCTTTAAAAAGGTAATTAGAGGAATATTCGCCAATTGTTTATAAAGGTAAATATGCTAAAGTGAGTCACATCCATATGTTTATATTTTGTGAGCGACATGAATCTAGAGGCAATCCTTAACAAGATGTGAGTGAGCAACATACCAAAGGCAAAGTAAGAGTGATAGTTGTATTACTGGACCTTAGAGTGGCTAGGTTTAATGCTTAGATGGAAATAGTAAGTATTGGAATTAAAAACTAGAAGTAATAATATCCTATACTATATAACTCAAAGTCCGTAACATAGCCAGGTTAAGTGTGCTTAAGGGCATGAAAACACGAAAGGGCACTGGTTCTAAGGAGACAGTGGATTATATCGCATTCCAGGCGCTTGCATCACAATCTTGCATCAAGAAAATAAATATATGTCGCCAATGTTGTGGCTTGCTCCATTTTAGAAATAATTGAGGTTGGATAGAACTATGACATTGCGCCTGGAAGGCCATGACTTTGGCAAAAACAACACTGGATCATACCTACAGAGTTATATAGCTTAAAAGAGATATGCGGCCATCAAAAAACTCAGTCTGGAGTGCGTCCAAACTAGGAAAAAAAAAATCATGTTTTGACCCCAGAATGGCAGTCAGATACCTCCTTGGATCAAGAAGCTGGATCAAAAGTGTTGGTGAGTGATCCTAAAGTGAGATAATCTATCTACACTCTGGTGTGGTCTACAAATTGAACCTAAACCTCCAAAGTATTTATAGGCTAGGAATACAAGAATGTATTCCTAGCACTATAGTGCCCTTTTGTAACGTACTTGGATCCAGCGCCAATGTCCCTCAGCACTGTGTCAGGATCCATCTTTGCTCTTCCTTGAGCAACGTGGGCCAACGTCGAGGACCTAATGTGTATGTGCGGTGAGCACCACAAGCTTATTTGGACAGCCTCATAGGAGTTTTAGATGATGCTGGAGGTCATCATACATAGCGTTAGAATATCCAGTGTCAAGTCAGTTAGGCGAACCAAATGTCACCTAACCAAGGGCCTTTACCCTTTTGTATGAGACAAACTGCACACCTCTTCTGTGCTTTCTTAAGTAGGACATAGACGTGTGGGATAGGTAGGCCATATCTTAGATATGGTGGATACACAATGTCAAGGTGGCACTCTTGCTGAATCTTATATTACTTCAAAGCACTGCCAATCACTATCCCCTGCTCAGATCTAAAGACACTGAAACAATCATTAATCAGTTCATCTGGAAAGGTTGGAGACCAATGGTGGCGAGACATGTTCTTGTTCATGTTCTTGTTCAGCCGAAGTCCAGGGGAAGGTTGGTGCTTCTTTCTCTGCAACTGTATTCATATAAGCCTAGGCTGGACAAAGTCCATATTTGTGATCTGGCTCACCAAGACATATAGAGCCTTGCTTAGAGTGTGTTTCCTAGCACAAGATATCCTTGTGCTGTGTCTTCTATAATACAAGTATCCCTCCAAGGTTTAGAGGCTGTGAATTTTAAGGTTCATGAGAAAGTGGGAATTAAGTAACACCAAGACATATAGGAACAAGGTACTGCTGTGTCTTTTGACTTTCTTCCGAAGAGGATAACCCCCTCTCCCCAAGAGATTACTTAATTTATAGATCTGAGTCTGTCTACTAGACAGGATTTTGTGAAAGGTCCCAGAGCTAAACAGACCTGGTTTGAATGTGTTTATGCAAAACAAAATTGCTCATATAACCTGGGTTTCCAGTAGTTGTCCCCTTCCCTAAAATGCCCCATGGGAAAGGGATATCTGTGAAACCTTAAATGTGGACAAATGGGAGGATTACTCTGAACTAGTAGTGATGGTGTTTGTTTGTGTGGTTCTTGAAGAACAAACATGCAAGATGCTTATGAGATGGTACATCACACTTATTAAACTTAATGAGATCCATTCTCCCTGACATGACACAACAGATTGTAGCGGGTGAGGTACGTCTTATCACACGTGGTGAAAGTTCTCTAAAGTGTTGGTACTCTGGGTTAAAATTAAAAAATATGCTCTCTGAATAATTACACAAGCCAATAGACTTTTCCTTTTGGTCCATCCTTCTCCTGAAATCCATAGATGCTCTTACAGCACATTAAAACAAACTAGTCAGCAGTTGGCCATAGCAATACAGAGGGCACTACTAGAGGCAAGGAGGAAAATAGCTCACCCTTTCTGAGCAAGGATGAGTTAGACACCTGTATTATAAACAAGCTAATGGCTAGGGTCAGAGGATCGATTCACACCTATCAAAAGTTGTGACTCTGTGGCTGGAGAGCACTTACAATAACAGATATAGTCATGGGACAACTCTTAGCATGTTGATACAGTCTTGTAATATAAGCATCAAGGAATCTATCCTCCACCGGCCCCTTCCCTTTTCTCCTCTTTCTGCTTTCTCCTACCTTGTCTTTTAGCATTTCCTGTCTTATGTGTTTCTTTTGACTTCTGTAAAATGTGACTCAGTCCATGTTTTTTTATTTTTATTGTTCACTCCAAAAATAAACTGTGTGTGTACATATATATCCCAGATACATTCATTTCAAGAGTATCTGAATCTGTCATGATTGGATGTCCAAGCATAAAATCTATACATTTATCATTTAATAAATAATTACGATGGGTAGGCGAGTGCTCTTATAGGTACACAAGCACACTTGAGACATTTAGATACACAAACAGGGTTATTTACGAAAGTTAGAATTCACAGTAAATTCAAAAATAATCTCAAATTTAAGGTCAGAGAAGCTAAACATAAAGCATTGTTGGTACAATATAAAAATAATGATGTACCAGCGCTAATATTTAGTATCTATTTTATACACTAATATGTTAACACTTAGTATATAAGCTGCTATAACACCGTAATCTATCTTTTAGTATTAGAATCCAAAAAACAGTCTAATGGTGAAGCGCTAGCAAATAGTAAATGTAAACTGTGTATAATAGTACTGTTGACACCGTATTTAAAGAAATATACCTTTAAGAAGGTTTCCTACTTTGGAATCCTAGTACTTGCGTAGTATTCCTTTAAACAGGAAACATACAAAAACAAATCATAGTGCAAACTGTACAAAATATTCTTATATAAGGTATTATGCCAAGTAATCCCTCAATTTATTGAGCTAAAACGTTAGCTCAAGTTTGTATGCCTTAGGGTCCATTGAGGCAACCCTTTCCCTTCTTTGCAGTCAATTCACTTGGTGTTCTGTCCTATATAATATTATGAGAGGAAACCGATATAGTGCAATATTGTTGTTCCTTGTGTGGGTGGTCAATATAAAGTGAAATAGGTACTCACAAACCCAGAGCCTTCCAACAGGCTCACGTTAAATAACATATGTGGTTAAGACATTCCTTCTTTGTAATAGCAGGAACAAGTGCCTTAAGTGTACTAAAAATTTATACTTTATTTACCATTAACATATAAAAACATATAGTAAAATACAAGGCTATAGATACACTTATTCGGCAATAGTCCAAAATACAGAGTCTTAATGCTCACAATTCCGAGGATGCGTTTGGCCAGTGGCTTCCTCAGCTGAGTGAAAAAAGTATTTGTCAGTTCTACTTGGGTTACTTCCTGCTATATATACCCCTCTGATGGGGGAATGGTTAGTTTCTGGCTTGAATTTGCGCGGGCAATCTCCATAGTGATTGAGACGCAATGCGTACCAAGCCTCGTTCTCAGTTATACTATTTAATATGTTTCTTCCGGGTTTGAGTGTCGATACATAGAAAGCATTGTTGAGTTTGAGAATTTTTCCAGTTCAACTATTTTGACCTTGAATTTTAAATTCACTATAGTGAATAACCTTGAAAGACATTCTCATTAGTATAGCCACACACTTACGTGCATTCGCTTGGACACCCTCTTAAAACTATATTACCAAAGACTTACCAGACACCACTACATTGTCACAGACACTCTAATGCACTCACAGACACTCAGACACACTTTTACAGGTATTATCACATAGCTTTACAGGTCACTGAGCATGGATGCAAATTGATCATGGACTGAAGGCCAGAGGCTACTGGGGCTCCCAGCCACAGTATACATCATCAACATGAGTGCATATGCAAAAGGAAATTACAACAGATAACTCAAAATGTAATGAATAGTAAACAGATCTTTTCTAGATAAAAAAACAAAAAAACAACCAAATGCCAACTCACATTTTTCAGAGCAACGAATCTTGCTCAAAAATTGCATTTTTGCAGTTATTCAACTATTCTAAGTAATTTGTGTTTTATCTAAGTGATCATTTTCACTCACGTGCATAAAACAGAGAGGAGAGATAAGGTAAACACAGGCAATTTATTTGATGAATAAAAACATTAACATTCTGACATGACTCGTATAGTGGTCCTGATCCACTTTCTTAAGTGGATATGTATTTTCCACTGCTGGATATGCTTTGTGACTGGCCTGCAAAATAATATCACTGGCAATGTCAAAATGTGCACTATGCGTATTGCAATTCATCAGGTGTCTCTTCAACATCCACTCTGTTGTGTATAACAGCAGTAATTTGCATAAACGACTGCAACAATAAGCTTCTGACCTGTTTAGATGTAGCATACCTAACATCCTGCTCTAACTTTGCCTGTCTTCAACTTACAATTACTTTTATAGTGTGCAAACAGAACACGTGAACACTATTTTAGTTCTAAACCTCTGGCAGGCTACCTCATGGGCTTCTATGAAGGAGTATATGCAGTGGCCTCATGAAAAATATATGAACTAGTTTTATTCATGAAAAACATATGAAAGGAGCTTTTCGACAAGTCAAGAGAAACTGTGGCTTCTGTTTTGTTGCACAGGAGTGTCCATGTCTTTTCATGAATACACCTACTGTGAAATGCTGGTCTACATATTTTAAACTCATGTTGGCCATTAGATGTCCAATGCTTCCCTTGAAAGCAATTGCTGAGAAACAGCAGAAGCAGGCACTTCAAAGTTGAATATCTTTTTTTTGTTTGTTTGTATGCTTTTAATGAATTATCTGTATAATGCATTAAAAATAGGATTGCTGTGGGGGTGTAGTTACGGCAGGCAGGAGATCAGTCGCATGGAGCGTGAGCTCCGGTGCAATGGAGACTATAGACGGGGAAATAACACTCTCAGTACCCACAAACGTACATACTTTCCCGCACGCCTTTCTGCCATTATGGGGAAGAAAAATAAAAAGCTCAAAGTCGTTACAGGTGAGGGATCCCGTACATTGGCAACTTGTTGCTACAGAGGCCTAGGCCCAAGATGGTGGCATGGCCAGACCGCGGCTCTTCTGCCTCCTCAGAGGCTGATCCCCTTGATGTGCCTGATGCAATACCAGACACCGCGAGCCTGAATGCCCCCCTGCCTGTAGCTGAACTCAATACCGCAGCTACCAAAGCGGATATCCTGGAGCTGATGAGGAACATAAGAAAGTTCTTCAACGCTGACCTGGCGATTGTAAGAGAGGAAATCACAGCAATAAGGGCCCAGGTACAGGCGACAGAGGGCAACATATCGGCCACAGCTCAAAGACAGACGGGCGCTGCCGAACAACAAGCTCAACTCCACAACAAACAGCAGACACTGTCTCATTGACTGGACGCCCTGGATGATTACAGGCGATGCAAAAATGTCAAAGTTAGGGGCATAGCTGAAGCAATAGGGGACAGTGAACTACTGCACTTTGTTGGACTTAGACACTGCCTAGCCATAAATTTGTTCCATGTTATTGAATCTCTAGGCTACAAACCAACCTCTGTTTATTACAATTTCCTGCTAATGTAGCCTCTCCATTCTAACACACCGTATGCCGCATATTCTTACATAGCCATACTAATTATAGTACTTAACTACAGGGCAAGGGTCCTTAGCAAGTCTAGCATGCCTACATGCCAATGCCCTATCTAAACACTCAAATGCTACCACATTTTTATTTCCTTACCTATTAAACTTTAAGTAACATAAAAAGGGCACTGTATGCTAAAGGCAATTTCAATGTATGACTTGTTGTACTACTGTATATGCTTATTGCCTTGTTGATTCTGTGCACCATTCTATTGCATTCTATTCCATTCCAAATATATATATAAAAAATAGGGTTGTTGTTTCTATCCCTTTTAATACAGGTTTGTCATCAAATGACCCATGGACCAATACTGCCAAAGTCATGATTGCACACAGCCAGGCAGTGCAATCTTAGACATTCATGGACTTTTACTTTTTCACACACTGGGTTTCTCAGACACTTTTAAAAATTGTCAGACACTCAAAGCATTTCCAAAAACAAACTCAGTCCATTATTAAAGAGGAACACTCTCAGAAAAAGAAAAGGGGCCCAACTACTTACCTGTTGGCTGCCTGTAGAAAGACCATTCTAGGTAATTGGATCGAATCTATTTCGGGCAATATGCACCTGCTTGTTAACCATATTAAATAACCAATGTGTAGTGGCAAGAAATATAGACAAATAGGTTAAACATTTTTTGACTAAATAGTTCCTCCATTATTTCACATGCCTCTAAAGTGGTGTCCTGCTTGTTAACCATATTAAATAACCAATGTGTAGTGGCAAGAAATATAGACAAATAGGTTAAACATTTTTTGACTAAATAGTTCCTTCATTATTTCACATGCCTCTAAAGTGGTGTCCAAATTCAAAGGACCAAACCCTATACCATATGGTCTGTTCTCTTTACTTACAATCCTAGATGATGCCTTAGAACGCAAGAAATGATGCACTAGTGTCAGGATGACGTATGACCCAAAATGCAGAATTATGTAAATAAATCCAAGAAACGTACTACCGGACCTTAGAACGGCCGGATTTAACGTACAAGAGAATAGTCAGGAATTAGCCGAGGTCAAGGACACAGAAAGAGACAAGAACAAGGACGCAAGCCAAAAAAGGCAAGGAAACCAGAAATACAGAACAGTCAAAATACAAGCCAATTCAAAATACTAGTAGGGAAAACAAGATGAACGCGCTCTCTGAGGGGAAACCATGACAGGGCACTGAAGGACTAGTAATAAAAGGTTAAATACCTCACTGTAGGCTGTGATGGGTAGGTTCAGGTCACCTGACATTGGAACGTGCGTGACATAAACTTTTTATATATTTTATGCGCGCAGCGGCCGGCGTCATTTGTCATGCCGGCTACAAGTGCAGCCGAACGAGATTGTGTAGCCTCCTGTAGATTACCCATACATGTTCAACTGTTAAAGTCCCTTTCGGATCTCATAGATACCTCACCATTCTAAAAACAAACCAATCATGTCATAGAAAGCCAGATAAATGGCAGTTTTTATGGCTTTCTCTAGCCAAGAGAATTCACTGCCATAAACGTTAACTCCCCCGACTTTGTCAAAAGAGCTCACCTTGTAAAGACACATGACTATTATGTACTATCCCTAAACCATACCAAAACTAGCAGAAGGGTTCAGACAGTTAAAATCCCTTATTACCCAACCAAAAATCAATGGTGCTCTGTCAAAGTTCTGGATACATACCTGTAACGGCACCCCAGGGCATAAAAGGGTTAAACCGCCGTTTAATAGATCTTCCCTTCCAGAGACACAGGCACAGCTACTGCAGAACACCAATCCGCCGAACAGGAAACCATATGAATGCTGTAAACAGCCGAATAGGAAAAACCATACGAATAGGTTTACACTCCTAGCAGTCGAACTGGAACAGCATATAATAAATCCCCCCAAGAACGAGACAAGGCTCCGTTTTGAGGGTCAAGCAGGAACAGTCAGAGCTGTGGGTTTATTGTTCTTATATACACATTAGTACCACCCACAGGGTTTTGGAACCAATAAACATATACAAGACACTCAGACACTCCCACACAAAATCCTCCCCTCTGCCTGTGATTCAATTACCTTACACAATGGGTAATGTAATTATAACAAGCAGAGAAATACAATTTTTCCACATTATTCATAACTTGAAACGTATGCATCACATTCACATAAAACTTACATTTTCAGAATCAGCATACTCCAAATACAAACATACGTCAAAATCATACAAATTGGTCCAGTGGTTCACAAGATAGGTCGTAGTCCTTTGTGACCAAAGGAAGCATGGCTTTTCTGCCCAAAACCAGTTCCTCAGAGTCTTCTATCCTGGAGATAATTGGGAAGTAATGCAATTATCTCCAAGGACAGAGGCAAAACTCCACTGAACACATGGCAGCAAAAGACAATAAAACACATAAAAACATAAAACTGTGCAGCCATTGCACAAAACAGGTACATTCAACATATCCCCAGATAGCTCAGATCTGAGCGCACATTATTACTGAATGGCGCTCAGAGCACACACATATAGTTCAATTGCCATGGAGCCAAAGTCTTTCCCATAGTCTTTCATTATGCGAATGGGCTCCATTGCATAGCTATCTGGGGTATCACCGCTCAAACAGGGCAAGCACCAAATGACCCGGCTTTCATGTCTTTGCAGGGGAAAATCAAGCCTTTTAACATGGGGCCATAATCCAAAGGCAACAGACGAGCAACCAGGCTTCTCCAATGCAATGTGGTGAGATTGGTCTCGTCACAATACCTAACCTCCATTCAAGGTTCTCCAGACCAACCTCTGCTTGCTCTACAGGGCAATACCCTGACAACTAGTAGATTTATGCTTTACCTTGTTATTGGTAAGGTTAGGTCTTAACCCAGCTAATTACTCTGGTCACTTCCGTATAGGAGCCGCTACCACGGCCTCCAGGAGAAATTTACCCATACACACCATGAAGACCTTAGGACAGTGGAAGTCCAGTGCCTACGTTAGATATATATACCTCAGCCAGTTCAGGAGATACATCAATCCTTTGAATTTGTAGACATAATTAATTTTGATATGGTATTTTCCTTTTTGCCCTCTTTTTTTTCAGGCCTACTGCATCGTCGGTTCCGGCACATCACAACTGACTTTATTTCTGTATGTCTAACACCTCTAACAGTATGGCTTTTGATGCCCCGAACACAAATGTAGGGCTGGGCCTGTAGTTGTGGGAGGGGCTTGTTTTTCCTTCTAAAGGGACGCAAGACCTCTCCTCACTACCATTTCAGGTCTGGCGATTTGCACCCCCCCACCACTCCCTTTTTCTCTTATCTTTATATAGGGTAGGCCCTCTTTTATTTCAGGCCTACCGCATAGTCGGTTCCGGCAGACCACAACTGACTTTGTCATATTTCTGTATGTCTAGCACCTCTAACATTATGGCTTTTGATACCCCGAACACAAATATATATATATATATATATATATATATATATATATGAAGCAAAAAGGAAAGAGATGCACTCTAAGGTCTTTGTAGAAAAAAACTCGATATTATTTAATAACGGTAACATACATCTGATCGACGTTTCGACCTCTTCAGGTCTTCCTCAAGATCTTGAGGAAGACCTGAAGAGGTCGAAACGTTGATCAGATGTATGTTACCTGTTATTAAATAATATCGAGTTTTTTTCTACAAAGACCTGAGAGTGCATCTCTTTCCTTTTTGCTTTACATATCCAGCGTGGGATTGCACCAAGGCAGCCTTTTACTGATTCATTGAAAGGGTGAGTGCCACTATACTTGTACATATGTATGTATATATATATATATATATATATATATATATATATATATATAATATCATGGCCATATCCATGGCAGCACAATAAGTAGCTCATTCCTATCCCTTATTAGGCAGGAACCTTATTAAAACTTATAAAAAAATTTTTTTTTACTTAGTTAAAGGTACCCCCTCATTATTTTTAGGATTAGGGGGGCAGGTAGGGGGTTATTTTTTTGGGGAGGGGAGGGGGTGACTAGGGGTTTGGGGACCCTTAGTCACCTGGGGAAGGGGTAACATTTTTATTTAGGGCCTCCACCCGTCGCTCAGGGGTGGGGGCCGGGGGGAGGACAATAGGTCCACCCCCTATTGGTATTTAGGGCCCCCACCCGCCGCCCAGGGGTCGGGGCCAGGGGGGAGGACATTAGGTTCCCCCTTATTATTTTTTAGGGCCCCCATCCACCGCTCAGGGGTGGGGGCCAGGGGGAGGACATTAGGTCTTCCCCTTATTAGTATTTAGGGCCCCCACCCACCGCTCAGGGGTGGGGGCCAGGTCCCCCCTTCAGGTTAGAAGCCCCCACTCGCGCTGCATGGGTGGGGGCTCGGGAGGGGGGGCCTTTTTTTTTTATAGGCTGCTCACTGTTTAATAGACATGCCCCTACTCGCAGTATAGCAAGAAGGGGCATAATTTACTAATACTAAGTAATCTTTATATAAGGGAGCTATCTACTTATTCATTCCTGTCATTACACTGACTGGCTAAGTAACTTACATTTTATATGAATGTATGTTACTTGATTGTTGTAAGTGTTGCAAATGCTTATAGCTGATTCCTTATCTATGTTTGTATACTTTTTATTTAAAATTGTATACAGTGTAACATTCTTCATTCTTCCACTGGGTAAGTATATTAGTTCTTAGGCAATACTGTGCTTCGGCACTTCAGCACTTGGACACTTCGGCAATTCGACACTTCGGAAATTCGGTAATTTCGGATTTTCGGGACTTCAACCATTCAGCTAT